TAAAATGATTAATTTTATAGTTATAATATTAAATACATTAAAGTATATTAATTTTAAACATTAAGTTCTAAAACTTAAGTATTCAACTTATATATTATAGTATTAAGCTTCAGTTTAAAGTTATTTTTATACATATATATTATATAATACATTTAGCGATAAGTAAAAATTGATGCTAAACTGTAATTATGTATTTCTTATGAATATATTGTACATTAGATTTATAGTTGAATTATCAGTAAACAAATAATGCATTTTTGTTATAAATATAAAATATTAAATGTTGTTTTTCAATATTATAATATATAAAAATATAATATTAGTTATTATTAAAAATAAGATATTTATAATATTAATATATTGTATAACAAAATATATTTGATAATGAAAGATGTAATTATTTTATTTGATAATCATTTACTAAAAACAATTTTGACAATAAATAGAATGAAATTTAATCAAGGAACTTTTAATTATCTACTTTGATTTAATTTGTTAAATATATAACTTTTAATAAAACATTTTATAAAATATTATTAAATTGCATATTTTTCAAGATATCAAAACTAAACAAGTTTTTAAATTTAAAAAAAATATTACTGTTTATATTATTATTACTTTATATAAATAAAATTAATAATCTCTTTAAAATTTTTTAACTTTATTCTGTTACTTCAATCTGCTAACATATTACTTGAAAATTTTAATGTTTTATATATTTTATAAAAACATTGATATAAAATTGCAAACAAAACTTAACAAATGTTAAAACTTATATAAAATATTGCAACAAACATTTTTATTTTATATTTATTGGTATTTAAAAGAGAAAATATTTTTAAATGTTAAGATATATCAGTATATTTATTATTGTTATAAAATATCTGAAATGAGTCGACGGCACGAATTGACACCTAATATGTCCTGAATATTATGCAAATGTTTTTTGGTTTGTGTTCCTTATTATACAATATTATTACTATTATTACTATTATTATATAAATTTACTTATTAAACAGAAATACAACATATATAATATTTAGTGTAAGTTAATAGAGTTGTAGTCAATTAAATCAACATTTTAATGACCTTAAACTGAACGACAATTTGATTGTATAAAAATAGAGAATACCATTATATGCACAGTTATGAAGAGCTGACAGTTCATTAAAATATGTGTAATAATGCTTTTAATATTAATATAGATCTAAATATATAAAAGCAAAGAATATATAGAATTTTGAACTAATCATTAAACGAAAAGATAATATATTAACCATTTTTGTTGGCATATGTTTTGCAAAAACTCACAAAACAATAGTGCGATCGCTTAGTTAGTTGACAACCAGTCACTCACTTATATTACAAACTATAGTCATTCCGTAGTCAGGAATATGAACTCATTTTGGGGTTCATTAGTAACTCTATTATTTCAATACTGAATTACATTATAATATAATATACTGTATATATTGTATATAACCATCAGCTATGAACGATAAAAGCTATTAATTGCAATATACAGACAATATATATATATATATATATAATCAATAAACAAAAAACATTAAATTATTTAAGCTATGTTCCAAATTTTAAATTATATTTTTATATTGAATTTAATATATTATCAAATATATATTATATATTATTGTAGATAGTCCCAACAAATATTATATAATATATATTGTGATAGAAATTATACTGTATATTAAACTATTGTTCAATTTGAGACTTTATGTTTATTATTTTTTAAAAATAAATTTAATTGAAATAGATAAGATTATATGATAAAATAATTATATTTAACAACAAACAATACAATTATAATTATCAATTTAAAGTATATACCAGTATATATAAATTATTCATATATATTAATTTAATCATATAATTAATAACATGTAATACTGTACTATTTTTGGTGATGTGTCAATAATTACTATAAGTAATCATTTATTTTCATAAAGTTATTTTGACTTTTAATTTATAAATTATAATACTATAATAGTAATCACAATTTAAAAATTTTTAATAAATAGTTTTTGTTGTGTATTTAAAACATATTAATGAACAGCATTTAATTTATATTGTTGGTGTAAAGTATAGAAAAATATCAAAAAGTAAAATATATAACCGCTATACATGTAAATGAAACAATAAAAGTATTTTTAGTATCTTTTTTTAGACAAAAATGCTTATTATATATTTAAAAATTAATTAATAATTATGCCTTTAGGTCGTATTATAGTTGTACCAAACAGTATAAACTTTTATAGCGTTTGTATAATGTCTCTAAATTCATATTTCATGTATTATTTAGAAATATATAATATCTATAATAAAATTGTGGTTTAATTATATGGCATTTTTTTAACAAAAGCAAAACAAATGGTTTATATTTAATGATTATTTAAACTAAATGCTATGTTCACTCATCTATGAAAGTGAAACCATAATATAGATGGAGATATGTTTAGTGTTGGTCTCACTATCAAAACGCTAGTTTACAAACCTATTGAATCAAATGTTATGAATTTATTGTATTGTATTATAAATTATATGTTCTTTATATAGTTTTATTGAATTGTTTTTCAATTAACATTTAAATTATAGGAATATTTATTTGTGTTTCATTTATTGAAGAATAATTAATTTTTAAAAATATATTAGTTTAGTTGACATTTAATTAAATAATGATAAATTCTGTCATATTTGTAATTGAACATAAATAAGTTATTGATATAACGTAAAAACTAAAAAACATTTAAAAATAATTTTTTAATATTGTAACTGAATTTCATTATATTGCTGCATATTATCGTTGCTTTTTAATACTAAAGAATACTATATGTTTTAATTTTTTATATAATTTTTTTAAATTTCATTACGATTTTTTTATGTTTCTTGATGTGTCATTTTTAGTTAGTTTTATATATTCAATATAAATTTATTTACTAAATTGACAAAATATTTTATTTATATTTTTTAATGTATAAATGTATTTAGTTAAAAAATATTAATCAATTACTCAATATTTTAATATAAATCCTTGATATAAAATTATTCCGTATAATATAATAAGATTTATTGAAACCCTTTATCTTTCATATTTAAATTCTTATACAATATACAGTATATTTAATTACTATTTACTTATAGTCTTAAAGAAATATCATATTATATTTAATAAACAGTAATGTATTACATTTCTTAAACATTAGTGTAAAAAATATAAAAATAAGACAATTGTATGACTTATACTAATACTTATTATTCTCTCTTTCACTCACTCACTCACTCACTCACTCACTCACTCACTCACTCACTCACTCACTCACTCACTCACTCACTCACTCACTCACTCACTCACTCACTCACTCACTCACTCACTCACTCACTCACTCACTCACTCACTCACTCACTCACTCACTCACTCACTCACTCACTCACTCACTCACTCACTCATTTATTTATTTGTCAATTAAATAATTTTTAAATAATAAATACATAGTATTTAAGTCTAACTTTTTGAATCATTTTCCAAAATCACGTTTAGTTCACTATTAGTGAAGACTAAAAATGACACTTTTTATATAATCAATCATTTTTTGTCAATAAGTTTATACACTTTTTTGTCATTAGCTTTGATATTATTAATCTCATATTTAGTTAGTTCAACTCTCTTTCATTTATTATACTATTAATGATTTACTATATATATATTAATATATATATATATATATATATATATAATTTGTCATCTAAACTAAGGTCTGAAACTGAAACCAATTTTAGTGACCAAACCGAAATTGACATTAAAAGCATAATATATACTTTCAATATATTAATTATATTAAATAATTTTTATAAAATTAAAATATGATTTGCTTTTAATTCTGTGTTATAAAAAATATATTATAATTCATAATAATTTTACAAATTAGTGTTTAATTGAATATTACATATCAGGCAAACCTTTTCCCTAAAGACATTTTCAGACATATTCTAATTTTTCCTTTACTCAGAAGTTCCCGGGAACTTATTTTCGTGTAATAAACTTATCTAACACTAATCCATTAATTAACTAACTATATAATTACTCACAAGTTATCTAATTATTAAAAATATAATAATTAACATTTGTTTATGATTTGCTGCTCATATTAACTTTATATTTTATTTTAAAAGTAAGTACAGTATGCCTAACAAATTGTCATTTTTGATGTTGTCTTTAAAATTATATTATCCACTAACCAGATAGAGATATTGATTGATTGATTGAAAGAAAGAAAGAGAGAGAGAGAGAGAGAGAGAGAGAGAGAGAGAGAGTTTTATTTTGAAAAAAATGAATGAATTATTTGAAAGTTGCCTCCTTTGGTAAAGTTGGTCGAACTCTAATTGTCAGTAAACATATGATACTTGATATTTGAGTTAAATTTAGTTTTAAATATAATTATTATATGTCAAATTCAAACTTGTGCCATATATATATATATATATTATAAACGTATTATTAGTATAAATCAATTATACAAGTAATTGCATACAATGAACTCAAGTGCCGTAATGTTTATTGTTAACATTAGTGATAATAGTGTATCATTATAATCATTACAATAACAAACATACAAATATTGTGTTGAATTGTAGTAAATATAGATAAAACAAAAAACAATAGTTTTGTTCATTCAATTTGCATAGCATTGCATTTTCTCGTACTTTCAAATTTAGACATTTATTACTATTTTTCTTTTTCTTTGTTAGTAATCATCAACTCTACTAATGTATAGTTTTATTCAATTAATCACTAATACTATATAAAGCCTGCAATTATTAAACAGAGTTAATGTCAATTAAGAAATATAAATTTACAGTATATATATATATTTGGATAAAAATTAAAATATTTAATTATACATTGTTTTGAATATATTTTTTTAATCATATATACATTATTTGACACATGTGTGTGATATTAGCTTTTATAGCAAAAAAGTGGTGAACTTTGTATAAGATTTGTTTTATTTGTCTCTCTTTGTCCACAATTTGACACTTTATTAACAAATTGAGAGTTCATTCATTCAATGACATGAAATGATTGCATAACAAGTGATGTCTTATCTAATGATTAATGTTAGGTAACCTTTGCTACTGGTTTTGATGGGGCCCTCCTTAGAGGCCAATCATTGGCATTGATTGCCACTTCATATATAGGACTGTTGTGTGAAAAACACATTAAGTTTAGAGGAGACAGAAATGAATGCAAATTAATAATCTGTTATAATGAGGCCTTTTTCCAGCACTGGGAGCTATACTCAAGCAGAGGACTGAGGACTGGGAGAATTTGGACAACACTTGGAGCAGGTCTTGGAGGAGCACTGTTGCAAATTTGGGAGAACCCGGGAAAACGTCAGTCCTTATAGCCAATGAAGTGTAGCTCAGAATTGAGCCCAGAGTTGACTGGCATTGGGACGGGTAGTATAGTAAGGCATATGCGATGGCATATAATATGGTTAAAGCACTGTTAGCTATTTTTGCAGTGTTTGTTGTGTTTTGTGTACTAACTTAGTGTAAGTAATAATGGTTTGCAACGTCTTTCTCCTTCATTGCAGACTTCAAGTTCAAGACAAGTGCTTATAAGTGATGTGTTGTGTGACTGAGCACTGATAGCTCCGACTACTGACTCTCACCCCCTAAATAAAAGTGAGTCGTTTGTCCAGTTTCTGGTTAGCACTGTTACCACTGTTGTTACCATTACTGCCATCAGTATAGTTGACGTATACCCTATGGGCCATTGGGGGAGAGGGAGACACAACTGAGGCACGAGAGAGACAGCGGGAGTTAAGAAGAGAGTTAAGAATAAGTTAACAAAGTTTGCCACCAGTTGTTGCAGACCTGAGCTCTGTATTCCTTAAGTCAGTCATAATTGTATAACTGGTCGGAGCGTGTGTTCAGTGCTTATGACTTGCAATGCATTAACCTTTAGTTGAGACACAAGTTTGCAGATATAGTGTCACACTTGCCATCACTTATACCAACTCTTAATGCAATCTTACCAACTCTTTAGCTGACCATCGATGCCATTATCATTGCAAACATTGCATTGAATGTCACAACAAGTGCTGGATATGAGTGTTGGAAATATTGCACAAAATGTTTGGTCAGTCAGTGGCCGAACAGCACCTGTAGATTGGGATCAACAACACCAACAACAAGACTATGTGACTAACCAACAGCCCAATCAAAGTTCATACCATATGACCAACCATTTAGTGAGTTCACGATCTCGAGTCCAAAGATCACTGTTTGGACCAACTGATCCTCAAGAGAATCATCGGATGGCATATGAAGAGACTAATTGTCGCCGATATGTAGACCGAAACCGATGGAACTTTGATTTCTATAGTGAAAAACCAACTTCGGGTCGGTTTGAGTGGAAAAGAGTGGCCTTTAGTGACGATAGGACTTCCAATTTTGGACCAACCGGTGAACAATCAGACCATTTGTGGTCAAAGAAGAAGAGCGCCAAATCATAGAAACAATATTATAGTATATTATAGATCGCAAACAGATTATCGTTGGGCTAAACATTAGCCCTACGGTAGTCCTGAGTGTCCCTCAGCCCTACTGAGCCCCTGTCGACCCCTTGTCAGCCCCTATGGCCTCAACACTACTCTATTGGACAATATATGTGACGTATATCTGGGCACCACTTCTCTCAACACTTCAACACAAGATCTGCCAAAACATCTCAAACCAACACTTGTGCCTAAAGTCGCGCCTAAATATCGTCACTAATAAACATTACGTATTCCTATAATGACTGTCCTATGCTACCGGTTCTCATCAATTGCTATATACTAGTATATATATGTTTATAGATATGTATTGATTGACATCATGGCTGACTGTGGTGTCACAAGAAGATCAATTGATAATACATAACCCAAACTTACATTGATATGAGTGCCCATCACTACCTGAGGACAACTTTTTGATACCTGTTATGCAGCCTTTCCTCTAATAGCTAACTCTCTCTCTCACTAATTCTAGTGTTTTATAATACATTGCTCTAAGATATACTCAACACATGAATTGATAATTTATTATATCATTTATAATGAAATGCAACATAAAAAATGATTCAAAAAGATCTCATATAAATACATATTTATATTATATATTTTTATTTTATATTTTATTATGGATTATTTTTATTATATGGATATATTTTATATTGTATAATTATTTAAATATATTATTTTTATATAAGTTTATTTATATATATATATATATATAACATAAATGTTTGAAATATATAAATATAAAATTTATTAATGATTTTGATATGCCATGTATTTACTGTATATATTTATATAGAGAGCCAATGCATGTCATTGCCTCGTTTGGCGCAAACCTAGCATTCAATAAACTGAATATATTTTTTGAAAATTACTTACTTTTGGCGCTTTTTTGTTGATCTTAGTGTAAGTATATATAAATACAGTATATATTACTACTTAAAGTGGTAAATGTATAAAATTAGTCGCGACTCGTGGTCCAGCTTTTACTGCACTCTGTATAATCTGCCGCTCCCTTAGTACTAATTTTCAGTATATATTTGGTGTTAATTTTAAAGGATAACTAAATTATATACTATATTATGGGTTATAAAAATTAGTATAAATGGGTTGACTGTTTTTCAATGACATTCAATGAAAAACATTGAAAACTTGATTATCAAATTGATTGCTAATTCAAAACCATGTTTTGTGTTTATTAAATAAAACTAAAATTTAAATACTTTGCAAATTATTAACATTTGTTTTTAATAATTTTAATTATAATTTAAATGACTAATATAAATTACATAAATGCATAAATATAATATAACTTTACAATAATTGTTAATAACTCTAAATTTATGAATTATAAAATATATATAACATCAAAAATCACTACAAATAATATTAATATTCTATAAGAATAATAACATAATAAGACATTTGTCTAATAATACATTAATTCAAATTGATTTACAAATTCACGACTCAATACAGTTAAATAAAAAGCAAAATTTAATAAAAATGAAGGAATGATTTATCAAAGCTTTTACCCAATCATTGAGTTAACAATACTTTGTTTTTACATCTAATGGATGTCTTAGTAAAGTTTGCTCAAAGATTTTGACAACTATTGTACTCTTATTCAACAAAAAGTTTTGTTTTGTAATAATGATATCATTGTCTTATAAGTGATTGATATGATTTGGAAATTTTAATGTTTAGTAACAAATGCAATATTAATGTAAAGTAAATGTATGTAACATAATGTTAGTTATTTAGTGACAAAGACTTAGGTAAGCACAGGTCGAGTACTCCCGGTATTGATGGACCAAATGCTGATGAGGTATGGCTTATATTGATACGAAAAATATTGTAAATTTTTTGTTTTGTACACAACAATCAAATGATAAACATTAAATTATGTACAAATGTCATTACTTGTTGTAATTACAATTTGTTTAATATAATTAATTTTTTTTAAAGTAATAAATTGTGAGTTTTGATTCATAAATAAATCGCTTATCGATATGTATTGTTTGAGTTAAGTGTAGTTGTAATTGAGTTCAGAAGATGCGAACCAATTTAAATGAAGAAGTGGGTGACTGATCACCATTGGATGTATTTTCATCGGGAGGAGTGGGAGTAAATGGATCCAACTTTGTAATTGATTTGGTGGGAAAATTTAATTTTCTAGGCCTCGGAATTGATGGGTATTGAGTTATAGATGAAAAAGGACTCATTTTTGAGGAACAAATTGGTGCTGACTGTGAACCTCGAGAACAGTCTTCTGAGAAATTACTTAAAACTCGTTCTCTAATTAATTGCTTCTCATATTCGAGTAGTTGTCCCAAGAAATTGAAGTTTGGAGATATAGTGGCTCTCTTTGACTTAACATACCTATAGTTATGATTTACAGGATTGACAACAAAAACATTGGAGAAAATTATTGGAAAAAAGTAATTACAGGTTATATTTGAAGCATACCTGTAGGCGTCATCTGATGACATACATAAGTGTCTCATAACATAACTGATGGCAACGGTAGCCGAACGTGAAATGCCAGCCAAACAATGAACTATTACACAGCCGCCCGATTCTCGCACTTTATCTGCAAAAATATCACATTTTATATTTATTTTAGTTATATTTTGAAGGCCAGTCTGTTTGCAAATATAATACAAATATTAAAACATTAAAGCAAAAGACTAACCGAGAAAATTGAAAGCTTTTGGAAAATATGACAACAAATTCTCGTTATAATTATCATTGACTGCTATTCGTAAAAAATGTGTGTCTGGGATGAACTCTGGTTTCGGACACGAAGTGCTCACATTCAGCTCATAGTTGATATTGTGGTCCTATATATCATATATATATGCAATACATTTGTCACATCAAAGGATCAATTTTAAAATCATTTTAAATTCACGTAAAGAAAGACAACTTACTCTAAGTGTATCTCTATTGAGAGCATCTTGTTGTGAGCCTAAGTAGAGAAAAGGCAGTATACGTGTTGGCCCGTGATTGCTGATTGGCATACATGGCTGTGACAGTGAGGTCAATGTAGTTGACCCTTTGGCCGCTTTGTTTTCGCAAAGTGTCGGATAAGCCGACTGGAAGTCCAAAAAACCACCTCTTAATAGACTCACACTCTTGAAGACTAAACTAAGTTTACTTAAAAGTATTGTAACAAAACTATCGCTCGATAGCATCGACACATCTGTCGATTGTTGGTCATAGACTATGACTGTATGACTATTGTTAATCTGGCACTGGCATGTATGCACAAGTAGTTCATTAATAGATATCTGCAAAAATCAAAATATCATTCATATATTATATCAATTAATGTTTGGCATAATGTTTGGCTAACTTTGTTTTGCTGAAGTCTTCTCTTAACAATCTTAGAACAGTTGACATTCACTGCATAACTGATATGACAAGTATTATACTCGAGGAAGGATCGGCTGTCGATTATCAATATATTGTCCAATCGGTTAACTGTGATATCAGCCAATTGGTTGCTCTCAATCAACTCAATCGATTCCAATGTGTTCAACATATCTGTGCTATCAGTGCAGTCCATCGCATCCATACTATCAACTCGAGTCCAGAAGTCATTCAATGCGAGCATCTTTAGTGAGAAGCCATTACCGCATGTCTTGCAATGTCACATGTATTTCACTGGTAGTATAATAAACAATATTTATTATAACTATTATTATTGTCACTATTGAACACATTTTCAAAGAAATATATGAGAAGAATATATCAAGAATATAACTATATGTGGCCTTAAAGTGGATCAACCGTTGAGTTAAGTAAATGCACTCAATTTACTGTATATACAGATCACTCTCTACTCCAACCTATTCTTTGTCAACTATTCTGGGATACAATACTATCAATAGTAATGGTATTCAATACAAGAATGTATAGTAAAAGTATTGTAGTATTGTTCATGTGTTGGAATTTACAGGCATTACAGCCCTAATACATACACATAGAGCACAGCCTAACATATAATACAATGCCATTGAGTGTCGGAGTCGTGTATCTAATGTGTAGGCATTTCTCCGATATTTTTATAGATTATGAGTCATCGCTTATATCACACAACAGTCTAACTCTATTATAATAGACAACATCTAATCAATTAATTTTTACTAACAAATCATAATTATTATCAATTATATGAGTTATATGAGTCAATGCAAACATTGTATATCATTAGTAAATTTATTATTATTAATTATTGTTATTATACTAAATTTAATATAAATTTATATTAAATATATATCAAATTATATTGTATTTTTTTAAAGGACATACAACTATTCAATATTGGTGTTGACATATAATTGATAAATCAATACAACTATTTTGGCACAAAATTTACTAAGAATTGAATAAATAGAAAACAATAGATATTTAATTTAGATTCACTTTACTTATTATACAATCAAATTTTATTGAAAATATTGATAATAAATTTATTTATCAATTAAAATATGATAAACAATTGATAATATTTTTTCAAGAACTAAGCATTGATTTTAAGCAAATAATAATTATAATGATTATATATAATAGAAATCTATTGAATATATTTATAAAAACAATTTTAGTCTACAATTTACCATAAAATTCAATATAAGAGATAAATTGGTATGACTTTGCAAATGTGTTTCGGTCATCATTTACATTGTAATGATTGACACTTTTATGTGATATTTTTGTATATCATTATATTAATAAACAATTATTACTAAATAATGCATATGCTAATTCATGAATAAATTTCAATTATGTTTAATTTTATTAGTATTTATTAAAAAACTACAAATTAAAAAATTAATATAGAAAAATTATTAAAATCAAATAATTATCAACATAAATTAGACAATCTTAAAGTTTAGAATTGCATTGAATATATTTTTCAAATTTGATTAATTGCGATATTAAAAGTACTAAATTATATCGTAATATTCAGTATAACCAATGCATATGTTATGAGATTAGAAAAGGGTATAGCATTTCAACGACCAGATATCACTAGTAATTGTTATTTGAGGTTCAATATGGTATTTGTAATGCAAATGCAAACCAACACTAAGGTTAAGCTAGAGATGCCCTAAACAGTTGCTTCATATATTGAGGTCAAGGCCTAAGTCTGGGCTTAATTTAATTGACTCGAGTTTCAGACTTCATTTGCTTTACTGCAAAGATTGGCACAAAAGTATAAATAAATAAATATACTATAATAACAATAATTATTATTATTTTAAACAAAACATTCATTTTAATGCATTTGCATTAAGGGGTAGTTCTAAAGCAAATTTAATATAAATATAAAAAAATGTTTATTAAATTAGAAATATTTTTTACATTAAATATAAACTTTTCAAATGCATTCAAGTGTTGCTCTAAATAGATATGACTCACAACTGACTACTTTTGGCACAACTTTTCCTTCAAAAATAAATTTCATAACAAAAAGTATTTTTCTCAAAACAATAAATCATATGCTTTTGTGGATAAATGTTTTTTACCATTAAATAATCATTATTTTATTACCTTGCTTTTTATATCAATTATTGTATCAATTTTGTTAATAATTTACAACTAAATATAAGAAATCAACAAAACATTGTAATTTTGTTAAATATATCAATGAATATTTGCAATAATTTAAGCAACTAGTTATGTATGACATTGCTTTTATGATATTATAAATATATAGCATTGTATACTGTATATAACATGTAAGTAATTAAACTAATTACATTAAATTTTAAAACAGTAAAAACAATACTACTTACTAATACAATGTTTTATAAATAAAAATGTATTTATAGATAAATATAATACATATACGTTATTTTGATATAACTAAAATATTGACTAAATATACAAAAATTATTGCATAACAATTAGTGCTATTTATTGCAATATAGCGTTGCATTCAACGGATATTCCCATTTAGTTATTAAGTAAAATAAGCAAATAGTGTTTAAACAACAATATAGTAATTATATTGCATAATATACATAAAAATATTATGTTTATGTTTAATAATAAAAACATGTAAATATTTAAGTTTTAATTTATGCTAAAACATACACAAACTCTATGCAAAATTGCATTCTACATAAGCGCGCGATTATTAATATAAAGATATATATTGAATGTCGAAAACATTTTCAAATAAAGTCGAAAAACTTGTATAGACTGTCAAAATTTATGAATGTAATCAAATATTAATTATCAAATTTAATCATAAATATAACTAACAATTGGTATGTAATAATGCTAATACACAAGTAATTAATATACAAAATATACATATGTTTTGGTTGTATATTAATATTATTAATTTAATAACCAAATCAACTTAAGGAAGTTATGATAAATTTATTTTCAAATCGTCTTTCGGTTAGTAGACTAGTTATTCATTGACTTACTGTTAAAATCTAACTTTAACTGTATTATTCATATACAGTATATCAATATATTAATTTGTGACTTCAATTATTTTAATGTATTTCACTATAATTACTGTCCAATTGTGACATAAATCGATATTATATGTGAAAACCTATCGTGTATTTATATATATTCTTCAAATCAAATATTATATAAATTATATTCATTTAAAATCATATTAACAATTTCTAATATATAATCCATTGATTAAATAATTATATATAAATTAATTAAAGTAATTTCTAGTAATGACAACAATTATCAATTGTTATGTTTGGTTATAAAACTAATAGTCTATTAAATGCATTACTAAAAGCACATCATATTTACTGAAGACATAAACTAAAAACTATTACTGTATTAATAATAATAATAATAATAATACTATTATATATTAATACAATATAATATACAATTTAACAAATATATGTTAGTTTGTTGTCTCATATCCGCACTAATTATTTGACACATAATTTGTATACAATTTAAGTAAAAACAAACAGTGAATGAGTCATACATTTTGTAATCATAATATTTAATATAATAATATAAGCGACTATTTAATAGACAATAACATTTTGTTTTAATATTTTGATTTATCATATATTTATAACTTATATACATATTAATAGTACTGTAGTATTATAACATTAGCTAAAACGTGTAAAATTTTAAATCATCACATTTGATGTATATTTTTATATTACGGTTATATACAACATATTGAATACATACACTAAATATCATATATCATAAAATTACTAAAAAATATTAATTATAAATATACTTTAGTTATTATTTATTACATTTAACAAATTCAATTATAGTAAAAATTAAATTTAGTCATATATAAAAATAGTAATAAAAAATAATTTTATAATTCAATGATTAAAATTTCATCAAATTAGATATTAAAACAATGATAATTGTAATAATTTATTTCAAAATTAATACTATATTTGACGTAAACCTAAATATCAAATATATTATACAATACTTAATGTTATTATTATATTAAATATATTAATATTTTATATTTCATTAAATTTATTGATAAAATCTATGAATACCTCATTGAATATGTGGTTAATATCTACTTTTAATAAAGACTTTAATTTACATCAAGTAATTAATTGTGTATTCAATAAAATTAACTAAACTTTTAACTAAATTAAATTAAAAATCATATAAAAATTAAATATTAAACAAACCTTTAATTTAATAAATTTGTATTATTTATAGTCATTTGTCTAAAATTTTTAATAAAAATAATGTTTAATAACTTTAATAACTTTAAAAACAACACAATATTACAGATAAGTTGTCCACTAATTAGTCGTTAAAATCACATTAATATCAATAATGAAATCAATTGTCAATTTTGTTAATCAATTTCATAATTATTTTAATATTGTTTCCAAATTTCATTACTAATGCCTCCAAACTATTACACATACATTGCATATGACAGTCAATTACGACTAATATTATCACAACATTTTAATACAACATTTTTAAATGTTTCAATATTTTTATACAAAATTTTTAAACAAAATTTGTATATTTCTTAATTAATAATTAATTAATTAATAAAAATAAAAATTTAATATAAAAACAAAACTGTATTAATATAATAAATCTAAAAAATAATATCAATAGACGTAATCTATAGTGAAATATATTGCACTTTAAACTAAACGTCAAACCAATGAAAAAACACAATGATTTCACTGTATTATCATTGGCTTAAAATGACTAATCAATAGTTGAGATAACATTTCAATTGGACAACAATTTTAAGCAAACTTTAAGTAATTTAATAATCACTGATAACGTTATGATAAAAATGTACAAAACATTAGACCCCCGACAAGTGCTTTCAATTTTATTATTACTATAATATAACTTATTTTATTAAACATCTAAATAAATTACAGCTTTTATTTGTAAATTTAACCATGATGCTTTATAAATATTATTTATGCTAATATTTAAAACTAAAAACATCAATATAAAATGTACCAGTTCATTTATATTTTTTAATGTTATATCAAATTAATATTGTTGAGATACTTATTATACAATTAATACAAATTTATAATATTTTTTTAATATTTCAAATCAATTGTCCAATAGTTTACATTCTACACAAATATAATACAAGTATACTTGTAGTATAAATTTATTTGAATTATTGAAAATAAATTAATCGATTGTTTTAAAGTTATTTAAAATTATCATAAATATTGTTGTATTGTAGTATTGGACATTATTTTTTTAATAAGATATCTTAATAAACAAATAAATATTTATACAGTATTTCAAACTTTTATAATATATTTAATATAAAATTTTAAAGTTAATTACTATATTTAGAAAACAGATTAATGAACTTTTTTGATCGTTAATAACATTATTTTTAATGAAATATTTATTTCAATTATAGTGTCATCTGTTATCCATATTAACAGTCACTATATTGCAGTAATTAAAAGGGAACCGAAATATATGATGTCTTAATTAATATAATTAAACTAAATTATAATAAACTAAACATTACTTGCACTGGAAATCAGTTCACATGACTATAATTTAATATTAGAAACGTTAGTATAAAAAATAAGTATTAATATATAATAAATAAAATTATATTAGAATTAGAAAATTGCAAAACTTTATTATTATTATTATTTATTAATATAAAAAGTAATTCATATAAAACTTGTTTTGTTTTTTCAATCTATGTCTTTTGATCTAATCTACTGTAAATTTATATTACATTATTGTTTAGAAACAAACTAGCCATGACAAAATTATATACTAGTAATTATAATTTATATTGTATACTTTAAAAATTAATTTAATTTATTAAATATATTACAAAATAATAAATATTTATATAATATAATTAGTAGCTATTTAATACATTTATTCATTTTTAAAAAATTATTAAATGCATTATACAGTAGAACATGAATGATAAGGAGTAACCAATTCCTGAAAGGAGTACTTAATACGTATATGCATTCTCTGTCTGTCTGTCTGTCCCACGATGGCATAGGTTCGAATCCAGGCTCTGCTAATAAATTTTTGATTTTTTTCTTTTTTAAGTTAAGGAGTTCGTATGGAAATGCTTTTAAAGCATTCTCAACTGGTTTTTAATTGTAATTGTCATTATAATACTGACCATTAAATAATACTATTTGTTTATCAATTGTAAAAAATATTGTTATAATTTTATTATTTTGTTGTTTATTATTTATAGTGGTTTTTCTTACTTCACACATAAATTTATCTTGTATATTTTGAAAACTTAAATAATATAAATTTATAATATTTGTTAAAATGTATATTTATTTATTTTTATAAGTATACATAAAATAAAATATAAATTGTTAATGTCAAATTATTTAATGTTGCATTTACAGTATATATTTATTAACAGATATTAATTGAATAAATGTTGATCTAAATCTAAAATTAATATAAAAAAATTATATACAGTATTAATACCGTATTAATAATATTTATTATAAATGAAACAATAAAGCAATTAATAATAAACCAAATGATTGTCAACTAAATTATCACTTATATAGTAGTCTTCATGACTTAAATATGATTTTCTATTCCCGACAATACATTTCCACATACACTGCCACTTGTGGTCAGTGGTGTTGACATTGTTTTACTATATATTTTAAGTTAAAATTTTTAACTTAAAACGTTTTATTGTTGGTATTATCATATAATAAACAATTGAAAAAATATACAATTATCAATTTATATCATACATGTATATGTAATATCATATTTTTATTTATTAGTATCTTTACAATTATTTTTTGTTGTTGATAATTTCTAATAATTATGTAATAATTAAGATACATTAAAATTAAAGCGCTTTTAAATATAAATCAATCAATAAATAAATTATTGAACACAATTATTGTATAAAAAATTAAATAATATTAATTAACTAATATATAAGTATATATATATGACATAATTATAATATTAAACAATAATATATAAATATAAAAAATAACTTAAATTTAAAACGTTTAGTTATAAAATAATTTGAATTAAAAATTTGGAAATTAGTTTTGTAGTGTTTATATGGCAATGAAATGATATGTTTGATGATTAAAAATAGTTTTAAATATTAATAATAATAAATATATGTAAAAAATCAACATTTTATAATTTAAATTACGAATAAACAAATTCGTTTAAAAGAGTAACACATATATTAAATATTTAAGACTACAAACCAATTAATCAATTTTGAAAAATTGTTTTGTATAACAGTATTAATAATATATTCTTAATAATTGAATATAAGAAATAATATAAATCCTATAATTAATTTGGTAATCAAATTGTCTATAATTGTATTATAAATTTGCTAAATGACTAATAATAATAAATTGACTAATTATTGCCACAATAATTATATTTCAATAGATGACGGTGTGTTCAAAGTGGATGGTTGTACACGAGGTGTGCCTTTTATGATTCCAGTTCTTTGAGTTCGAGGTGAAGGCATAGTTGTCTCCATTTTCATGGGAACGTTAAGACTGTTGGCATTGGTATTGGCCGCCGATTTTGTCTTAGTTTTCATGATTTTACCGCTCATAATAAGTCTTCCGAAGCCTTCCTGGTGTGAGAAGGCATAACCCGATCGTATAGATCGCCGACTTCGACGAATAGAACTTCTTCGTCTCATTTGTGGCTCCGGTCGGGCTCTCATACGGGATATCCGTTGCTTATATCTACACCGATCACTAAGTGTCGGGTGAACTGATGTGTGATAAAAACGATTGGCCACTCCCGGCACTAAAAGGACGGCTAATATTAAAAATAGTGTAAACCAGAACTGTCCCGAACTCAGAGTCATTCTAAGGCAACCCAAGTATTGGTTTCTAATTAAGTTACTGTTTATGAACAAAGTTAGGGCAAAATAAAAGGCAACACTTCCCCAAATCACTATATGATTAAATACTGTCCAATAGGATGTATCCAATGCTATCTATTTACACATTTATAAAAATATAATTTATCATAATTAGTGATATAAAGTATAGACATTTGATAGATTTACTGTATATAACATACTTGTGCTGTCACGACTAGAACCAAAATAGTTGAGACAACTGTCCCAAAAATCTGATGTCCATCTAAATTGATACCTTCGGGTCCGACAGCATTCCTAAAAGCGCCGTAAGAAATGAAAAATAATACAAATGATGAGACGATTCCGTGAGCGACACTCTTAAGGAATTCAATTTTGTTGAACAATAGATTTAAATGGCCCGGAGTATATAGTAATGGATAACGGAGTGATATGCGATCGTCAACATCCTGATCAAAGATGCCCAGTGCTAACACCGGTAGTGATGTATAAAATACATTATAAAATGATATAAAAGCCGGATCGTAAAGAGTCTGCAATTAAATTATATATGTATTTATTTATTATAAAATAGTATTATAATTATAAAATTTGTATATAATTTATATTAAATCCTGGAATACCTGTGCAGAGAAACCACAGAAAAATGCGTACCAAAAGTGGCAGAGAGTGAACGCAAAGTTCTTGTAGAAGAAATATCTCAAGAATTTACACATTCGGAAGTAAGACCACCGCCCGTGGACTAGCAGTAGGCGCTCCAAGAATCGGAACTGTGCTATTGAAAAGTCACTCGACAGCACTGCCTGCATACCTGTCAAACATATGATACAATCAATTTTATGTATCACATTAAACATACCATATATAGTATACCTTCCTGTCCACTAATTCCAACACCAATGTGTGCGGCTATTAGTATAGAAAAATAAATAAAATAAATTAAATCATTTAGATATTTAAAGGAAAGGGTTGTAAATATGCCATACTTTTAATCATACTGACGTCATTAGCTCCGTCGCCAATGGCCAAAGTGACGGCTTTTTTGTGGCGTTTAACGAGATCTACAACCAATGCTTTTTGCAATGGAGTTACCCGACAACAAATGACTGCTTTGCAATTTGAGGCCACGTCTAGAAATAGGAGTTCCATCTTTGGCTGAAGTGCGTGAACAAGACTATGACCATTGATGACTAAAGCGAATCCACCAAAACTATCGCTTTCATTAACTTCAATGGGACTGGCATTTGGAGCACTGGCTCTGTTCTCATATCTATTAACCAAATTTCCATCATTTGTGTTCAAATTATTATTGCCATGAAATGAAACAACATTTAGATCAGTTGCACCGTATGTATGACTCATAACGTTTGCAATGTTTTCACGACATCTCTTTAGTTCATTCTCGACATCTTCATACTCCCAGCCCTCTATCGTAAACGTATCCACCATTTCATCAGTTAGTAATTGGCAACTATATCCTGATTATAATAAATAAATATATCAATCAATAAAATTTAAACTATTAATATTATCAAATCACTTTCAATAGTATTGATATATAAATTACTTTCATAAAAAAAATATTTTAATATAAATTATAAATTATGATTAATATAGTATATGCAGTATTTTTGATTAATATTTTATGTTTCGTTTAAGTTCACATATAAATAAAATATTAAATACCGTAATTGAATTTTTTGTAAACAATATTGTAGTTAACTTAGTCGTAAAAATATAAAAATAAATAATATATTTATAGAATATAAATACCTTATAATAAAAATATAAATAAAACACTAACCTATATTAATAGCCGTTTCTTGTTTATCTCCAGTCAAAACCCATAGTTTAATGCCAGCTGCGGCTAAATTGGCAATACATTGAGGAACACCATCTTGTAGTTTATCTTCAATAGCTGTGGCGCCCAAAAGTATAAGATTTTGTTCAATTTCTTCATAGACTGCGTCAACTTTATCTTCTCTGTTATCCAAAGAAGTGGACGCCTCATGAAGTCTTTGTTTCCAACTTTCATAATATTGAGAGTCGAGCTCTTTCTTAGCTAAACATAGTGTCCGGAGTCCTTCACCGGCAAACTTATTCAAGTGGTCGACAGTATTCAACTTGATTTCGGCACAACTCGTGTCCATTCTCTCGAATATCACAGTATCGGCGCCTTTGCAATAAAGTATGATTTTGCCATTTTTGCGGATTATCACCTAAAATAGATATATAATAATTATATAATAATTTATACTTAACTTAATAAATGTTTTTTTTACTTACAGACATACGTTTGCGAACATTATTAAAGTCAAGAATAGCTAAAAGTTCGTAAACTTGTGTTTTTCCCAATTCATCGATTGTAATACTAGTCGGCGTCCGATTCTATAAATTTTAATATATTTTATATTTACCGGTTAGTATAAATTCTTAATCTAGTTTATAATAATGTATTTTTTATGTTAAAAATTATAAAAATTCCTAAAATAAATACAAATATACTATTTGTTAAAAAAATAATTTAATAACCATATATATAACTGTGCTTATAAAATTAAGATACTTTTAAGTATACAACTAAAATAAATATTCACTACTATATGATGTATTGATTAATTATTGATTCCCCCCAATGTCTCAGTTTCAGTTTTCTTCTTTAAAAATATTATATTAAAATTTTGTTGTAATAACTTGGAAATCGTTAGTATAAAACAATACTAAAATATATAATATAATATAAATGATTATAAAATATACCCTAAAAACAAATCCAAAGTTTCTGGCTGAGGATGTAAGGGCTGCCTCGTCGGGAGACTGCGCCTGATATTCAAGTTTGTTATCCTTTTCCTCAGACATAACTGTATGGCAAAGTGCGAGCAAACGAAAGAATTCGCAAACTTCTTGATTACCACTATTTATTTCATCCAGAAGTGACTGATCATAAAATTTGAAGCTTTCCTCATACATGGGATTTGCTGAGAAGTCAACTGAAACCATATCTTCTGTTATCTCAAGTGGTTCTCCGGTAACTTCATCTAAAACATCTCCGTAAAGGTTGGAATTGATGGTACATTTGTTAAATGTCATAATATTTTGTGTAAGAGTTCCTGTTTTATCACTAAATACATATTGTATTTGTCCCAACTCTTCATTAAGTGTAGTAGTCCTGGCTTTGGCAGCGACATCAGTCAATGGATAATACATTTTTTCGTCCCAATTGATCCATAATGAGTGACAAAAGCGAATCACTTCAACACTAACATACAATGATATGGGAACCACTGTATTGAGGACAATGGCGTATGAAAAGAAAACGAGAACAGCTATGACTGCGGCACCACTTTTAGGATTTTCGGGAACTATTATATCCCACGGAAGATATACTCGAAAGTATTGACCCGTCACTGTCTCCCACACACCACTCGCTATCGTACAGAAAAGACACATCGATATCAAGAAAAAAACGATCTGAAAATTATAAACATCTTTATTATTTAGTCATCAAATTAGTCAATAATTTTTTAAATACCCCTAAAATTAATAAATTTAATAATCGATCGAGACTTGTCCTCTTAAATAATGTTTTTCCACTATTTTGCATCAATTTGGTATCTCTGCCTATTAATTGAGATATATTTTAACATAAATTTGAATTAAATAAAAATGTGACTAATACTACTTGAGCTAACATGACTGACCTGCAAAGACAACGACACCAAAACACCATTTAGTATTTCTTAATCGACATCCTCTCAAAAGCATTTTGTCGTTATCAACGGAAAACGTCTCATTAATCCAATGAAGAGTTCCCTCAAAACGAGTTAAGTTGTTGTTTGGCGGCTCACAGATCATCTCAGCTAACATTTAATATCATATTATTATAAATATCTCATAATATATCGATTATATAAAGTACTGTATAAATACCATTGAATTTCGACAATAAACTGAAATCATCTCCAAGTTCTGATGTTTCGGGTATAGCTTGTCTGCATTTCAAATTTGTTTCACTATTATTAAAAAATATAATTAAAAAAATTATTTGACTTTTAAATAAATAAATAAAATTATTATTATATAAAAAATATTAAATATGATATACCCGTCTAATTCTGCAGTTTCTACATAACAAAGACCATTGGGTTCACTCGTGGATAACATAAGAAGATCAGCCTTTAAATTAATAATTTGTAATATTTAATATTATAGTATAAATAGTTTAATAGTAAAATTTATATAAATATAAATTTTTTAGATATGTTATTAAAAATAACATACGGCAACGAAATTGTCATTTTCCATAAGTACGATATCTCCGACCTGTACTTTAAACCAACGTTCCTCAACTAACTTTCCGTTACGGAGTACTTTTGATAAACGATTATTGATCTGATTATCACTTCTATGTCTTTGCTAAAATATTTCAATCAATTAATAATTAAACATTAAATTTAAAAATAAGTATTTAGTAATCAATTGTATAATAAGTACATACAATATCATCGATTGCATCTTTGATTGCCGTCAGCGACAATACAACAATTAAAGGCACTGCAGTTGCGTACGGTGTTAGCGATGATATGTAGGGAATGACCTATTGTTACAAAAATTAATTAACAATTGACTAAAATTGTAATTATTTTATCAAATATTATTATAACCACAAGTATTATACCTGAAGTATGAGAAGACAAAGAAAATAAAAATTTGCGAGTCTTTGGAACTGTTCGAACAGATTTAGCGGCAAAAATGTTAACAAACTATATTTTGATGTCTTGATATAGTTATTCTGGTCATTATTTTTATAAATATGTAATAAACAAATTAGTTTTCAAATTATTTCAAAAAATAAAATCATAATAATCTTAAATATAACAAAATAAAGCAATTATAAAACAAATTAAAAAGCAAGAATTGTGAGCAAATTTAGGCCAAACATACAACACATAACTAAACGATTGTTTCCCTATTCATTAAAATTGTATTATCAATAAATCACACCTCAAGTCAAGTCAATTCTTGCATTTTTACAATCATTAGCTTAAATAAACAGTTATAACAGTAAATGGAGAATAATATCGATAGATAATCAAGAATAAGGACCACACCTATCAAGTACTCAATTCTTGTCTAAATTCTTCATTTTATGTGCGTTTTTGGCCAAAACATTATTCAATCAGAAGATCACATATATTTCAACAATCATTACATTTATATGGCTTACAACTGATTATAGATTTTCTTAGCTTTTAAAAAGAAACCATTCAATTAATAAACACTTTTGGCTTATAATTGCAAATAAACAAATGTTAAACATTTACTAATTAACAAATAATAATTATTAATAATATAATACTTACGGCATAATTGAATTTAGAGTTGAAAATGGGATCATTTGCTCGGATTCTTCTTTCAGTTTCTGTCAAAATAAAAATACTTTTTAATATTTTATAAATTATAATTTAATATTATTAATTATTAATTATTAATTAGTATTTACTTATATATTTTTTAAAAATACACTTGAATATTATGTGATTTATTAAATTAATATATAACAATAAATTTAATTAATCATTATATAATGTAATTAATATGTTAAATATAATTATGTAAATGTGATTATAAAACAACTAATTATTCTATAATACAAAAAATTGTTTATTATTCATATCACTTACAATGTTAAGTAATATAAAATAGTATATGTTTAAAAAATATACTGTATAAACACTGATATTGTCTACTTATTTTGACTAATATTTATATATCTTTGAATAAATTAATTTAAGGTCATATCATATGAAAATATTTTGTTAGTAATATATATACTGTATATTAAAAACCATATGAAAAATAAATATAATTAATAGTTGGAAAACAAAATAAAAAATGAAGTAAATAAATAAAGACATAGAAAAAGGGGTCATTTGAAGCATTCGTGACTTCATTAAACAAATGCAATGAATCTCAACTATTAATGGATATGTTATGATAAATATATCTAATTTAAAATATATTGTTTTATGCTTAATATATTAAGTATGCAGACAGTACTTGTCATTTAATATTCAATAATTTAACACTAAGTTAATGAGTATCAAAGGAAAACACTAATTAACCAAATGTTAAATCTAAGTATTGTTATATAAAATTCAATAAATAACGAAAAATAATTCAATTAAACATAAATGTAAAAATAATTACAATAAAATTAAAATTTGTGTTTAGGTTTATCTAGTATATTTTACGATAAATACTTTAAATATTTTATTTGACCATGATAAGCTACTTAATTTTAAGAAATACTACATAGATTATCAATTAAAATTGTCTTATTTACATATCATAATAAATTTTATAAACATTATTAATATAATTAAATTAAACAAAAATTCTTAAATATGTTTTATATCATCAAAAAATTATTATTGAAACAAACTTTGCAAAGATTTATCATTATTATAAATATCGTAATATCAATATTGTAATCGTATTGTGATATCAATAAAAGTAAAAATCATTTTTTAAATTATAGTTTATTTTCTATACTTATAATATATTACGGTATTGTTTAGTATTAATGATTGACAATTTTGTCATGAATTGTTAGTCTAAATTATTAAACCGCTATAAGTCATAATATTTATAAGATGTTTTATGGTAACATGTTGTCATATAACTAGTATATTATCAAAAAATTTGTTATTTAATTTAAAAATAAATTTAATATAATATACTGCAATTATGTTATATAATTAGAATCTTTGATAATATTAAAATATATAAATATTAGTCATATAAAGTATTAAAAATATATGGCAAATACTAATCAACAATTAAAGTATTAAATATTTACAAAATTTCAAATTATTATAAAGCGAATTAATATAATTATAAACATAGCTTGATATTAATGTAAAGTGAAATGAGTAACAATTTGTATAATTGATTGTTAAGAGTAAACCATTTGTATCAGATATAAGTAATCATTATTTGTATAAATATATAAAATAATATTCAAATGACATAAATAGAAACATTCAATCATTTTGTGTAAGAAATGTTTCTCTCTATTGCTATGAGACTTAAGTGTGTTTTGTTTAAAAGATTTGTTTTGTGATCACTATTTCATAACAACATATAAAAATTATATATATATATATAAACCAATTTTATTGATTCAATTTAATTCATAAACATGTATTGAAAGTTCTTGGCAGTGAAATAATTCAATACTTTAATATTGTATTTTACTTAACATAAAATATAAAATATATTATTATATACTGTATTTCACACTAAAGAACAAATAATATTTTTATATACTTAAAATACCTGTATATTAACTATAAAAAAACGTTATACTAATTAATTATGTTATCAATTACTTTATGCCAATAAAAAAATATTCTTTCAATTACTGTCAAAGTTTTCATCAAAATTAATCTTTTATTTTTAAGGATTACTACTATACAAAATACAAAAACATTTTATAAATAATAAACAAATTTCGTGTAATTTAACACTACTTACAGTAATATTATTATTTTTATAATTTCATAAAAAATAATTTTATTTATTATAAAAATTAAATAAAATTAAAAATGACAATTTTAATTAATAGTATAAATCAGTTTCCTTATTTTGTTTGATTTGTAGTGCTTTTAAATTAACTACTTAAACAATGATTTATATTATATAACACACACCCGACTCTTATTATAATAAACATATGATTGAAAGTGTCACTGATTTAACTATTCCTTCTCAAACAATATTTAATCAAAATTATGTTTTATAACAATTATTTGGCTTTAAATCATTTAACTTTCATCTAATAAATTAATATTTCATTCTTATATGTTAATTGGCATATATAAACTATATAAACTATATGAATATATATTTCATTTAATGTAAATTATTAGAAATGTAGTATTTATGATGATTTGTAATCTAATAATTGTAACATTTTTCAAATGCTTATTTCAAATGTTCCTCTAAATTAAATGTTAAGTGCAATACACGGAATACTCTTTAATACTAAACACAACACATTAGTTATTTACAAATCAAAATTATTAATTAGTAGTAATTTAATAATTATAAATCAATAATAATAATTTGACAGTTTTTAAAAAATGCTTAGATCACAACAAATTAATTTATTCAATTAATAAAAAAATAGTTGATGAAATAATTAATTAGAAAATATTTATCGATAGTTACTAATAATATTAATTTTTATTGCTTCAAATAGCTTAATATACGCTGTTATACACTATAATTTATTGATATAAATAAGTTTTAATTGAAAGTTATATTCGTTTTAAAATATTATTAATTATGTTCAAAATTAAATTAGTTTTAAAATGTATATATAAATAAATTGCTAATTATAACTATAGATTTGATATTTATTATATCATAAATATTAATGATATTCTTTAAAATATGACTTTTTCTACAAATTCTTTAAAATTTTACAATTATTTTAGTAAAATTATATAACTTATACATAATTATTAAAAACTAAACAAATATATAATAAATATCATATATATTCATGACTCTCACGAACGCGTTTACAAAAAAATGTGTTAATTATTAAACCAATTATATTATCTTTTATGATATAAAATTATTTAAGTGATGTCTAAAACTTAATATAATATTTTGTTAACACATAGATTTGTGTCAACATAAACATAGCATAACATACATATTGACAGCAATTTTGGTTTTTACCTCAAACCTCAATAAATATTTTATGTTTGGGTAACATGTGATGCACTCCGCCCTTAACTCAGTCCTGTGTTTTGGGTGTGGATTCAGATGAAGATTCATATGAAACACAAGAGATTGTCAAACTTTATGCTAAAATATAATTATAATACAATATACTGTATGTCGTATCTATTAAACATACTGTGCTTTATATAGTATAGTATTTATATAGTACAGTATATATATATATATATATACTGCATATAGTAAATACTCATATAATTCATAAAATATTTTAAACATAATTCTTATAATTATTTTATATTTCATTTTATAATAATAATAAATAAATTGCATTTATTATAAACTTATTGAATTTTTAAATTATCTCGACTTTGTTGTTATAAAAAAAACCAATGAGTGAGTGAGTGAAAGAAAGAGAGAGGCATTAATTATTTATAATTAATGTCTATTAATGACTTAAATAGTTAAATATCTTAATAATCTACGATATAATATATAAATTATTGACTTAAAACAACTATAAAAATGATATGTATTTTGTTTTATAAATAAGAATTTGCATAAAATGTTATCAAACAAAGTAAAAAAGTACATCTTTTATAACCAAAATAAAAACAAAGCGCTTATATATATATATTCTTTATGATAAGTAAAGTATTTAAAAAATATTAATTAATTATTTGATACAAAGTATATTGAGTCATAAATTGGTGTTATATTAATTAAATATTATAATTACACGATAGTCTATATAATGGTCAATATTATAGTTAATATAATAATAAGCAGTAAAGTCTTACCTCTCTGTTTCTCCTTATGCTTGAAAGCCATTGAAGGATTGGTGAGATATTTGTGGTCACTTTACGGACACCCATTCAATAGTCAACATATATCATGAATCCTAATAACGAAAATATATCACAATTAAACAATTAAAAACAGCTAAATTTAAATTACTTTAAATAATATCATTTTAGTTAATTAAACAATTCCAAGATTAGATCATCGAGAAACTTAATTCAAACTTTTTTGATCTTATTTTACGTTATAATTATATACAAATTGTTGAATAAATAAATTTAAAAAGTAAATAAAAAGTAGTATAATATATATATATCTATATATATTTAGATGTAAAGAATAATATATTGTTAATAAATTAAAATCGACATAAGAATCTAATGTTAAACATTTAACGTGTAGTTATAAAACATTAAAAACAACAAATGATATCCAAGTTGTTTAAGAGTCTTCATATTTGAGTGTTGTTTGAAACCCTTAAACGCATGACTAGAATATATGACACGGAATGTGCTGAATGTTTATGTATTTACAAAACTTCTAATATTATACACAACTATGAGATGAGATTTTTTAATACTTTTTTTATATTTTTTATTTGCTTTTATTTTTTAGCTCTTTATTTATGTTTTATAATTTTATCAAAATTTCATAAAATGCTCACTACTATCAATAAATTTTGCCTTAGTTTTATTATAATTTATCAATACATTTTAATAAATACAATAATAGTTTCTCATTTTTATTTAAGATTGGATAAGATTATTATTAAAGAAACTATGTATCAAAAATAATAACAAAATTTATAACAATTTATATATTTCTTAAAAACATTGTTAACTTAGTTCAATCTAACAAAATACCTGTAAAATATTTTAGACATAAATTCAAATTATTTATATAACTATTATTATATGAAATATATTATATGACATTACTATTCAAAATAATTGATAATTTAAGTGATGTTTGTTTTTCCATTGCATTTATATCAAGTAAGCGATGACTCGTATTAATCTTTGTTAACAATTATAACTTAGGAAACAATCTGAAGTTTTATTAAAGCAAATACAGTATCAATATTATAAATTATTATCAAAAAATTAATAATAATGATAACCAGTGTATATTTATTACAAATTAGTGGAGAAACAAAAATTTTATTTAGTTTTTAATTTGATTATAACTACAGTCTATATACTAAATTTATTATATAACTCACGTATGAAATCAATATATAGATGACTACAAAAAGTGAACGGAAATAACATTTTTCTAAACAAAATCATTATAATCAGTGCAAAAATCACTTAAAAATCAGTATTATATTTGGATTAAAAAGCAATACAATGTACAGTATATCCGATACAATGACTGAATGACACATCAGTTATGAGTTGGGTTTTGAGTAAAAGAAAAATTCAATTAATAAGATATACTGTATTTCTATGATAAATGACTCTCATATTAAATAAATTAAATATTTTATATAAAAATATGGCTAAAATATTTAATAAAATTAAAAGACTAACAAATCAAAGTTAAAATCGTCAAAATGTTTGTCGATAAACACTTATTATAGTTCAAACAATTCAATTTGATATTTCAAAAATTAATATTTTTATATTAATTTATTGTAACAAAATTTGTCTTTCCTGAGACATACATTTCCTAACAATTAATAGCTATAATAACAAGCGCTTTAAACAATTAAATATTTAGATTACATTTTTATACAAAAATTGAGTTAAGATTTCAAACTTTTTTTTTATTTTGTTAAATAAAATATTAACGGCGCTTACAATTAAAGTAATGTTCAATAAGTGTCTTAATCAGTGATACCATACCATTAATTGTTGAATATGTTGTAAACGTGATGTTTTCGATGTGATAGCAATTAAAGGACGGCATAAAATTGATGACAAAGTTAGTTAGTTTAATAAATCACAAAAAATACAAATTTGTTGTATTTTTGATACTTTGAAAATAATGGACTGATATATTAACTAATAATTATATTATTGACCGCAAAAGTAGGTCTAACTTGTGACAGGTATGATATGTATGTCTATATGAGTCTCAATTGGTGAAAGTATCTCACATATACCTGTTTTGACAAACTCTCTAACTATTAATAATAAAATTGTTATATATTTACTGTTTTATTGCATGTAATCCTAGAGTTTCATAATGTGTTGTTATTGACGACAATTTCATTTCATAAACTCAATGCTGTTTAACACAAGTGTAGAGTAATGCCGATACCAATGTGTGACTGTTTGTGCAATAGTTTGTTATAACCTATTCAATAGCAAAACCAATGCCTCATTTGACAAATATATTATAAGTAAATCATTTTTAATTAATTCATTACCACATTTAGCTCTATTTAATTCAATTAAAATTAATTATAATTTATTACTTTTAATAATTACAAGAGAAGCACCAATAAATTCATTTATAAATATAGTGCTAAAAACAATTTATGATTTTATTATATTAATGTGTGTTTATAGGAACAAATAATTAACATTATTTACGATACTTTTTATATTAGTTTCAGTTCTATAGTTATATATAATAATAATAATAATATTATTAGAATAAATGACATTTATAAACATTTTGTAAAATATTAAATAAATATTGTCACGTATTATATAAATTATTATATAAATTATTATATAAATTATTATACTGATATTCTATAAGTTATAATATTATACAGTATATTAAAAACTTAATTTTTTAAAAATTACTTAACGATATCAATAAACTTTACATAAATTGTATGATTCAATGCAAGCTTTTTAACTGAATAGCAATCGCTATCTATCGTAACACAAGAAAATTGTTGATTTTAATGAAGTTTATTGTAAAATAAATTATATCACATTTTTAAATATTCAAAAAAATTAAAAATTAACCTTTAAAATATTTGAAATTTAATATTAATTTTTAAATTATATTTTTAAAATTTTTATTTATAAAATTACATTTAGTAAAAGATCTCTTATATAAATTAAATCTTTATGTATATTTTAGTTGTACAGAAAGCAATTAAAATCAATATATATTTACTAAATTTACCGGTAGTTTTATATTTAACAGAAATACAATGTATTAAATTTAAATAGAATTATAACTATAGCTAAAATGTTATATTTTTATATTTATATAAATTTATGTTTATTTCTAAGTTGTATTAAAAGCAATGGCAATAATAACTGTATTAACAATATTATTATTATTTATCCAAATGAACCATTATTTTGATGCCAACTCCGCTGTCAAACGTTTCAAATGCTTTGACAACATCTTTGAGTGGAAAATGATGTGAAACTAATGGTTTTACATCTATTTTACCTAAAAAATATAATTTAATATAATAATAATATTTATTAAATAAATTAAAAATGTTTTTATTATTATATTTAATTGGTATTAAATATATACCCGAAGCAATCATTGTTGAAGCCAATGGAAAGCTGTGTTAAATAATTTTAAAATATTATCATTAATATAATTCATTTTAATAGCGATATTAATAAAAAATAAGTTACCAATTGGTATATCTAAAAATGCCTCTGACATCAACCTCACGAAGTGCTGTCTCTGATACGGGTATTGTCACCTCAGAAGGTCCCAGACCTACGAGTACAGCCTTACCACCGCTTTTAGTGCAAAGCATCGCTAATTTGATGGCCGATTCAACTCCAGTGCATTCAATGGATGCGTCCACTCGTTTGCCAATTATTTTCATAACTTGATCTATATTTTCTTTATCAGACAGTTTTGGATCAATTAAAATAGTTTTATCTGCGCCTAACTTTTCAGCCACTTTTAATCGATCAGCATTTATGTCTAAAATATTGATTACATTAAATTTGTAAAATTAATTATATATAAATTATATATAAATTTTATATATATATATATATATTATAGTTATAAATTTAATTAAACCTGTAATAAATATTTTTGTGGCACCAAATTGTTTAGCCACCAGAATGTTGACCAAACCGATTGGTCCGGAACCGCATATAAGCACAGAATTTCCAACCGAAACCTTAGCTCTTCTGCATGAATGGACGGCCACAGCCATGGGTTCAATAAGAGCCCCCTCTTCGTTGGTCATGTTGTCCTCAAGTCTGACATTTATTGATAAATTGTTTTAATAATACAATTATATTATATTATTAATGTTATTATAAGCTTTTGTGAATCAATTTCAATAATATGATATTTCAAACATTTTAAAATTACATCAATACATGTTTTACATTCAATTTGCATTCAAAACACGTTTAATGCAATCAAACATAACTAATGACAGCTAACTGTTGCAACAATGAATTCATATAATAATTTACAGATTATTATTTTATTATACTATACTACAGTATACTCTAGTATTTATTATATGATTATTTTGAGGTTCCTGTAATTAAAACTTAATAAATGCTAAATCAATATTAAATACATTAATTTTAATAGATTTTTAATATCTTTATATTTATCGTTATTGTTATATAAACTATCAAGGCCAATTTATTTAATAAAATATTTTGTTTAAATTGTTATTCTAATAAAACAGTTTACGTTTTGGCAATTTTACAAGTTTTGAACAAAACTTTTATTCTATTGATTCAATGTTTATCATTCAAATAAATAAAACAATTGAATTTATATTATTATTATTAAATAAAAAATATATTTTAAAAAATGTTTTGAAATCAGATAACAAATTATTGAAAATTATATAATCGATTATTGGTTAGTGGACTCACTTGAAACAAAAGTCTGCATCGTATTTGAAATATTGTCTGAGAGTCCCATTGACAGGAGGCGTGCCGTGACTATCATAAATAAATTTAAATTAATTATTTTTTAAATTTTAAATGTTTAATTTGTATTTAATTTTGAATAATTTGTAATGAAATATAACTATATAAATATTAATTTTCTGTAAGATAGGGTATATTTCGAGGAGTTTGATAATTTGAGTGACATTAGTTTATATCAAAATAATATAATTTTTAATATACAAAAATATAGAAAACTAATCAGAATAATTTTAAAAACTTATATTTAAGTAATTGTAATACTTTTAAATATTTAGATTTATAACCTTTTGCTAAGAGATAAAATTTAAAATTTAAAAATATTATTTATTACTAAATTGAAATTTTACTAGTTTTAGATAATAAGAAATTTCTTATGAAAAATTTTCTATTTTTGCAAATATTAACTTATATTTAATATAATAAGGTTTTATTAAATAAACATAAAGTGTTTTAACATAGAGAAGTTTACTTGGAATGTTTCAAAAAGTTTTCTTATATTTCATAGGAAAATTACTATTAGTATTATTGTAATATATAATTAAAAGACTTACCATTTAACGTCTGGACAAAGATTATATGAACCGGTCTTACAATAATCGCAAAGACGACAGGGAAGTGTTGGTTCGGCAGCCACTCTATCACCAACTTTGATGTGATGAACACCCGGTCCCACTTCAACCACTTGAGCACATGTTTCGTGGCCGAGGATTAGTGGATCTTTGATCTCGAAGTGAGCTATCTTTCCATGTTTCCAGTAATGATGGTCTGAACCACATAATCCCACACAAAGTGTCTTCAATATTACTTCTGTTATAATTATAAAAAATGACAAATCATTTTACTATTAAATTTTAACAAACCATTATATCCCGGCTTCTCCGGCATTTGTGTCGACTCTACTCTAAGATCCAGTACTTTATGCAAAACTGCCGATAAATTGACATTTGTTGACGAACTCATTGTAAATAATTTTACAAATTATATTTTATAATAATCTATTGTAAAAAGTTTTATAAAAACAATTTAGTTATTAAAAAGTATTTTTGAATTATAAAATATAAACTTTAATGAATAAATGACAACATAATATATACATATCTCTTATCTTTTATAGTGAGTTATCTCTAATTTCACAATCAATTAAAAATTTTAAAAATTGTTAATAAGCCTTGAAATATGTTCAATAAATTTTAGTCCAATCACTTCTTTTGTGATTATTCAGCTAAAAAAGCCTTGAATTCAATTACTGTATTTTTAATTAATTCTTTTAGATTTTGTTAAAATTTAAATAAAATGCCATTTATTTAACAGTGTAGTAAAATACCGTTTAATATTAAATAACATAAAATAAACTATGATATAATATTTAACATTAATTATAAAGGATATGACAAAAGTTTGCAATTGATAAACAGTTTAAAATAAAATATTTGAATAAATGAATATTTGAAAATTGTAAAATAGTACTAATTATACTTTATTTTTGTTTATACATATTTATTTAAAAAAATAAAATATACTATTTATACAAATAATAAAATATAATAAAAAATAATTATTATTAAAATCTATAATAGAATTATTTTTGCTTATTTAGTTTAATGTAAGGATAATAAAAAATATATAAAATTACTATAATTAACAAAATGTTCACAGATTACCTGTAGTTAGTTATTATATTAAATACACAAAGTTTATACAAAGTTTAATTTAATAGTTTTTAATTAAAAATATTAAAACTATTTTGTGTTATTATTTATTTATTTATATATTAATCTAATTTAGTTGTGATTTATATTGTCAATATAAAATCTATTATATAATAATATCCTTATATATATATATATATATAATACTCACAAAAGAAATTTTTTTTAGTAACATTAAATTAATACATAAATATACTACAATACACAAATGTTCGGTGCGAAAAATCCAACTTTTTCTCCCCAACCGTACTATAAATCTATATAAAATTTTCCCTATTCAGTGCCAGAATTACCAATTATATATATATGTCATTACATAACATAGCATAAATAGTGCTATATTGAAACAGTTTTCGCACCAACACATCACAAAAATATTCCTTACCTCCCTTTAAAAAAATATATTGATGCGACCGAGACTATAAAACCCCGTGTATTCTCAATGATTTTATCATTGAGATACTGGTAGTCACTCGGCATAAGACTAGTACTGCTAAGAGCCGTTAGCAGATCAGTTCTCTCCCCTTCTGGTTCGACCCCCTTCTCTGATATGGTCCGTATACTTGGATGTATACTCATTGATGTCCTTTAAATAAAGCCTTTGGATTCTAATGTAAGTGTTTACTCTTTATTGTCTTCTATTTTTCTAAGCGACCTAAATCCGTGGGTTCCCGCGTCGGGAGCTCCAGTATCGTAAAGGTCCCTTCTTATCTACAGTCTTAAGGTAAGATGACTGGCCAGACGGTTCCGCCGTGTCGGGGGATCTGTTCGGTCATGTCGTCGAACCTTTCCGCGAAAATAGCTAATGGTCGGATCCGCCGTGTCGGGGGGTCCGGTCCAGTTATATAATGATACCATACCTTATCCTAACCTACCTTATGATGGTTGACCATCGGATCCGCCGTGTCGGGGGATTCGTACGGTCCTGCCGTCATTCCTTAACCATTGATAGTGTGCTAACGGGTCTGTCGTGTCGAGAGATCTGTACGGCTACGCTGTCCTCCTCCCTTACCTCCTTTGACCTATACTTAGTTATTGTTGGTATAGACTACTATATGTGTCATATGGAAGTCTCCGACATCCCCGAGATTGTACCAGGCCGCCGAAGGCTCTGCCCGATTTTTCGGCAATAGTCCTACGTTTTAGTGAAACAGTTGTAGTTTTGTCGGTTCTCAGTGTTATTTAACACTAATAGTCTGACCTTAAAATACAATTTACTAGGTGATCCACTAGTTGCTGTCTACGTGACAATAGCACTAGTTTTGTTGATTGTTGTAATTATCGGCTGTTTGAGTGAATGTGTGTGTGAATGCATAGCAGTGGTTACTCGAGTACTTATGTGCTTTCGCTAACTTAGTTGGGAAAAGCATAGTTACTATCTGATACCGACTGACTGGGTTGGCCAACGGTCCCAAGAGGGTTCCGGTCATCCGATCGCGTGATTGTGTGTTAATAGCCGATAACGGACACTGAGTTTAAGACCGTTAACATACGCTCCTCAATAGTGATCCGAGAGTATAGTTAAGGTTTGCCTTAACTTTATGAGTCTATAGTCACCTTCGGGATTGACTGACCCGGTATAAATAAATATTTGGACACCTAATAGTTTATTGTTGTTACATATGCACTGTTCTTACAATATCACGGCCAAAAACCTATAGGTGATGTCAATTGACCCCAGAGACAACATAGTTATGACTGACCAGATTTAACTGAATACCGTATGTGAGATAATAGAAATGTTACGATAATTATGTAATACTGTCGGCAATCTGTCGGTCATGTATTGTCTTTATCGTACTTGAGTGTATGATGTGTTTGTATAGTTTTATGTTAATTTATGTGATCGGTGACTCTCCGGCGATGCATTCGTTGACCGATGCGGCGGCGGTTGTGTACGCGACACCGCTTGCTGTAGTTGATGAGCGCCTTGTCATTGCCGCCACCACACATACAATTTTGTCTAATATAGTCCTTGTCTATGTATGTTAGTTGAGTGTAATTTTGTTGTCTATTGTTATGATATACAGTACAGATTAGTAGTCCAGTGATAGTCACCGTAACACAGGTTTCGGGTGATATCACATTTCACCGACGAGTGTCGGGTAGGGTTTAACTAGTGTTTAAACGCCTTTATTTAGTGCCGGGTAGGCACGGCTGGAGAGACATAGATGAGTTAGATTCCCCCTGAGATTGCTTGTGACGGTCTCATGGTTACGTCATCAGAGTCAGAGGACTCTGATTTATAGTTTGGCCACAGGGTTGGTCAACGGGTATAGCATTACTTATCCTATAGTGGGTATTTGAATAGACTATACGCCGGTTTTACCGACGGTAGTACCGAGTGATGGTACTGACCATTAGACTCAGTCTTACTAGTAGATTGGGTATTGAGTTGCATGTTTTGGTTAGAGGGAGGCTTTGAGGCTTCTCTCGTTGGCAATTATTGGTAGGGCCCGACCAGTTAGTCAATCGTTATGTTTTAGTTACCAGTTTATAATTGCGACAAGACATTTGTTGTCATTGAGTAATGTCGGTTTTTGTTTGTTTTTAGCGCAAGTGTTGCGGCTAGCCAGCCATTGTATGGATGCTGATAACACTGTATCGTCCTGTCTTCAGTATACTATAGTTGTGTCACGTGTAGTGAGTGACTAAACTAGTAAAATAGTTTTTACTGGTCTCAGAGCTTCTGACCAGACCCGAGTGGTACAGACTTCGAGTCTTAACTCTCAAAACAATGAGTCTGTCTTAACATTGAATAGTGTTTCGTTTGATAGTAAAGGTCAAATTGAATTAAATAATCTCAGGACCAGAGATAATACCTTTTATATAATTGGTCCGCAAAGTAGTAATGTCTTAATTTACGATCAATCAGACATAGATTGTATTAATAATTGTGTAGTAAAAGCTAATATTGTGCCCAATGTACAATTAAGACAACCTAAACCACTACAGGAGTACTGTGCCAATAGTGGCGGCCATTCCAGTGGTTTACGTGAAATCATTGCATGGAAAGTGAAGCGAGTAACTCACCCCAAAAATTCTCATGAAACATCTAAATAATCAACACTTTCCAGATATAAATGGCAATGCTATTAAAATAATATTGAAACGGTATAGGAATAGGATATATTATAGTTATAACAGTAATGATAAAATCTACTCATTACAATATGTATAGGGTAGGGCAGACATATATATATATAATTATTAATATAGTTGCTTTAAATATTTTTTCTGTGTTAATTATTCATATATTATATAATATGATATTTACTATATTGAATATGCAAATCAAGAATTTAGTTTATATTATTTATTACTAAAAACAGATTTATTATATCAATTGTTTGTCAAAAGATATAGCGATTTAATAATATTTACATTCAGTACTATTATATAACTTCCATTAAAATGAAAACGAAAATTTATATTAATATATATATTTTTTTAAGTCTTAAATAATATAAATGTTTACAAAAATATAGATCTTTTCAAGTGCTTTGAAGTCCTTTATTGCAATAAATTATTACAAAACATTAGACCATTTCGGTAAATCGGGTATTTATTATTGTTTAAAATTTTTATTATATAACAATTAATTGTAAAGAATATTTACTTACAGATATACTATGTTATTATAATATACAATATATAAATATTACATAAATATTAAAATATATATAAGTTATAATATTATAATTAAGTAAATTTTTACATGATTTGAAGTGAATTATTTTATTGTTATTAACTTCTATTTGAATTGAAAGTGTGTTAATTAATTAAAAAATATAAATATATTATTCAGGTTTGAAAGTAAGAAATAGTAAATTATAATATTTATGACTTTTTTAAAATTGTGAATTAGGTTATACTATACGTGTAATACAGTATATATTTCGTGTCATTCATGAATTCTTATAATAAATTATAGTCACAAATCTCATCAATAAAATAAACATATTATATTGTTATATAAAATAATACAATAAATTACTGCATTCAATAAATTAATGTATTTTAAAGTGTAATCTATAAATATAAAATGCATATTAATTAAATATAAATATTTTATCTAACTCTAATTAATTTATTATTATTAATCATAATATAAATTCATTATTAATTTTATGGCGTGTAAAAATTTTCATATTAATGTATAAATTTAATTTAATTTATTTATTTAATAATAATTAAAATATAATACTTTTATAAAATTATGTATTTCAAACAACCTTGGTATAAATTTTATAATCATACTTTATTATACAGTACTTATTGGCAAAAATAGTGTTTAACATTATTTATTTTATAAATTGATAACCTCATTATATTTAATAAACATTGATTAAGTATGATAATATTAAGTAATTTATTTTTTAAATATTAAAATAATACTAAAATAGCTTAATTAATTCAATATCAATATTAAATCAATTATATTCTTGATTAACATTAAATATAAACTTATAATAATTAAATAATGAAATTAATTACTGTATATAAATAATGATAATTATAAATAAAAATTATTCCGAAATCATAACATTAATGGTAAGCATAACTCCAAAGCCAAACAAAATAGAGAATAATTGTAAAAATCCATTAATGTTTTCGCGCCGATCTTTTTGCAGAATTTCATAGAAAATTATATAAAGTAAAGTTCCGGTGGCTATGGATGTCAACAAAATAACAATTGGATTACTTTCTGAGTTTTCTCCGACAAGCGATTCTTCACTTATGATAACTATTAATATACCGATTGGAGACATAATTGCAAAGATAGCCATATGTATTGCCACTAGAAATAAACGGTGCGATTGTTCAAAGAGTTGAAGACTCACTACAAATGCAATGACCAGTTTGTGTACTGATATCGCAAAAAACATGAACCATAACTCTGATGATGAGGTCTGCAAACCAATAGCTAATCCATCAAATATAGAGTGAACTGAAAATGATAATATAATGACTAATCCGCGGATAAACAATACAATTGATGGTTCGTTATTTAATTTTTCAGTTTCTATGTTATTATTATTATTATTATAGTTATTATTAATTTGCAAAACAGATGTTGAAGTGCAAGAATTGTTGGTTGTGTCACAAACTGTTAATATTTCATTAGAAAGTATGTTTGGTTTGACATTTCTAATACTGGTTTCAATGGACAGATCGGCGCCATAATTGACAAAAGTGTTTCTCGAGAAGGGTTTGGTCTCATTTGGAAGACTTAGTTCTTCATTATTAAGATGACTGCATATACTTGAGCACCGGTACATCAAATCTCTATTATAGCAATTGTTGTGTTTATTTTGGTGTTTATTAAATCGATTCAAAAAGAAATGCATTAATTCTTCGATAAAGAAAATTAGGAAAAATCCCAAACATATAGCAATTTCAACGATAGGTATTTCTGATGACTTTTCATGAGTTTCATCGTTTGTCTTAAATAAAGAAACATTACTTTTGATATAATTTTCATAATTTTCTTTGATTTCGGGCAATAAATGAGTAAAAACAGTAGCGAACAGAACTCCGCCACCGAATTGAAGCAAAATCTGAATGATTGCATTTGAGGTCAGGGATGTCCTATCAATACCAGCACCTATACTGTCATCGTTAGTAATGGACACCACATTTGAAGATACTCTTTGAGTCCATTTGTTGATTAAAAATAATGGGAAAATGCCAATAAAATAGGTTTCTAAAATAAATTAATATATATATATATTATATATATACGGATTAAACATAAATTTAAGATTATTTAATTTATTTATAATGTTGTTAAAATATTTTATAGATAGTTTACACATACAAACACACACACATACACTCACAAACATACAATTAATAATTACAATGAATTAAAAAATATTTATAATAATAATTACAATTAAAACGAGTTATTACCTAAACTAATGTATTTAAAAGAGATATGTGTTTCAATGCAAATGAATTCATTCAGCGCTTATATATTATAAATGTTTTTCTACTTATTTAGTTATAAATAAGATTTTTTATTAATTGTAATATCAATATTGTTAAAAACTAATTAAATATTATCAAGAATTATAATTAAAATTGTTTATAATTAGTTTCATATATAAGGCTAAATAAATCTTTAATAATTTTTTTCAAACTTATTTAATTTGTGTAATTATAAACATTATAGAAAATAGTTGTAGTAATTTATTAAATATTTTGTAATAAAATAGAAATAATTGAATAATATATATATAATAGTTGTATTAATATGTGATTATTATTCAAATATACTGTAAAAATTAATATATTATTATATAAATGAAGTACATAAGTGTCAGCAAAATGTCTGTCAAATATAAAAGATAACAAAATTTGTAATTAAACCATAAATACCTAACAAAAGTAAGACGAAAGCAACTATTCTTGTGGTTTGTAATAACATTTTATAACACAATTTTATTTATTTAAATAATATAATTAAATAATATTTTACAACAACAATTATAACTTAAAATAATTGATACATAAAAATTAAAAAATTGCAAATTTTAATGTTAGCACACAATATATAGATACTTTAATAAAAATAATATAAAGTTATTTTGAAAACTATGAACAACAATCAATTGACTGTAACTATCATATGATTTCAAAGTATAACATTCAACAACACTGTATTAAAGTATATATTAATACAAACATTATCTTTATGTATACAACTATATGATAAGCTTATTAAGCTATTGATAGAAAAAATAATTATTATATTGTATTTATGATTTTATAGTTAAAATTGTAGAAAAGTACGTTTTGTATAGTGAATTGACATAACTTGAATACTTGAATAACTTTAAGTTTATTTGATCCATTGATGTCATTTTATATTAATCATTGTAACCATTTATAAATATAATAATATCACGCACTGTATTCGCACTGTATATTAAAAGATAACATAAGTTAATCAATTGATAAAACACACAATATTTTAAACTATAGTTTATACTATAGACTATGCATTTCATTTAAATACATCCAATAATTAAATTACAAGAAACCAGTTGAGAATGCTAGAAAGCATTTTCAGACGAACTCTACTTAAATTGATTTATTAAATTATGTTAATATATAAATGATTTCTAAAATATTCTTCGAGTTTACAAATTTCTTAATTACATTAATAATGAAATAATAATATATGTGTCAATTCATGTAGGATATCAAATGACAGTATTAAAGTCAACTTTTGTCATGTGATTATCATAATTTAAAATAACGTAAATATAAATAATAATTGTTTGTTTATTTTAATTTTTTTAACATTCTTACTTTTTTGATAATTATTTTCCAATAATAGCAAAATTTTGAAGCCTTTTGTTTTTAAGATATAATACAAAACTTTCATACTATTAGACATTATGATGTTTTATCCAAATCTAAACTTAAATATTAAAAAAAATATTTTTGTAATATTGGCCGCCATTGTGTCTATATTCCTGAAGAGATGACAATTTGATACTTCAATACACTTATACCTTATTTTTGATGTTTTATCCAAATCTTATGTCAAAATTCTAAATTAAAAAAAAATTCGGACCAAACGGACATATAGACAAAAATATAGATTTCAGACTTTTAGGAATTCGTGAATATTATAATTATACACACAATTAAAACAAATATTAATTGCATACTAAAGAATTGAATTATTTTTATATTTTGATTTTAGTTAGTGATGCAATTTTATCATAATTTTTATTATGTATGCTTTTTATACAGATATTACTTTATTTATGTTTCTTACTTTTGAAACTATAATATTTGTTTGAGATTACATTCTTTATATATATTTATATTTATTAAAATTTATTTGTATTAAAGTAAGACAATTAAACAATAATTTATCAATAGATGTGAATTAAGTTTAAAAATATTGATATAATAACAATAATTAAATCAATTTATTTTTAAACTTAATTCACATCTATTAATAAATTATGGCTTTGAAGGCAGATTCTCACATAACTTCCAATACGTGTTAGAAAACTACAAATACATTCTTAAAAAATTATACAAATTAATAAAAAACACTAAACATAATATACAAATAAAATAAAAGATTGTAAATTGATAATAAAAAGATTAAATATTTATATAAATTTTTATAATTTTAATGTAAAAAGGTTTTGAAGAATTCGGGTTTATATCAAATAAGACTTGAAAAATCTCATATCGGATCGTATCATAAAATTTATATCATTTTTATTTCGATCTCTATTTTATATTATAAATGAAAATAATGTGTAAACATTTGATTTGTTTTGGTATAATAAATGATATTTTATAATTACTGTTAATTAAAATCAAGTGTTTATAAACTATTAATAATAAATAAATATTATATGTTATTAATATAGCAATATAGACTTATAACTATATAAACAATTATTAAGTGAAGTTATTCTTGATATAATATAAAATTTTTATTTAAATTACAATAAATTTTACAAATTGTCAAATGAATTAATAATATAAATTAATAATAACAATTTAAATATGTAAAAACTAAAATGTGACGTATAATAAATGTGAATATTGGTAATGATTTTAAGTAAATTATAAGTATTAAAAACATTTAAATTAAATTATAATTTATTAAATACTTAAAAGGCGTCAATATAAATATTAAAATTGTTTAATTTGAAACTTACAAAAACATTTAATAATATTATATTGATATATTGAATAATGATGTTATTTAAATACGATTGTTTAGACGTCTATGTATTGGTTGATGAAATACACAAAAATGTGCAAATACTTAATTATATTAGTAATACATTAATTTATTGTTATTTTTCTTAAATTAAATACTTGCAATATATAACTGAACAAAATTCAATAATTGTTACAACGTTGCTATAAGTTTACAAAAATTGTGATTCACTACATATACACTAAATTTCATTCAAAAAATTGTACTCTGATTTAATAATTTTTAAAAAAAAGCTTTTAATGAGATTTAAAACTCAGTTAATTCTAACTTTACTTATGAATAGCAATATTTGTATCAAACATTGTAAATGTCTTAACAATAATTTATATAATATAATATAATCCAACATTAAATAGATATTCTTACTGTTGTTATAATTATTATATTATGTTTGAATGTAATTGAAATAAATATTGCATTATTTAAATGATTGTGCTTTTGGTCTAATTGTTTGATCACATACTTGTTGTTCGCAAATTAAGTCTCATTTGTTTTCACGTTTGACTTTTACAAGACTGACAGCACTGGTGTTTATAGTGAGCAATACGACACATATTCATTGATATCGCTAAATGACAGTGTCTTGAAATGTCTTCACATTCATCTGATTTAGTAATTAATTAAATATTGTATAGATATTTAAAATTTTATCAATCGCTGACACATACCTCTACTACAGGTTTCATTAGTGCACATCTGTATGACTTCAGGTCTAGTTTTATCATTACATGAATTACCGGCCGCTTCTCCACTACTAAACCAAACGCATTGAAGAGTTCGCGATTGAAAACCTTCTTCATTGCATTTGGCGTTACACTTAGTATACATATATTTAGTTAAATAATGATTCAATTTTATATACCTGTATATTATATAATAGTTATTGATATAACTTACTTGAGTCCAATTACCGGTGATCCACGTGGGTTCACATAAATCATTTACACATTGTTTTTGTGTAATTGGTTTGTCTTGTGATTGGCATTTGTTATTGTCAACAATTGATCCATTATTTAATATACATTTTACATCTCGATATTGAATACCGGTTCTCGAGTCAATACATTGCTTGCACTGCATTATAAATATTTTAACATTAATGGTATAATTTAATACTTAAGATTTAATATTATATATTAAGTACAAACCTCAGACCACTGGCCTGTTTGCCAAAAAGGACAGTCAGATTCTTTACAGTTACGAACAGTGACCGGAACTTCAAGTCCAATATCCAAACAATAAGAGTTATCGACTAATTTAGAAATGTTCTCAAATATGACATAACATTGTGAAACTCTTACCTAAATTAAGATTATGTCAAGAATTTACAATTAGTCTTAAATTGTTTTCAATACATGTCATAAATGATTAGCAATTACTTGATATTCAGTACTACCACAGAGTTCAGCACAGGTCGACCATTCAGTGGTCATCCAATCAAACCTAAAGTGTTTCCAATTTATATTCTGTTCAATCGATGCTTTAGTTAATAAGTGATGATCACTCTGAAGGATATTACTCGAGTTGTAGCTATTGTTATGTATTTCCTTTGATAAGAAATACAATTGTCTTAATTGAGATTTTGTAAGTTTTTTCAGATCTGACAAAATGGTGTCTAATTTCATTCGCAACTCTTCTTTTTCGGGATCTTTTTCTGATCTAAATTTTTCTTTAGATTCGTCTTCATTATAGTTAGTTTCATACTTCTTGATATCTTCACTAATCACTTCTTTGTTTTCATCCTTTCCATAGTTGACTTCAAATGTATCTAAATGTTGGTCATTGTTAACAACTGGAGATTCTGCAGAAAAGGACTCTTTAGATAAATTTGGATTTGTTTGATGATTATAAGCTCTCTTTGGTTTACTTCTCATCAAAATTTTTTTCTTGTTTGCAAAATCCATAACTCCATGACTTGTATCACTTCTTTCATCAGAATTGGTTACAATCTTTCCAAAGCCATAAAAATTTGATCCAATCTTTGTGTGACTCAAGTGAGTCCTTTCAACAGTATTGTCTTCATCTGGTAAGATATGTTTGACTTTGAGTAGCAAAGTATTGAGTGAACTATTGTCGACTCGACACGAATAACTGCCCGAATCAGAAATGTCGACATTTCTAATACGGAGGACATTCTTAGCTGTCATTTTGATTCTGTTGTCAAAAACGATTTTTTGGTCATTTTTAAGCCAATGACTTTGGTTAAGCATTTTATCGGTCTTACGTCGTGGACATCGCAAGCGGAGTATAGTTCCTGACATTATAATAGCCTCTCCATTAACTTTTAATGATATCCTTTTCATAGACTCTTTTTGTATAAATATATCTTCAATTTTATTGGACTCAAAGTTATGCTTCGAGTCATGGATAACTTTCCTCAATTCTAACAATGCATTTCTGCACGGCTTTGAATTGCATGTCTTCATAGCTTTCGGTCTTTTCTTTGGACACTTAGATATCGATTGTTCAACTGTTTGACCAAATGCTAACTCTGTATGCCATTCATTGTGAATCAAATGTTTTATTAGTAATTTTATCATTTATCATATATTTATATTTATAAATTTAATTTAAAGTATTATAACTTATAATTTATTAATCTGTAAGTATAAGTTAGTGTCAAAATAATACAATTAAACAATAAAATAATTTACTAATATAATTAAGATATTAATCTATAAATTTGTGTGTTTGCAAACATAATGCAGAAAACAAGTTATTTGAATGCAATACCTTTAATACATTTCAATTTTCGTGTTTTAACGCCTCCGCCACAACTACGGGAGCACTAAATAAGTAAAATTGAGTGAATTTAAACCCACATAATGTCATGTTTTATCATTAAACTCATAAATATATCAAACCTGAGACCAGTTCAGAACTTCCCATTTTGGCGGACAATCAAAAACATTGCAAAATTGTTTAGTTTTAGGCATCTGATCCTTACACATATGATTGGCTACAATAATAGTATTGGCCACACCTCGGGTCACTTCATGAACACATTGGACATCTCGGGTTTGAATACCAGACCCGCACTCTTTGGAACAAATGTTATATTCTGAAACATTCCATCTAATCGTGTAATTTAATTGTAAGTTATTTATTACATTACTGTATGAATATATTGTATATAAACCTGGGAGGACAGGGATGATCATTGCAAGTGCGAGTAAAAGAGTCCGGTTTATTATTTATGTTACATAAGTACGAACTAACTTCAGTCTCATCTGAATCTCTAACACAAGATATAATAGACTCTTGAGTGCCTAAAAACATCAATTTATTGATTATAGTCTTTAAATTACAATATAAAAGTAAGTAAAGTCTGTAATCCATTACCGCCTAAACAACTGGCTGTGCATTCAGTAAATCCAAAGCTTTTCCATAAGTATTTTGTTTGACTACCAATTTTGGAGAGTGGGATCATTTTGTTAACCGGTTTCTCAACTCTACTATTAATTATATTATTGTCTTCATCCTCATCGTCGTCCTCATCATCAGTCATATCATCCGTGTCTTCTTCGTCTTCGTCGACACTCTTTTTGCAATCTTTAAGAAAACAGACATCAATTTCTTGTGGTTTCAGTCCCGGACACTGGCTATCGGGTAATCTGACGACTGTTCGTGAAAATTCTAAAAATATTTTACAGTCGACACTACGTTTTTTGATACCCTTCCCACACATTACACTACATGTGGACCACTCGCCCACTATATAACTAAAATTAATAAGTATTATAGTATTACAACTTCAACACAAATCACTCCTTAAATGTTGTTAAACATACTTAGGTTCAGTAGATATGGAAGACTCGGCCACTCTATTGAATGGTCGGTACGAGTGATGCGACCAAACGGGAGAGTCTTCTTGTGAGTTCTCCTTTGAATCTTATGGTAATATTTTTATAAATATAAATTTAATCTAATAATACATTTTAAACAATAGACTTTTTAAAGACTTTATAACTATAATGTATAATATCGTGTTATTATACAATAAAATAATGTTACTATTGATTAAAACAGGTTTTTAATTAGGCATTTATGAAAAGAAAATTTTTATAAATATACTTTAAATAACTTAATCATATGTTATTTCTTATAATATAATGTATATATTATTGTATTTATATTAATATATAATTAAAAATGTTATTTGAATTTATGATATAATAATAAAAATGTTTAACAAATATAGTAACTCACATGAGATCTCTTTTGAACATTTAATACCAGTCGAGCAGTTTTGTCTGTCCAATGGTTTGGTCTCATTATTGCATTCATTACTAAAATATTATTGCATTTCATCAATGTTTTCATTAATGTGGTTAATAATAATTTACAAACAAATTATACATTATTTCTATTTATGAATCAATAAGTCAATAAAAAGATATTTCGATAGTTATTCAAAAACTAACATAATATATATATTTAAAAATTTATCTATAAAAATATTTATATAATTACGGTAAGTATTTGTAATAAATAGAATATTTAAAAAACAAATTAGTTTTAATAATCTAAAGTGAAAAACAATTTATTGAGAAACAAAACTTTTTGTGAATTTAATAATAGAAAAGTATATAACTTAGTAAACGTAAAATGAATTTTATATAATAACCAATAGTGTATTATTGCATTAACTTAAATAATATATAAATTTATGATTTCACGTAATTTTATGAAAGCTGTGTAAAGCCATAAAAGAGATCAAACCTATAAAAGCCGCGAACGTCTCGACAAACGACGGGTCGAGTTTGATATCCAGTATCACAAGTGACTGAACACTAGTTATGCAAAGATTATATAAAAAAGTAAACAATACTTTAGTATATTATATGTATTTGAGATAAGCTTGAAATATGTTGAATGTGACTATACCTGACTCCAGGCGCCTTCAAACCATTGCGGGCACTCCTGTGTATTACAAGACTTTTGATTTATTGGTTTTTGTTTGGGACAGTTGTTGTCATCAACTTTAACTCGGGTCCCATTGACAATGTCTTGAACACAATAGACATCACGACTTTGATGTCCTCCACCGCACCGTTTGCTGCACGCACTCCACGACTCTATTATCCAACTTTTTATTTAAAAATATTTTCAATTTGTATTTACAAATATAATTGAAATATAATTATAATAATTATAGCAATTCATACAAAGGCGGACATAAGTGTGTATTGCATTCAGTGATATGCGGTCTGAGACGTGATGTCGACTCACACAACACCTCATCCACTTCTTCCTTTGTCTCCCTATCCATACAAATAACTTCTGACATCTGATATCCTAAGAAGTCATTCACATATTAAACATAAATGTGTGGATACAAGTGCTTTAAATTAATTTAGATTTGATTTCAATATAATTTGTTAGTTAACGATATTTACTTTTATTACAATCTATGTTTAATCAAATTGAAAATAACTGAAAAATTTTATTAATTTTGTTTTTATTTAATACAGTATAACCGATACTTTTATATTTTGTTGTAAAGTAAGTTGAATAGTTTTGTTAACTAATCAGCTATTTTAACGTAATTTTATTTATAATATTGTATTTATATATTGTATAATATATTACTACATTGTATTCAATTAATGAAAATAAATACTTTTTAATTTCCCGGTAATAGTATTTTAAAATACTTTCTTTTAATTGAAAACAAAATACTCTCTAAAAGAAATTTTAATCAAAAGGCAAAAGATTTAATTATTTTTTATTCAAAACATCTAAAAACAATTAAAGGAATTCTTAATAGTAAAAGTGTTGAGAAATCTTAAATTAATTATATATAATATCATTTAAAACTCAAATACAGTAAACATTAAACCATTTATTAAACTTTTAGAAGTCTTCATTCATATATTTTTTATTTTTAATGAGTTTTATTATATATTGAGATCGAAATTCATTTACTTTCTAAAACCAAATGTTGAATAAAATAATGAAAAATGGTTTCATTTCTTAAGTGAGTTAATGATAAAAAACCAAAGAAATCATATTAATATTGCACCACTGATTCACAACAATTTTATAACATATATGGATAAGGATGTATAGAGATAGGGTATGGATATACAGTTTATTCACTATACTATAACTACTATTACTATATCTTATGGATATTTGTATTAAAGCAAAGATTATATAAGTTACACACATTATGATATTAGAGTATTATATAATAATATGTACAATACATGTATGATATTAAGTGTTTACAGTATAGACTGTTTGTTAACAGCTATTAGAGCACAACTTTCTATATTTAACTACAAAAATTGATGAGTTTGTGATCCATGAGTACAAACGAGAGAAAAATAAAGAAAAAACACAAGATATATATATATAGGATAGATAGATAGATAGATAGATAGATAGATAGATAGATAGATAGATAGATAGATAGAAGAGAGAGAGAGAGAGAGAGAGAGAGAGAGAGAGAGAGAGAGATCATTTTAAATGACTTTGATTTTGATAAATATTTTATAGTTAACTCCTTTATAGTTTGCAGAGAAAAGAAATTGTTTAATGATCTAAAACTCAACAAAAATACTAAGTATAGTATAAGCACTTAAAAATAATCAATTTTATCAAATATCACGTCAAATAAGATGTGAATCAATCAAAAACATTGTATCACTAAATTATCCGCAAATTTGTAATTTATCTGCCGATATATATCTATGTCTCAATTTGCACAAAATAATCCATCTATTTTTGAATGCATACCTTTACCACATGATACAGAACAGGGAGAGTATGTGGTTTCCGACCAAATATAAGTGTGTCGGGTGCACGAAGAACCATTACCACCACATATGCCACAGCCATCAACTTTATTATCTGAACCCAATACTAGATCACATCCAACTGGCTATAAATTGCATTTGAAGAGTCATATTAAATATTTTCAATATTATGATAATTTGATAAAATACTGTAATATGAAATGAAATATGGATTCAAATGCATATTCAACTGAAACTACAATATAGTTAATACAAAAATATATAAAATTTAATATTTACCAAACATTTCCCAGAAACACACATATCAAGTGATCCATCCCTACATCGGGTGCCATCCTCTGCATTGGGCGCCAGTTTGGCGACAAAATTAAATGTTTTAGCCCTACAGGTCAAACTGCAGGGATCTAATGGGTCAATATATGGTAACCATTCATACAATCTTCCTCTGTATGGCTTATTGTTGTAATTAGCGCATTGCGTCGCCCGAAAGTCGACATCACTTGGACAGACCTATTGTTATATAGTGTTATATTAATAATATGATATACTAATGCAAATAATATAAACATAAATATATTGAATGTCAAGTGTCTTATAGACTGACCTGCATATTACATATCTTATATCGCTCGCTATTGCCATCAATACACCCTTTCTTATCAATACATTTGCGAAGAGAAACACTGACCCCTCCATCACAACTCCTAATGTTTTTTATATTTAATTATATTTTAATAGTTTAGATAATTTGTAAATAAAAAATCAGAAAAAAATTTTGTTTAGATCAATACAAATGCAAAGTTGGGAACAAACAGACAAACCTCGAACATATAGACCATTGACTCCACTCCGACCAACCACTGCCCGCAGATATTGGTGATACTATTGAGACCTTTATGTTAATATACAAATCATATTAATAAAAAGTTAAATATTATTACTAATTCCATACCAATCAATCAATCACTTAATTAATTTATCACATTAATCAAAATATTTGCTATAAATATCAATAATTATAAAATAGTCATTAATTAACATATATTTGATATAAAATATCTTGACATAAATCTTAAAAACAAAATAAACTTATGAATAGTTAAAATAACTTATTTGTTAATTATTAGCTAATGATTAACAAAACTCAAACATAATAAGTGATTCAAACAAAAGCAAAAAACGTGTGCAAAGCTTTGTGTCACATATTAGTTAACTCTAATCAAATATATTAATAATACTTAACCTATGGTGTAGTTAAAAATTTAGCACTATTTAGGAAAATATCATAAATAAGTGTTTATTTTATAAATTTAATGTTATTTTCAAATTTAAAAATAATATTTTTTGGAGAAGATTTTATCAAATATTGATTTAAATGTCATCAACAGAAACCAAATTTAACTTAAGGCTTTATTTCATTATTCAGAGAGTAAATGGTGTCCCAGAGGTCAGGTATCGATGTCTTTCAAGAAAATTATCAAAATATTTGTATGCAATCAAATCACTTGTATTTTCAAATTTTCAAATGTGCACAAAAAATTCAATTTGTGATACAATATGTGTAAATGCTTTCACGATATTATTTGAAAATAAGTAAACTTATATGTTTCAGATTTGATAAAAGTTATAACAGGTATTGATATAAAAATAAACAGTTTGTATTACAAGATGTAGATATTGAATACCAAAGTTTAGCATTATATCTAATACTAAAAAAATAAAGAGTTTAAGACAAAGTTAAAAGTGTGAAAATTAACAAATTAACAGATCATTTGTGACCACCATTACTATCTTATTTCAATTAGTAATAATCTTAAAGGAGGTCCAAAATCTAAAAATTTAAGAACTTTTTATATAATATTTCAAATGGACACAAAAATGTTTTAAAATCTATACTATTGGGGGTGAGGTTGCTCACTACCCCCATACGCCGATTCATGTATTTATACACATAATATACAGATAAGTTACTTTTTGAAGACATTTGATGATAACATGTCTCACTCAATGTCTGCACTTTGTATTATTGACTTCAGGGCTTTGGGATAAAACCTGAGCGTAATTCAGATACACTTAATGTGAAAATAAGATATTTTATCAAAAGTTCAATTTTCTCTTTTGAAAAAACTTTTTACCCATAGATTAGAAAGATATTTGTAAAAATTGAAATTAAATATGACAATTATGTGCACACAATAAGATTTATTAGTTATTTTTTTAAATTATCAATTTTTACACAAAACTTAATTGTATTTCCTATTTTACAAATAGTCTATTATTTAATGTTAGAAAATAACACTATGATTTATTATATTGTATAATATAATATGACTTTAATTTACAATTTATTTAAAGTTTAATAATAAAAATATTTGACAAATACATTATATGATATATCCATTATTGCTAAATTATTTTTTATAACCTAAATTATACTTGCTAATTCGTTTTTGCTGTAAATAACACAGATAATAATATCATGAATTTAATTTAGAGTAGTTTAAACTATAAAAATATATTGAAATTATTTTTCATAAATTTTAAAGATTTTTTTGATTAAATAATTTCTAAATTTTATAGTTTTTAAAATCTTAAAATCCGTATAATTAGTACATATAATCAGGAATTGTCATCTTTTAGGAGAATTACTCTAAAATTGAAATAAATTTCTAGACATTTAATCAAATTGAATTACAAAGTTATTTATAGATTTTTTTTAATGTAACAAAATAAACTATAATTAACGTATAAAATTATTAAAAAGAGCAAATATTGTTTTATAATAATAATCTATTATTTATATTTACTACTTTTACTTTAAAATAAATACAAAATAAATCATCTTTACTATATAATAAAATCTATATAATAGATTCTATAACATTATCTATTAAGCAAATATAAAATCAATTGAAAATACATTATCGAGAAAGAATTTATATTTAATTATACATACTTTATATAAACTTTTTTATATTTAATTTAGTTTACAAATTATTAATAATATTTTTGTTTATTAAAATATTTTATTAATTTATCATTATTATATATTATAAATATTATTGTTAGTTAATTATTGTTATTTAAAAATATTTTAAAGGTATTTATAATGAAAATAAATTTAGTTTAAAATAGCATTTAACCCCATGTTATAACCTTATAACAAACGTATAACGGTTTTATAACTAATTGTATAGTTTAAAGGCTATCGTTTGTTATTATGTAATAACAAACTTAATGCTAAATACTATAGTCTGACTAAAACATGGATATCGTCACTGATGTGCTCTAAATAAAAACATTTTGTGTTGATTTATGATAAAACTCAAAATCACAACTTATTATCAAAAGTTTTGACAGATTAAACAATAAGATGTTTTGTGAGGACAACACTTATTATATGAGCAAAACATTGAATTTATTTGACTAAACAATTCATTTATCAAATAATCGTAATCTTTTAAAAACCAAACTATAAATATGCTATAAATTATAGCCTATAATTGAATTCACTTTGAAAAATATTTTTAATATCAATTTTAGTTAACCGTCTATTGTAACTATAATTATCAATCTATTTATTATCATAAATATAAAATATCATCATAAATAACTTAAAATATAATCTAATTTAATGTTAAAAACTTCATATGACAAGTCCAGCTTTTAAAATAGGATTTATCCAAATGGTATATATATTATATCTAAATATTTTACGGCCAATAAATTTTGTAATAAATGAATGATATTGTGTTTGTCGGCACTGTTTGTGTTTTGTATTGAGATATCAATGTTTGACCAAATATATGGCAACAAAATCTGATATTAATTTAACTATTTTACCATATATTACTGTATATACATAGTTATATCACTATTTACAATACATATTGTTTATTGAGGGTTAACCAATTGATCGGTTAAAACAAACTTCTCTCTAAAGAGTCAATTGTCTAAATATGGCTACAACTCAACAAAATAGTCATTTGTCTAAACAATAAAAAGTCTATTGTATTAAAAAATAAGTTTTTATAAATATTAAAAGTTTATACTAAATCAATCATTACTATAAAAATAAAAGTATTTATTAAAATTATTAATATAATATACAGTATATACTGTATTATTATTTTAAAATATGTAAAATTATATTTAAATTCCAGTAAAAAAATGACAAAATTATCATAATATGAAACATTCAGTATTTTGTTATAACTAACTAATGGGCAGATATTAAGCATAAAAACAACTGTGAATTCTTCAAAATATTTGTTAACAACTTTGTTGTCTCAGAGTTATGGTGTTAAGTAAGTTATGACTAACTATACAATAAATTTTTATTTTTAACAACTAGTTATGTGTAGTCGTGTGTTGTACAATATAAGCTTAACAAAACATTTAAAATTATCAAGGTAATTATTATAATTAGATAATTAGATAGTATATTTATAATATATTAATTGAGTTTAACAAACAATACTATTTTAATAATATTTAATAATTGATAAAATGTTGAAAATAGTTGTATACATTATTGTCAGCAATTTAATTATAATTATGTTATTAAATCATATTATTTTATTTTTAAAAAAATGTTATTTATACAGAAATTATATTTGGTATAAAAAATAATTTTATTAAAAAATTTTAATTTTGTTTTATATAATTTTATAAATCATATAAAAATTATAAAATAAGTAAATTAAAGTAAAAAGTAATTAAAAAAAATGACATACCGTTAAAGTGATAGCGCACAGACAGTACAGGGAGTACAGGCAGGACAGCCAGTTATGAGTTAGTTGAGTGCCGTTGCCGTTCATACTTCATAGTCCAGTGTTTGTCACTATATTCTGCTGTTTATACCGTCAGTTGAGATAACAATTGTGAGGCACAGTTAGGCACTGATAGGCACTCCAACACTCATCACATAATAGCCAACTGTACGCAGTCTCCACTATCTCTCACACATTCAAAAACATTTGCTATATTCCCACAAAATTGCTGTTATATATGCAATAAATCGTGTACTCAATACAATCATATTTTCTTTTTTATAAATTTAATAAATAATACTATAATTTACACTAAAAATAAAGATCTGTAATATAAACAAATTAAACAGTAGTATAATATGATTTAACCCAAACATCATTGTTTTACTTAGTTTTTTATGTATTTAATAGTATTGACAAAATCTACAGTACTTTTATGTACATAAAACATGAATTTAAATGTCTACTTAAATATTACAACAATTTTATCTATTTTTTATATCTATAATCTTATACAAACACAAATAAAAAACAATTAAGTTATAGGGAATTATCACAAAATATTTTCAAATATTGTTTATTAATATATAAAAATTCAAAATAAAAATTAATAAATTATAATTTGTAGAGATTTAAAGTTTCAAATTAGCTGTAAAGACATTAATTCATTGAAAAGATAATGCTAAATTAAATAATTTATAATATAATTACATTTATATAAATTTAATAAAAATTAACTTATAATATATGGTACTACAGTATTATACTATACCTAAATTGTATAATAAACTTACTAACGTTTTATTTTCTTTGTATAGTAAAATTAAAATTAAAATTAACAAATGTCGGGAAATATCTTATTTTTTTTTTTGAAAAATAAATCTTAAAAAATAAATGATAATAAATTAATTTTTAAACATTTTTTCAATATGTATTTAAGACAAACCCCAAACATTTGAAAAAATGGTTAATTATTAGTACATAAAAGTAAAATAAACTTCATTGGTCATATTTATATTTAAATAAATATTTTGTATAAATATAATTTTATATAAATTGATAAATGCAGAATATATTATTAGTAATGTCATGATAATCAATTTAAAAACAATATTTCAATTTGTATATACTGTACTGTAGTAATACTACATTTTTAATTAGTCAATATTTTTTCCCTAAATTTGTCAAATATAATAATTAGTTTTATCATAGTTTATACAAATTGTTATATCATTTGTACARTACTAAAATATTTATTATTAAAGTACAATAGTACAATTTATTTTTTAAAATTGTAAGTTATTGTAATACATATAATATAAGTTTTATTAATGTAAAAATATATATAATAAAAATTTTAAAAAAGTAAAATCATTTAAAAGAATTGAATATATTTTAGCGTTTTATAAGTCTACAGATATAATCCCAATGTCTTTATGTATAAAAATGGAGACAAACATCAAAGTGGTTGACCCATACATACTGTAGTATACTATAGTCTATAGACTCTATAGATAGCATTAAAGATTGTTAATTGAATGTCAGAGTCAACTAAACTCTCTGTCAAATCTCTTTTTGTTTAAATAATTTATACTATATTTGTATACAATATGAAATATAAAACCTACAAAAATAACTAATATTGTTGTTTACCATAAATATAAAACATGTAATATTTTATTTTTAATATTACAATATAGAAAAATTTTCATATATATTAATTTAATTTAAATTCTATAAAATTTTTAAATAATAGAATAATAAATATTCTCAAATATTTTATGCTTTAAATTAGACTTTTATGATCTCTTCAATTGAGATAATTATTGATATATATCCGGATAACAAACCACAAACACTGACACTCAATAACGTATTTCAATTACCAGTAATACAATATACTGTAGTACTAAAAATTACAAATATGGGTTAGGTATAGGTATGTTACTATATAAGTGGTGAAACTAAACGGTCAAATTGCCTCTTAATATATAATTATATTAATATCTTTTTGAAAATTACTAATAAATTGCTTATTTTATAATTGAATCTAAATTTCATAATTTTGTGACTCACCCTGATGCAATTTTGGGGCCCGCTATTATAATTTTATAATAAATATAAAATTTTAATACTAATATTTTTTTGTTATATTCATTTAATTGCTAACATTGCATAATCTTAACAGTTATTTTAATTTTTAATATATTAATAAATTATCAATTTTTAATAGTAATAAGTAATTTTTTAAAAATATCTCAATACATATATATAAATTATTATTTAATTAATATCTTTATCTGCTTATAAAATATTACAATATATGATATAAAATAAATTTTCCCAACAATGCTTGATAATAGCATCTATTGTATAAATATTCTTAGAAAATCTTTTATATAAAGAAAATTTAATATAAAATATATGTAAATACAAAATTTTAATAAAATTATATAATATCGGACATAAGATTTTCTTGGATTTTATATTTAATTTTATTATTAATATGTCAAGTTTTATTTATAAAATATTTTATAAAAAACTTTCAATCAATTCAACTATTTGTTATTTTTATTTAAAAATATAGAAAATGGTATATTTATTAAATTTTAATATTTTTAATAAGTTTATTTATTATTATTATTTATATATCAATTAATAAATAATAAAGCATAAATTATTACTCAATTGATTGTATGCTATGTTTAAAATGTATTTAATGTATACATTGTACACTATGTTTGCCGACTATACTATACTATAATTTATATTTGGGTGTATATATCACTTGAGGCCACATTAAATCCAAGAAACAACACATAAGAAAACTAACCCATGAAAGTACTAAACATTAAACAATAAAAATAATTAATAATTGTTAGCATAAAAATGATCTTAAATATGAAATATTATTTTTACGAAAAAACATTTTAAAATATACTAAAAATCTATATATAGACATTTTTAATTATTAATACTATTATATAATGTAGTAATTAATATTTTAAATAAACAAAAACAATTTTGACCTCTCTCTCTCTCTCTCTCTCTCTCTCTCTCTTATATATATATATATATATATATATATATATATATATATATATATATATATATATATATATACCGGTATATATAATGAAATTGTTGTGTTTCTGTTTGTATTTGTTTTTATGATTCAAATTTCGTGTTCAGCAAAATAAAGTATTATATCTTATAAGAGATTTGAATTGATTTGAATTTGTGGGCAAAACATTGTTTGAGAGATGAAAGCAGTGATAGAATTGAAAAATTGTAAAGAATTTCAGTGAATGTCTTCAAAAGCAAACCTAAGCGGCAATCAAACCGACGGCACGAAAGCACAACCACTGTGTGTGTCATTCAGTTCTTTATTTCGTGAGTTATATAATTGGCTAAACATTTCACAAACTATTATCAAATATTTTCAAGTGATTCAAAACAAGAAAAAATTATAAAATGTATAGTTTATTATAAAACAGTAGTTTATATTATTATGATTTCATGTTGTTATAACATATTTTAATAATAGACTCAATCGATTAGATTTCATTATGTTATGTCTGTTTAAACATATTGAATACATTATATATAAATTTATTTAGTTTATATATAGAATTTAATAATTAATTATTTTAATTTGTAATCAATGATACAAATAACATAAAAACATGATAAAAATGTAAGTATATATGAAATTATTTTTTAAAATTAAGATATAATTGATAAAAATGTTATATATTTAAATAACAGTTTAAGAAATTTGTTAACAACTAATAATAATATTAATTTTTATTACTTAGTATTTTTTTTATTAAAATTTTTTTATTAAAATTTAGTAAAAATGTTCTGAATCAATGTCCATACTTTTATAATTAATTTATTAATAAAAAACCATTCATTAATTATAAGAGTTATTTAACGTTTAAACTTAAGATTAAGTTAAAAATATTTTAAATGTAAATAATTATATATAATATTTTGCTTTTTAATCAAAAATTACAATTTATAAAAATATATATTAAATTTTAATGATAGTTTAGTAAAGATAGAATATTTAGACAAAAATAATTATTTAGCAGGGTCTTTTATGTAAATCAAAATGTCCATGTTCATACTCAACATTAAAGACTTATTTGAGATTTTTTCTGTTATTTAAGTAAAATAGTAAATTAATTTGAAAATATCTTTCTATGATAAATCAATTTATAAAACTTGAAGACTCTAGATGTAAATTATACTTATTATGTATAAATATTAGTAAATTACAATTTTACAGACAAAATATTATTAAAAATCAATACTTAATTAAATAGTAAATAACTTACTTATTAAGAAATTGTATTATAATTAGAGTTCGAGAAACTTTCCAATGGAGAAAAGTTCCCTAATAAAATCTCTCCAATTTTACCGGAAAATATATTGTTTTTCATCCATTCATTGTTAGAAAGGGAAAATATATTTTATATTATTAAAATAAATTGTACTAAACCTAAGATATTTTTCAAAATAGTGATACTATTTATCAATACTACTCAAAATACAGTTTAATATAATATTTAAATATTTAAACAAATTCCCTATGAATTCCTAGGGAGGATGCAAATAGGGATTTTTTGACTTATAAAAGGAGGAATGCAATTTGATTGAACTCTAATTATAAAATAATTTATTATATTAGTACACACTTATGGCTAACCGCTGTAAAACATAAATTATTTGACGTCTATTAAGCATTTCTCTAATATTTCATTATTTATTAAAGATTTTACATTTAAGCAAATAATTGCTTTTTCATAAAATCAATTTCAAAAAAATTTAGTTTGAAGGTTGTAGTGAATAAACAAACACTTTTATTTAGTAAATAATACAATTCCTTAACTTAAAACAATAACTTTTAAAATTATCAAAAAAAGTATGCATTTATATAAAAATATTAATACAAGCAATTATTAAATGTAGTTTAACTAAAATTACTATATACAGTAATTTATGAATAAATATTTTAATTATTATTTTTGATAAACTGGTATCTATGTAATAATATAATGTATAATATTTAAAAATAATATACTTTTGGTGGTAATTTTTTATAAAAAAAACAAAATATCTCTAAGATAATATCACAAATACTTGAATAAATTTAAAATAATGATTAATAAAATAATATTTCTAAAAATATATAATTATAAAATTATAGTTATAGTTATAATAACATATAATAATAATACTGTACAAATTAATTAATAACAATGTATACATATTAGTATACATAATACAGTATGTATTACATATATAATCTTACATTACATTGTATACTGTATTTGAAATAATTAGTTTGATTTTATAGAATGCAATTGAAATCTAAATTTAGAGAATTTATTTTAAAATAAAGTAATTGTTTTGTACACAAAAAACTGAACACTATTTTAATAATATGTTAATAATTTATTTTTAAAAATCTTGAATTTGATTTTGTTTGTTTTATAAATGATTAATAATATATAATAAGTAATGTTGAAATTTGAACATTTTTGTCAAAATTATATTCACATTTAAAGTATACTAACTCGTAATATGGAAATTAAATTATTTTAAAATTAATGTTTCAATGCAGAGATCACTACTAAGACAGTGATAGAGTTTTTTGTCATCAGAAAAGTACTTAAAATATATTTTTATATTAGATTTTATAAATTGAAAGATTCAGTAATTTCTATATAAAAGAGTTGCGTTTATAATAAAAAGCAAATGAATTCAAAAGAAGAAGAAGATGTATATAAAACAGAAAATTTTGTTCAAAACATTTGAATAGATATGAGTTTTACATATATCTAGAAAAACATTGACTTTTAGTACAATATGTTTGGTTTTACTTAAAGAACTGTTGCCTAAAAGCAATGGATTGTAATGTTTGTGAAGACTCGCCATTCAATGATATATTTAGTTGAGTTATTGTCCGACATATAGGCGCCAAACAATAGCTAACAAATAAATGCATCAGAATTGGAGCGTTTAGTTTGCGATCACTTTATTGATGTCAAACCATTTAAGACAAACATTTGACAATCAATACTCACTTTTGCGCACTTCTTCCACATTGGTGTCCAAAGTATTATCTTATCAGACAATAGTTTAACATTTATTGTGTTTTTATCAAAATATCACTACTTTTACTCAACTTATTTCACTTTTCATCCAAACTTTGTTTCGTATTTGTCTCTCTTTTTGTTGTATAACTGACTCCAATTGAAATCAATTATGATATTCCCATACAAACCCATTATAACATATTTGATTGTCTATCAGATTGAGAATTTAGTAATAATAATATTATTATTATTATTATTATTAACAATAGTTATACCACTAGTTATACCACTAGTGGTCATATTTCTTAAAATGTATTATCATTTCAGGTGTTCACTGCAGTGAGAAAGTCATTAATTCATTGTCACGATTGCCATCAAAAAGGCTTACCCTTGAAAACAGACACATATTTTGGATCTAATTTATTGAAACTATAGTTTTGAAAATAATCATTAAGTAAATGATATACAGTTTTCTGAAAACTTGATATGAATTAATCACTTATTAGTGATCCATTACTTTACTCTTAGTATAAGAGTTAATAAAAAATATGTAATACATATTAAACAAATTAAAAAATATAATTTTCAACAAACTTAGAGAAAGTTCGTCACATGAAATCTGTTTGTGTGTCTGTCTGTCGCTATTTTTGGTAAATGAATCAGATATTCAGCTTTCTATAGATGTTCATATAGTAATGCTATTATTATTTAATTTATTTGTTACAGTACTGTATATTCATAGCTTACATATATTTTGAATGTATGAAAATTTTAACATATGATTTAAATAAACAAAAGTAAAAACATTTATGCAATAATAATATTCAGTTGAGATTTATTAATACATATTTATGAACCAAATTAGCGGATATTATGTTCAACTTGTAATCTAACAAACTGTGTGTGTATTTCAAAGGTGTGTCCTCTCATACATTGTCTTTGATTTGTTAAAAATTCAATTTTTAAATTTATATGAATCACCCAATGAGGTCAACAATTATAAAATATATTATACAATCAAATTATATATAAATATCGATCATTTCCTTAATATAAATAATAATTATTTTTAAACTAACCAAACAATTGATTAATTGTTATAAACTTGAAAATTACAAATTTTGTTGCCATTGAAAGCCTACATTAGCTATAATATTGTATGATATTTTAATTAGTATTAAAATACAATTTATTTAATAATTATAATTTAATAAATCTATAAAAATATCAAAAATATAAATATGTTTATTATTTGACAGTTAAAATTGATTATCAATTAGTTTATTATTTCTATTAAATACCGGTATATTTGTTATTAATATAATAAAATATAATACTAATAATACTAATACTAATACTAATACTAATACTAATACTAATACTAATACTAATACTAATACTAATACTAATACTAATAATACTTTGATTGAATGTAATGTTTATAAAGTGCTGACAACTATTGACAGTAATGTTAATCAAATGTTAGCCTTCATTGAAGTCAATGTTTACATTGATTTAAATATTAAGTGATTTAAGACAACAGCTATGAGTCGTTTCCACACTTTTACCACAAATGAGTCATCAGATGATGACTCCGATGACAGAGAGGACGGACAACTCGATGATGACTGTTGTGGTACTGATAGTCAATACTTGACAACAAACACAACAACTACTATTCAAATGAATAAAACATTGGACATAATGGACAAGAAAACTGATACCAAAAGACCCAATCGGTTCAGTATTTGGTCCAATATTCTTCTAGAAGAAGATCTTAAAGATTCGATGCAAACCTCAATGGATATTAATAAAAGATTGCGGACATCAAAATATGACCGAAATTGTGAAAACTACTCGTTTTGGACCAAAAGCCAACTCGAAAACAAAGACAATAAAGAAGATAATCAGGAAATGTCACAAACAGTTGATACTAATCACAATCAAAGCAAGAAATCGTCAAAGAAATCGTCAAAGAAAAAGAAAATTAGGAAAAACCAAAAAGATTTTGTGACCGAAATGGCGCACAAACTTAAAGAACCGAAAGTGGATCTCTTGAGTATGTATTTTGATTATACTATCATTCATTAAATTATATTAACTATTGTTTTCAACAATTAATAGAAAGAGTATTTGAGACAATCGGTGAATCAAAAATGACAGAACTGTTTTCGGCTACTCTTGATGTTGAGTCCAGCGGTGGACTCATGACATTGGATGGCAAACGACGGCGAACTCCGGGCGGAGTATTCTTTCAATTACTCAAAAATGACAAAAGTATTAAAAAAGAAAGTTTTGATTATATATTTCATTCAAATAAGTTATCGTTTAAAAAAAATTAACTCAAAGAGTTAATGTGTGAGCTAACTGTGTTGTAATAGTGTCGTATAAATCTATATTTTATACAAATCAATGCAAATATTAAATGTAATATCTAATCAATTTTGTTAACTTTAAAAATATTTAAAATATATATAAGAAATAAAAATAGCTTTATTAAAGTTTTCTTAGAGTACTTTTAATACTGTACTTTATAAACAATAATAAAACGTTAAGCATTTTACAAACATGTTATACCCGTTAATCAAACATACCGTAGTTATCATACAATTTAAATGAATATTACAGTAAAAGTATTAATCAAAAGGTATTAATATTTCAATATTCCGCGTAAAATGAGTCAATTAATGATAAATCAATGATTCATTCGTCTGTATTATAATACGACATTTTTATAAATATTTTATTTTATAGATTTATCATTTGCGCAATTTTTTAAATGTAAAAATACCTATAATATAACTGTACATTTCGTATAATTTTTTCTACTATACATCTACAATTTGCTTATCAGTAATAAATTAGTAAACTTATATCTTAACAATAATTATTTTAGCTGCATTTTAGCAAATAGCTATCAGCAATAGTTAAAATAATTGTTATAATTATTATAAAATAAAAATATAATTAAGTGTTGCAAATAAAATTACGTAATAAATGTCTCAATTTATGACATCAACGAATAAGACGTATAAAAGTAATAAATTAATGATAACAATACTAAAGTACTGTATATTTGTTTTATAAAATTAACTAATTATAATTTGATGTCAATTCCTAAAATGGGTCAAATACTGTGTATATTTTAACTGAAAATTTAACATTATTATTATTATTATTATTATTATTAAAAAATACAATTATTTTATCTTAGCAAAAGATGTAGATTTTAGTATTATAATTAGCGTATATATAAACTGTATAAAAGTTGCAAACTTTGGTTTACAAATATTTTTTCTAAAACTGAATATATTTACAATTAGTAGTAATTGATAAAAATTTGAATCAAAACCAACAATTGTTAAGAAATTTTAAATAATCACTTAATTAACTTTAATTTTGTAGAATATTATAATAAAAACATCACTAAAAAAATTAACAAAATATAAACTTACATTTAAAACCTTATATCAAACTACAAAATGATTTTTAAAAATTATTTTAATTAAGATTCAGTTTATATGAGACTAATAAACATAATAATTATAATATTAATTTTTCTTTCTTTTGCAATTAAATTTTAAATAATAAATTCAATTTCATGGGATTGACATGTAGTTTGAAAAAGTTATATAATATTACACAAAATGAATTACTGGAAAATCACGGATAAAAACATCTTTTTGATCAAACAATTGTTGCCTTCGATGAATAATATCGATGATAATCAGAAATCACAATGAAATCGATTCATCCAATGAATTGAATTCAATATTATAACAAACGGTTTGTTGTGTTGATAAAAGTACGGTAAATGGTTAGCACACAGTTATGAGCACTTGGAGTCAAATTCACCACATATTATAAATTATTGAAATTGAATTCCAAAAATTACTATCGAATTAGGATTTTTATAAGACTTAATGAAAATTATAACGTAAGCCAAAAGTTGATGTCTTTATATAACTCAAACTTTTGGCCAAACAATAACTTTTGACCAAACAATCACTTTTGACCCAACAATCACTTTTGACGCGTAGGCTTCTTCTTCTTCTTCTTTTTATAAAAACAACAGCATCTGAACAAAGGGGACAATAATCCGTTAGACTTTAGCGGCCCTTTAATTAACCCATTCAAGTCATTGTCATACTTTGTCTCCGAGACCACCTCCACTTCAACGGGTCCAGTAATAGGAGTATTAGAGTGGCCAGTAGTCGGATCATCAGTTGTGAGATCACCATTTGTAGAGCTCACTACTTGGACAGAGCCGTGTCTATCAGCAGTGGATAGACTGCCTCCTAATAGCTTAGCGGCACCGGAGGCGCCCAATCCTCTATCATCTTGTCTATCCATCCACGCATTCTTATTGCGATCGTTTAACTATTTATCCGATATATCAATGTTAAGCATTAAACTCAAAATAAATGTTTTATTAAATATATCATTCATTACTTTTATATTACTGGCCGCATGTCTTTCACGTGGAATGGGAGGCGGTTCAGACATTTGATGTGATTGTGACTAAAATTCAATTTAAATTTTCTAATTATAAATAAATATTTTAGTTAATAATATATAAACAAATACCTGTTGTCTACCAGTCCAATCATATTCGCCATCGTGTTGATGGCCTTCCCGTTCAAATAGATCGATAAATAACTTTTTAAGATATTCATAATCGGGTGTCTCAAAAAAGTCCAGCCTTCGAACGTATCGCAAATAAGTAGCGAACTCTTCGGGATATCCCTCACAGAGTACCTCAATAGGTGTGGCCCTCTTAGTGTCACCTATTTTAGAGTAACGCTCTTTCAATGTGTCGGCTTTGAGTCCTTGCCAGGGAAGGCTTCCGCGTAAGAAATACATAAACATATGGCCGACTGCTTCCAAGTCATCTCTTCGACTTTGCTCTAAATATAACTCAAATATTAGCTTAAAATATATAGAAATATCTTAAAATTGGTTACCTTTTCCTAAATGTGTATTTATGCTCATATATCTGGCGGTTCCGGTTAGACTCTTGTGCTCTCGATATGGAATATGTTTACCAGTTTCTGGGTCTATGTATTCCTTGGCTAACCCAAAGTCAATCATATGTAAGACATTAGATTTCCGTGAGTTAGGTCTTCCCAATAGAAAGTTTTCTGGTTTTATATCGCGATATATAAGATGTTTTGAGTGTACAAACTCTATGCGAGACAACTGTTTTAAAATAGAAATATTTTTTAATGATTAATTCAATTACTATTTTTATTATAAGTTATACCAATTGTAATGAAATTTGAACGACAGTTTTAGTCGAGAATTTTCGGTCGCAGAGATCAAACATATCCTCAAGACTGGGACCCAATAATTCCATTACTAATGCATTGTATTTACCGCACGGACCGAAGTAATAGATTTTAGGTATTCCGTCTGTTATAAGATTCATAATTTAATTAACAATAACAACAAACTATAGTAAAACCCAACACCAATACTAACCTACGTTTCCCAACAATTTGTAAAACCTATACTCGAGATGCAATTGAGGCGCTTTGGTCTTCATTGGTTCCAATTTGATGGCCACGTGTTCGTTGTTATATAAATTTTTACCTAATTTTCATATTTTATTATTTATTATTATTATATTAAATAATACAATTACTGTATTTGCTTTAATACTTTATTTTTAATATTATTAACAAATTAAAATTTTATTTCTATTACCGGTAATTATATATATATATATATATATTATATATATAGAATTAATAATTTATATCAAATATAATTATTGTAATAATTAACAATAAATCTTTAATTATCAAATCAAAATTTAAACATTTAAAAATAATGATTTTATCAAATTAAAATATAATAAAAATAATACTGGTATATGCTTCAATAAATTATTTTTTATTATTAAAAACTATCTTTAAAAATATCATATCCTATATTTCTAATCATTTCAAAATGTTTATTCCAAGATTATTATAAAATATATTATTAAAAATTATTATTTAACTAATTTAAGAAAATCTTTTGTAACTAAAAAATATTATATTTATTACATTATATAAAAATCATAAAATAATTAATAATTTTTATGATAAATATACTAAATAATAATAAAGACATATGAATTATAATATAATAAATAGATTAAATTTAAAATTCTATGAAATTCAATAAATTTTAAAATAAAAATAGTGAAAATGTTGAATAAATAATAAAGCAAATGATTAAAATAATTTAAAAACGCTTCAATGTGTGACCAAAAATTATTTTTAGGTAATTTGCATTAAAATACATAAAAATGATAAAAATAAATTGAAACCTTCACTAAAAAAATTGTGTCGCTTTCATAATAGTAAATATTTATAATAAAATAAAATTTAGCACTAAATTAATCATAAATCTTAGATTTAAATGCGAAGACAGACCTAATCTGAGTTCACCAAAGTTGCCGCTCCCGATCTTTTTGCCGACTTTGAAATTGGGTCCAACCATCAACACTCCCGAACCGTTAGTTCCCGCACTACCTCTTCCTTGTGATGCATGCATTGCCACTAATTAATCGATGTGTTTGTCAACACTATTATAAACTTTGATATCAAATGTAAACAAATTTGTTGACTAAAAATATCGGTCAGAATCTAGATTTCGGGTACAAAATATATATTATTTAATTTAGTATTTTTTAAAAATATTTTTAGACATTTTCAACACTCAATTCAACTGTTTGTTAAAATGTGTTAACTCTTACTTCGATATAATCGACATTTAACTCAAAATTGAATTTTGCATTAATTAAGTAAAATATAAATTATTTAACATTTTAATAATTTTATTATTAATTTAATTTTATAATAATTATATAAATATATCCTAATTGTAATCAAATGGATAATTACAATATGACTATAGTATTGATGACATAGACTTTAATATCGATTATAATTATTAAAAGTCAATTGATTTACCTATAAATGTATTGTCAGTAAACATAAATCAATTGAGTGTTACAAATGTCAAATAATTACATCAATGGATCCAATGGGCCGAAGATGTCAATCGTGACCACAATCACAATGCGATGTCAGCGATGGTAACGAAAATGGCGATCAAATGCAGACAACCATTGAGTGACAGCCCTATGACTGCACTAATGGGTTGTATTGTTGTGTAAAAAGCGATCACTAATTGCTATTAAAAACAATTCAATGATTGCTTACTAATTGTGTCATTGATTAGCCATTCATTGACTACTTATAGCAATCAAGCGGTCAATCAATTGAGTAGTCATTTAAAGCACTCATTCAATGACGACAAACGTTTTGTTTCAACAATCACTCAAATATCCAAAACTAATGTAACACTCACTCACTCACTGTATATACAGTACACTATGAGACCAATGCTATAGCATTAAAGTATAACTAGTGTTAAACACTGACCGCCCAATCCATACAACACTAGTCAACAAGTTTTGTCAGTTTATTACATACACACTATTCAACTATTGGTTCAATTATTTTAATAAATAAAGTATTAATACTTAGTTTGATTAAACCATTTCCATAGTTATTATATTTGTTATCAATTAAAACAATAATTAATACAATAATTAATACAATAATAACTAATACTTAATATATTATAGTATTAATAACTGTATAGTCATGTCTTCAAATTGATTGTAATTATCATATGTTATGTCAACTATGGCTTCAATAGATGACAATCAAGTGACCAAAAGATGTGATGAAATGGATTTAAATCATTATTGTTTTGCTATTGATTTGAGAAGTATTGTTGCAATTGATGTCAATGTGGGACCAATCAAATCAAGTTATCTTCAGTTTTGTTATCCATTTTTTGGATACACTGACAACATTAAGACATTTCCGTCCATTACTGTCACCGTCAATGAAGACACTGTTATACCTCATGGCTTCTGTGCCTTCAACTTTGCCACGACTGACAAAAAACTGAAGAAGACTTTTAAAGAAGTTCCACTTATTATTGAAATGATTGAAGAAACAACTATTAAGACAATTGTGGGAACCGCTAAAATAGATCTATTCTCTGTATATGAAGCACAACCTAACAGAGCGGATGACAAGAAAGTGGTCAACACAGTAGTTCCGGTGATGTCTGAACAAAACAAAACAATAGCTCAGATACAGATCATAATGTTTTTGCAAAATTGTGGTAAAACAAAGATACCTCTTATGCCTGATTTGCCAGACATTAGTGTCATGAAGAGTACTGTCAAAGAAAATACAATCGAAAACATCGATAATTTGGACCATTTGTTGACTGAAACGGCTTTAGAAATAGAGTTATGGAAAGAAAAACAAATGATTTTATTTAGAGAAAGACTTAAACAAAATGAAGAAGAATTCAATAAGAAATTAGAAGAAAAACTTATCAAAGAAGAGAAAGAAATTAAAGTTAAGTTTAAAGAATTGACAGAACTTGAGAATAAATTCTTGAAATCTTTAGAGGAGTTGAAGATTAGGGAACAGAAGATCAGTTATAAAGAAAGTCAAATTGATTTGAAACAAAAAGAAATAAATCTTAAATTTGAAAATTTAAACGAAGAAATATCTCAAGTCATGAATGATCTCAAAGACAATTACGAACAGAGAATGACTTCTGAAAGAAATAAATGTAAAGAACAGGAATCAGGAAAATGGAAAATACAAGAAAAAGTGTATTTTCTTGAAAGAAAACTTAAAGAAAAAGATAATATAATTAAAGAATTAGAAGAAAAAATTAATCAAAAAGAAAAATCAATTCATACAAGAAGTAATAATTTACAAACAAATTCTTTAGTTAGGACGACATCTTTACCGCGAAATACAACACCGAAAACAGTTTTAGTCACCAGAGAACCATCATTTGAGTAAGACTTTTGATTTTCTTAATTTAATTATCAAAAGTTATAAATTTGTTTTTAATATTAACAGTTCGATAGCAAAAAATATCAAAACTCTTAAAACAAGCAAAAGAGATATATTTACGAAAACTTCTACACCTATGAGGTCTAAGGCACCGATTTTTACTAACAATAGATCGAAAAATATCTCGAATACTAAAGTTCTGACAAAAGTGGAAAATCTTGAAAAATCTAAATTAATTGAAGCGATTAAACAAAAGAGAAATGACTTAATTTCACGAGGAGTTCATATCAATGATCCGATTATTCAAGAAATTGATTCCAAACTTAATTATGTCTAAACAAGTGTTAATATTTTTTGTATATATAACTTAACTATAATTTATTTTCTATTATATCTATACCGGTATATACTGTACTATATAATTACGGTAATTATTCATTACAATTACTAGAAATCAATAGTTAATAATATTAATAGCATTTTCAGATCAATCTATTTAGTTTTTAATAGATTTTTCAACATATAATAGACTGTTGTTTTGATATTTAATTCAGTGCTTATATCAGTAAATATAAAATTTTATATTGAATTCATCCATATATTGTATATTAGTTTACTTTTTAAAATTTATCGACTATTTTGTTAATTCATTAAGAGATAGAACACGGATTCTAAAGACTTTTCTATTTTGTAAATATTTTATCCGAGTTTTAAATCAATTAAAAATTGCAAAAGAAATGAACAAAGAATCAAATATTCAAATAAAATTCTGTAAAAATAGTATAATTTTTGTACAAATATTATATAAATTAATATATTGAAAATCTTTGCATATTATGTATAAATAAATTTTTGATTGCAATCATCAAAACTGGTATATATAAATAAACGGTAATAGTTTATTAAAATATTTTCGAAATTAATTTCTTTTGAATAAATGTAGATATTTTGATATAAAACAAAAAAAATTATATTACGGTATTTTCTTGCATTTTACCCCATATAAAAATCACGGTAATGACAGTATTCACGATTTAACGGTAATGAAATTATCAAAAATATTTTTTTTTATAAAAATATAATTGACATCAAATAAACTGAATATACTTAGCGTATGTGCCCGCATATAACCCACTCAAAAATCTAAAAAAATAATAATCAAAATTTGATAAGGGGCTAAATATCTTATTACCCCACCACCGGAATTAAATGTTAAGTCATGGGGGTGGGTAACCTGTTTATTGCTATCAGAAACTATTTAAAAATTAGTTAATTGCAATTATTGTAAAGATAAAAATAATAATACAATAATCAGCTTCTGATCGATTATTAATTTGAAAATTACTTTTTTATAGGCCATTATTTGGCATTATATACACATAGATTGTTAGTCCCATAGTTTTACATTTAATTTCAGTGGCTATTTTCGCTTACAAACGGTATGCGATATACAGTATTATATAAAATAGAAACTCAAATAGAATTACTTTTTATATATTGATATATTGTATAAGTTATTGATAAATGTTTGAATAATAAAAATTTTATTTTATTTTCTATAACTAGCAATAATTGATTTTTTGGAAATATTGAAAAATGTATATAAATATATAGAACTAAATTTAAAGGTAAGTATTGACTTATATATTACATATAATAATAAATACAGAATATATAGTATATATTAATAATTCAATTGTAATTCAATTTAGCTCATTAACAGATTCTTTAAATGTAACTGTAATTGAATCCCGATTTTATAACTACAGTATATATTATATACTGTAGTAAATCGGGATTCAATTACAGTTACATTTAAAGAATCTGTTAATGAGCTAAATTGAATTACAATTGAATTATTAATATATCGATAAATCAATAATAGAGTATAGAATTAACATTTTTATAAATAATACATAAAATCTTTTAAATAATTAATTTTTATCTAAATTTATATATTTTTATTGTGAAAACTTTGATATAGTGTGTATAGTATACATTATAATTTAAATTATTAACAACAAATATTAATATTCTATAGTGTAAACGCTTTCTATAGTTATCATATATTTAAATTAATTGATATTTAGTAATCAATAATAATAAATATATTTCTATAATATTTAAAATCTAATATATTGTATATTTGTATGACAATAACATTGATTTTCTATAAAATTAATTATAGTGTAATTTATAACAACAATCACTCTGTAAACTATAGAGTCTATAGTAGAGAGCGAAAAGTTTCGGACCCGTACCTGACCCGTACCTGATCTGATACCTAAAATCTCGGACTCGGACCTGACCTAACATAGGGTACAAATTTACCTGACCTGACCTGACCTGACTATGTCTGTCCGAAAATAATTTTATCAAAAAACAATTTTATTCATACTATACACACAACAAATTTCTCTAAATTAACTTTAATTACTCGGGATTAACGATAACTGATAGTAGATCTAACTTAGATTCTAATAAAGTTAATATGTTATTATTTATTAGATCAAAACCATCATCTTTTGTAATATTTTATGTTTAATTTATACAAATATTTTATAAATAATAATTTAATAAATTTTGTGTTTGATTGTCATATTTTGTAATAATTGTCGTTTAAATAATGAATAAAAAATTTTCGGACCTGACCTGACCTGACCAAAAAATTTTGGTGTTCGGACCCGTACCTGACCTGACCTGAGCCCTAACTTTTACCTGACCTGACCTGACCTGAAAAATCAGGTCAGTTTTCAGTCTCTAGTCTATAGTATAGACTATAATAGACAGTAATAACGAGTTTTTAGACTAATTAAAAAAATTATTATTAAGTAAATACCATTTATAACTATCATAATAAAAGCTATAATACATTATAACATTTAATAGATCATTAATTACAATATTTTCTATATTTAATCAATCAATTTAAGTATCAATTATTATACTATAAATACTATATAGTGTATAAAAAATAAATTCTGTACATTTAAAAAACAAGCAAAATGTTTTAAATTATATAAACTAAATAATTTACAAATTTATAAACTTTATTTTTAAACTTTTTAAGATAAATAAATTAAAATTCATACAATTGACTGCTTTAAGTCAGAAATCACCTATAAATTCATGAATCATTACACAAAAATAGTACTAATCATTAAACAAAAATTTATGAGACTTTCATAAATAAGTCTAAATATTTATAAATAGTTTCTGACTTAAAACAGTAAATTACAATAATTGTCTAATAATTAATATATAATATTAAGTAAATAATGAACTTTTTTTAAATATAAAAATCTGATATACAGACTCAGAAAGTGTATTTAAATTTTATCATTTATTGATAAGTATTAATGTAAATAAATTTCATAGTTTGACATTTGATTTTTAATAGTAAAACTTAAATAAAAATTTCGATGAGTTATTTATTAATCAGCAAATTTTATCACAGATTTAATAAATAGTTTTATCTATAAAGTAATATTAAATATTATTTTTAAAAATTTAATTATTGTAATACAATACAATACAATAGTCAATAATATAAATATTTTTATAAAAATATATCAAAATTAATGCATTATTATTATTGATTAATATTATCTGTACTTTGGTTTAACAATAAGTTATCAATTTTTCTTTTTTTAATTCTTCTATATATAAGATATGCTGAACTGCCTATCATAACGAGCACCGGTAGCCCAAAGCCGACCAAAATTATCATTTGTACCAATAATGAAAGCGATTCTTCCGGTGCTGAACCCAATCCTATGACTAATGAATATGAATTATATTTACTTTTGTCGTAATAAGAAGTGTCATCATTTGCACCAAATGTCAAATTAAACTCAAATAATGAAAAATCTTTATTATAGACAAAGGTCTCGATTAGTCGATTATCAATTTTGCTATTATTGTTGCCTTTTTGAACATCACTTGCAATTACATCCAAAGTGTTAGCAATGATTTTCTCGTCATTATTATAAGCAATTGGTTTCCATTGAATGAAACCTTGTCTCTCGTTTTGATCCAATTTTCTATCTTTAGTTGAATCCAAATCCAAATGAATTCTCTATTTTAATAAAAATGTTAATTAAATTCATTATTAAAAATCAATCAATTATTACATCAAACACTCCGGGAGTGTACTCGTCATCAATGGTTGTGGTTTTGCTTAGTTTAGTCGCAGATTTAGTGCCATTCAGTGTAACCACAGATATCGATGCCATTAATCGCGGAAAATACTTATCTCCCGTAAAGTTCTTGTGATTTTTGAGATCGACATCAATGACATTCAAGTCAAGAGAAACGCTGGATTCAGTGTAAGTCAATTGTGGTAATTCATCATTTCTGCCATCACTTGAACGCACTCTAAGATTAAAACTAACGGTTCCGTTGAATATCTTACAATTGTCTGCATTTGCAGAAATAACAGACATTGAGTCCTTCACATCTTTTGGTGTCACCACTTGAGACCAATTAAATTGATTCCAATTGATCTCAGCAATTGGATCACCTTCTATGTAGTGACCACTTTGGGAAATATCATTAAAAAAGAAGAGTCGATTGAATTGAAAACCTAATCCAAACAGCGGTTCACTATTTATATTAAGAAATGGTTTAAATTTGTTTTTGTCAAGAAATGAGTCCCAATTGATGCCAACTGTGGTATTGTGTGTTGTCTTAAATATCAATAAAGTGGGCGAAAGTGATGAAACAGATGACCATAAATAATGAATTGAGTCTTTTGTATCTTTGTATGTGATGTCAATCAACTTATCCGTCGTTTTGTTTGTCCATTGCTTACAACTGTTATATTCATCACAATCTGGATTTTGAACATAACTTAGTTGTCGACAATTGATTGCATTGAAAACAATCAACAAATATAATAACAAAGCAATCATTTGAATCGACATAACGTTTATTCAGTGCTAAGAGTTAACCAAATAAGTGATCTTCAGGTGAAACATCTCTTCAGAAGGCGTTTTGTTTATCATATGATTGATAACAAAGTCATGTGTTTTTCAGGCAATGTATTTGTAAATACATAGATGTCTTCACTCTCAACGTTAACATCAAAAATGTAATACAATTTACTTTAAATATAATTTAAATATTATTATAATAAGTGATACAAAATAATAATTTCAATAATTCTATTAATTTTTAAATAGAAAATAATGTTTAATATTATTGAATACAATATAAGTGTTTAATGTTATCATAAATTCCATTAATTTCTGAAAGAACAGAATTGTTTAAAAATGAGAAGAATGTGTTGATCCAAATCAGCAGTGAATAAGAGTGTCTCAAATGTAGACACATATTTGAAGATATGATTGTGATGCTGTTTAAGACAATAAATCAATTCATTTAATTCATATCTTAACCGAAAAAAAGTAACTCAATAATCACCTCAAAGAAGACCTGTTGTATTCTTCCGAGAGTCCATCGAAACCAATGTGTTTTAAAACTACTTCCCTGTGATTCACACTTCTGGATGTGTTCCGACAAAAGCATAATAAAGCGCTGAAATATAATGAGAAACAAATTTTTCTGATCCGATTGGGCCGACTCTAAGCGCTCTTCCAATCGTTCAATCATTTCAGCCGTCGGTGTCTCACTTTTATCAGTCTCTTCTTCGGTCGACTCTTCCAACTATTGTTAGAAAATAGTTAATTAGAGATAAATAATATCATAAAACTCATTAATATTCAAACTTTTATGTTTTGTTTTCCTTTAGATTCTTCCAATTCTTTTTCAAGCGATTCCACATCTTTTATCGATTTATTGATGGTTTGGTGCAAAATCTCCCAAACATATGATCTGTAAATAAAATATATTAAAATACTTTTCACACAACAAAACCAATACTTCATAAATTCTGATGCATTATCTTTAGAGAAGAGCCAATTGGCAACAGAGGAACAATCGACGATTCCATCTCTCAATAGTTTGTTAACCAAAATGGCTGATAACTAATGACAAATCAATAATATATAAAATTTTAATTTTAATAATTTAAATATTATTTAAGACCTGTTGGTGTTTCTTCCAAACTTCAAAAATAGTGCTCAAAATACATATCTGCGACTCATCTGATGTCTTAAGACCTTCAATAGTCGGTTGATATCTATATTTATAAAATAATTAACTTAATAAGTATTATAATAATTACCGATAACTCATAATTAAATAATACTTAGTAATAGCCGAGAAAGTATGCGTTAGTGATTTTGAGGCCAAATTCAATAATACAGTTAAAAAGACATCAATTTTAAGTGGAATACAAGTTGTCTCTAAATTATTTTGAAAATATTTATTAAAATAATAGATTAGTTTTTAAAAATCCAAACCGTCATCCGTTTCCATCAAAGGATTGGTTAATTCATTAAGAATTTCAAGAGCTTCATCTGGTGTACACTTTTCTTTGAACTTTTTGAGCAACTCCGTTGCAACAGTAGTTCCAGGCAAAGAATCTGACCCTTCCTGAGTGTACTTATTTATAGCAATTGGTTCTTCGGGAGCAAACTCATGAAACGTTTCGGGAACTATTTTGACCACTTGTTCGTGAAATGATAGCCGTAAACAACGCAATAAAGTTTCGCGAATAAACTTGGGTTTTGGATGCAACCGATCCATTGTTAAGGCAACGCTCCAGTCATCCCAACTCCACTTAAATTGGAAATTACTTAAATGGTACGCAAACCAAACGGCAAACCTATCGACACACATGCAGTTCATGGTATCGAGTCGTTCAAACAATAGCTCAACCGTTTGTGCCAACTATTAAGAAATTTATTCATTTAATTACAATCATTTTATGAGACAATTAAACAATAAAATCTTTACCACTTGTGGGAAAGTACTCGGTTGTAGTTTAGACAACTCCAACAATGTTGAGCCATAAAATATATCGAGATGTTTGCTTTTAGGTAAAGCAAATAACTGAGAAAACATCACTTCTATTATCATATACTCCAAAGGAATCTTATGTCTACTCGGAAATTGAAGTAATTGTGTTGCACTGGATATACAATAATTAATCATTATATGAATAAATGTATATAATTACTAATCTAATTATACCATAACTTCCGGTCAGTAAAGTTTCGGTCAATAATCCAATTCAAATGTTCTTCAATTAGATATCTTTCAATTGAATGAGAACCGGGAAGAACAGGACCTTCAGGACAATCGGTGTAATCAAATAATCTAAAGATAACCTTTGGATAGGGATATATGTAATTTGGTTCATGAGGTGGAGGTTGTATTGACGGCAAATTATGTTGAAGTGATTCCGAAAGTATGCCATCAAATGCTAAATATGGTCGATAAATATGCCTTTCCATCCATTTATCTCCGCGTAGTTTAGATATCTGTGACCATAAACAGTCCAAATACTCTTCCTGTGGATGAGGAGTATCTGAATACCATACTCTTAGAGCTGTGTGATGGTGGGTCTTATGGCGCTATTAAATGTTAAATAACATATAAATTACATTTAAAATACAGTATTAAATATAAATTCTAAATACTTTATTCAAATAATTATCAATTGTGTTGAGAAGCTGTTCAAAGTCCTGATCCTTTTTCTCAACCAATTCTCGTCCCACAAATGGTAGGGCAGACATCACTGCATAAACAAAGTAATCGGATCGTGATTGAGGAATGTTATCTTCCATCGAGACTTCCACCAGATTCTCAAATAATGTCATCAAAGATGCCGACGATATTACTCGACACATAACCAGATCAGCAAAAAAGCGGACCAATAGTCGCGCCGATTCAAAGTTGAGAGCTTTCAGATTATCCTTAAATTGCATCACCAGATGTTCAATAATCTTTGGGATCAATTAATTAATTATAATCAATGAATTACAAACCACTCAAAACAATATGATATCTCAATACCTCTCCGCCATAGTTATAGTTTTTGGCGTTTAATAGTCCGATAAGTGTTGAATAAATACATGTCTTTTCCGGATAATTAATAATACTTTAAAATAAATATAAAAATTGTTAACAAATATCTATATAAATGTCAAAAACTCAGACCTTTCACACAAAATACGAGTGATCTTAGTCTTAGAGCTTTCATTGGTCTCGATGTCGGCAATCATCACATTTGACAGCTCATCGATGTTAGTCTCGATGGACGACGAGCTCTGTGTATGTAATCAACAATAAGACATAAAAAGTCATTTAATGGTTAAACAAACCGATTCTCCGATACGTATGATAAGTGACTCGAGATGTGATTGAATGCCATCTTCGGTGTCAATAGCAGTTCGCCGGCGTTTCGGATGTTTATCATCTGAAGACAACAAATTATGAGACCAGTTGTTGACATCAAATGAGTAATACATACCTTCGTTGTCATTATAATTACGTTTGCGATTATAACTCATGTTTTGAAGTTAACGTCAATTCAATCAAACAATCAAATCAATGGTCACTTCAATAACATAACGCTTTTTACACTTTTTTCTAATCAATGTATTTAACACTTGATTGGCTTAACATTGATTTGAGCGCTAAATTTAAAATCATTAAAAATATAACCAAACTTTCACATAACAGTCTGATGGAGACATTTAAAGCAAATTTTTAATATTTAATTAAATAATTAATTAATTTTACAATATTATCGTTACATTATATACAACATACTTCATACAAACGCTAAGCAAAATTATTGTAATATACTTCACTAAATTATTTTAATTTGTGGTAATAACCAATAATAAATACAATGTAATACAGTTTATTAATATACATGTATTTACTTTAGTTATACTAAAATTGCATATTGTATTCATTGGCTAATATATTTTGATTTTAATAAATTAATTTTATGCTAAAATGGTGTTAATGTTATTTAAATATTTGACAAATAAAATTTAACTTACCGTACAATAAATACAATAATAATTATTGTGTTTCAACTTTTTAACTTTAGGTATTTAAGTTCAAATGTCTACAGTATATAAAATGTTTAATGCAATAAATAGTCAAACAATAATATTTTAAAAGTAATAAAAGTTTATCGTAATGTGTAATACTGTATAATAAATAATATTAATAATGATTATTATTATTAAACAAATCATTATTTTGTTGATCTTAAAAATTCAATTTTTATCTAAAGAGTCAATTTTTAGTTAGGAATTAATTATAATTGTATTATAAAATAAACTAATCGTTTCATTAATTAAACATTGTTTATTTTACTGTACTATAAAATTTAGATATAATAAAATTACTAACAGTAAAATAAATCTATATTTACTTTACAATTCATTAATAATAATCTAAAATTATTATATTAATAAAATTAGTTTTAAATGAATATGAATTATAATACGAATCAAATAAATTTCAAATAAATATTATAAGAGCGACGAAATATAAATATAATAAATGTATATATATTTAATTACAACTTTTTAGTACATTTATTTAATTAAATTAGAAAAAATAACAATAAAAAAAATTATTTTATTTTTTAAATATAAATTATCGTTTCAAAAATATATTTATGAAATAAGTGCACAAATATTAAGTAATAATATTAATAATATAACAGTAAATATTTTAAAAATTTGTGCAAATAGTATAACTTTGTGATTGTTACTACAAAAATATATGTGTAAAAATGTTGGAATCATTAATACTGTAATATTGTAAACTTTTTAAAAAAAATTTCCAAAATATATTTAATGTAAAATGTCTTATAAAATGCAATTAATATGAAAATAATTTTCATTGAAATTCATGAAATAATACAATGATTAATAAAAAACAATATAATAAACAATTAATGATTTAAAATAAATTTAATTTATCACTTAATGGATGTTAACTTAAGGCACATTCAATTAACCACAGCTCTAGTTATGTTAAAGACTAGTGTTTTATGTATTATTATGTTCTCTGACTGACATTCAATAACAATCTAATTGTTTATTATTGAGACCAATAAATGGATAAATAAAATATAGTAATTAGAGAACATTTATGGAAATGATATAATTGTAGTAAAATTCGCAATAAATAGGAATTATGTAAATAATGGTAATGAATGAAATCAAATGCACTTAAATGAGCCGAGAATTAGCCAAATATTGTGTTAACACTTTGCAGACAAACCTAAATTGTATGCAATGCTGAACACTAAGCATACGTTGAAATCTAAGTTGTATCAGAGCTTTGGGAACGTCTAACATATCAGTGCTATTGTAGTCAAGAAATTTTAACAAACAATCACAGAGTATGACAACACCACTGCGTCCAACACCTGCACTACAATGTACTACAATCGGTGGAATCGGTTGACTCCTTTTTCTACCGAAACCACTGCCTTCACGAGTAGAACGCCGATGAATGGCATCCATTTCCGATAGAAAGGCCAAAAAGCCGGGAACATCGTCGGGACACGAGTGGTCATTCCATTCGGTAAATCGTAAATGAGTTACCGTACGTTTCTGTCCATTCAATGTTATACTCAATAATGAAGTTATATATGTCATTGACATCGATGTTGAGTTACATGTAATCTAGTGATAAATTTACAATTCATTATTATTAGTATTATTATTAACATTAAGATTAGTTTTATTTTAAACTAAAAATAAAAATCATTTTTACTATTATTATCATATATTAAGTTTTTTTTATTAAAAGTGATTTAAAGATAAGATAAAGAGATTCGAATATCGAAACAATTTTATGTAATATCCTAAGCATTTGATAGTATAGTATATTAGTAGTACATTAGGGCTTATATCATATTTTATGTTATTTATTAATAATGTAAATTAACATAAAATATATTCTTTTCTATTAATTTATAAAATCATTTTATATAAATTAATAAAAATTATAATTTATAAATATATAATTATTACGATAATTAATTAACAAACACTTTCATATAATTTTGTAAATTTCTGTGAAATACTGTTTAAAACTGTGTCTATGAAAAAATTATATTATTCCTGTATATAAATTTATGTATATTTACAATAATATGTAAAAACTACACAGTAATTTATAATACAGTATACTTATATTTATATTAAGATATAATGAAAGATACAGTATAATGATACATAATATGTACATAATTGCTTATACAGTAAATTTATTTTGTTAAATATTTATATACAGTATATCTGTAATAAATTACAATTCAATTAACTAACATTATATTTATTTTTATATTTGAATTCTTATACTTTATAAAATCTTATATTTTAAACATCTTAAAAATTAAATCAACAGTTTTAATTAAATTGAAAATTAAAGTTATTAATAAATCAAAATAATGAATATACTGTATAAGTTGATATAAGTTCTAATGTTATACTAAAATAATAATAATAACAATAATATACATTAAGTATAATTAAATAAATAATTGTAATAATAGTAAAATTACCTCATAATCACCAAAACGAAGTACATTATGTGGTGATTCATGTGTTAGCGGTAAGTATTCAAAACATTTTTGTTGATTTAGTTCATGAAAATTGGTTACCATTACTATAAGATTAACACTATATTCCCAAACCATTTGCCAATAATCTATAGCCGTTGCCGCCAGTGGTCCCTGACTTGCGATGTAATGATTTCTTGTATTTCCCAAATTCATGGTAACGTGCGATGCATTTATATATCCACTCTTATTCTCTTTGGTTGACATTATCTTCACTCTGCAATTCATTTGGCATCACTTACTTAGTAAACATTTTATATAAATTTTTATTCAATCAAATGTTTAATTTCTATTTTAGTTAAATCAATAATAAACATATTTTTAAATATTGTGACATTTAGTATATTATACAAAGATTTAAAAGTATAGCATATTTTATCCGATGATTGTCATAATAAATGTAAAACCAGTTGAGAATGCTAGATAGCATTACCAAAACAAATTTTTGGTAAATATTCACACTCACACTCACACACTCACTGGATGAGTAAATCCAACTATAAACTAAATTTATTAAAAAACTTTATCATGAATCTGAAATCATGAATCATATAATTTTGAATCAATAAATTTAAATCTCTTAATAATAAAAAGTACTATAACTATAAAATAATATACTTTAATGCATATGTTTATAAAAAATAAATTTCAAACCTGTTATCTTCATAGGGAAGTATATCCCTAAATCTATTTCGATACATATTATCGGGCAATAAAGCAGTTGTAAATTTAGCCGTCGGGTTCATCCGCGGTAATAAATCGAATTCTCGAATGAAGTCCGGGTCGTTCATCATCTCTTCTAAAGCAAAAACTCTGCGATCTTTATGGATATCATTATTTGTCTCTACTTTGGTTTCATTCTTCTTAACCAAATACGAGCCTATGGTTGAAGTGATATCACTTGAACTTGAATTTCTATTTTCTAACTTATTTTTAGAGATATTTGATGGCATTGGTTGTGACATAACTCTCGGGGTTACCGTTTCACCGGAAACGGGTGTAATTTGATTATTATTATTATTGTGAGTGTTATTGTGATTATTACTGATTACGGAATGTTGTTGTCTTTGAGACAAAGTGTAAATATTTTGTAAATTAGATAATTGTTTGATATGATTATTAGATGGTTGAGAAACATTGGGTGATATGTTATTATTGTGTTGTTGTTGTTGTTGTAAACCCTGTGATTGAAGTAACTTATCGACTGATGAATGCATTACATTAGTAGATGAGTTAATGTGCGTAACGTGTTTGACATTTGTTGAATAGGCTGTCATTAATGGTATGTTTGAAATATTAGGCTCTGATCCAGCAGTTACTTGCCGTCGGTTTTGATTTTGAGATACTGTTACCGACGGTTCTATAATATTATGAATCAATTGTGAGGCAACCATGGGTTGGATACTTAGATCAGGAACACTATTGAATGAATAGGGAGGCGGAAGCTTTTGATTGTTTATAAAATATAACAATTGATTGTTATGTTGAATTGATTTATTATCTATCACTTTATCGTTATTTAAAATACTCAATGAATTAAGTTCAGGAGTACTACATGTTATAACACCAGATGCTAATTGATGGAGACGTGATGGAGAAGCTATCAAAGGTTGTTGTGATGGAAAATAATTGGTTGGCGGCAATGATGATCTCACGGCACACTTGTTGTTATTTACTATTTGATCCAATTCTAAGTTTGATAAATCATTAAAATTGCTATACTGTGTGGTCCCATGTTGTCCAATCATGTGTTTAATTGATGAAGTCGATGTTGATGTTGAAGGTATAATATATCCATTTGTGCCATAGTTTGTCATTGGATGACTAGATCTCTGTCCAACAGTCATATTTAAATTGGCATATTTATGACTCATGAATGTCTGATAATCAGGTGGTGATATATACGGTGGTAATAATTGACGCCTTTGTTCATATGTGAGTTCAGTGACATTGTTTAGTTGTTGGTGTGATAGATCAGTCCACGATGGATGGTGATGAACCTGAACTGTGGTTATGTTTGAATTACTTGATACAACACTTTGATTATTCATTGCATGTTCACTACTATCAGAAAAACTGACATGAATTTGATGCAAATCAGTTGCATCGGCTGAAGAATGGGCACCAAATATGTTTGTTTCGGAACTGCTATGTATTTGTGGAGTAACCGCTGTGGAAGTCAGGTCTCTATAACTATTAGTCTTGTACTGTGTGTTAGTGTCAAAGCTATCAACACTGGTATTGATATTATTAATACTCTCACTAAATGTTTGATCTGCAATATATAGAGTCTGTGGCAAAACAGTAGCATTTGATATGTCAGTGTTGACTGATATATCTGTATTACAACTGATACGATTCAAACTGTTTGTTCCGTTTGTATTGACGTTAATACTGGAGACCAAGTCTTGTTTGCTTTGATCTGATTGTTGAGAATCTGTATCAACACTATTACGCAATCCCTTCATAAAGTACTGGTGCTGTTCAACACATGTCCGCCAAAGACATGAAGCAAAGTCACTGTCAAATGTTGTATAGTTTTTTCGGAGTCCATCCGGATTACGTTCAATGGTAAACACCTTTAAGTTAATTCAATTAATTATATATTATTTTTATATTTCATTTGTTTCTATACAATAATATACATATGGCTCGTAAAACAGGAATTCAATCTTAACATTAATTTATACAATTCCTAACTAAATATAAGCACTTTGAGCACAACTCTGTAATTATTTCTGTTAACGTTTTAACTAATTATTGCAGAATACCATTATATTTAAGATATAATAACCATAAAAATATATTCTAATAAATAAAAAAATAATAGATTGAAATATGATCATGGGTATAATTAATATAATATACTAAGATTATAAATTTTTAAAAAGTACTATAATAAAAATTTACCTGTATTATATAATAAATACAATACGTTTTTAAACAAAATTATATATAATTAATCTTTAAATAATGCATTATATAAGATAAAAGCGTATTATAAATTTTAATATAAAAAACAAAATAAATTTGAAAAAATGTTGAAATAAAATTGCAATTTAATGGCTTAGATTTTCTCAATTATATATATATAAATGTGATATTTAATTACCTTTTTTTGGTGGACAAGATTTTTGATACAATTCCAACTAAAAATCTCTTTCGATCCATTGATGTCGACAACAAAAATACCTCTTAAAGTAACTCCAAGACAGACATCCAGTCCAGAATCGTTGACAGGAAAGCCTTCAAGAGCTATGCCATCTAATTGTTGTGCTTCTGAAATGTAATAGATTTCTGCAAGACTTGTGGGGACACCCTGTAGTTTACGATACTGTTTTGGACAAATTTGTTCAAAATTATAATACTGATAATTAAATCACATAACTTTTTTTAAATGATTTACCGCATTAATCACACTTTCTAACAGCAAATCTTGAGCCACTCTATTGTTTGTAACCATAGATGGAGGGAAAAGTGCAAAGTTTTTCAGATATTGGATATCATGTCGTTCAGGATTAAAGTCACCAAACTCTGCTTGAAGACTAAAACTGGCTAAAAGTATAGCTTCGTCACGATTGCATACAAGACGACCCTCAATAACCAACAATTTCATTGAACAAAAATAATGATATCTTGAGACTTCATCAGTTAAGAAGTGATAATTAGGCACAAAATATTGTAGACGAAGATATAGTCGCGACTCAATTGCATATTTGTCTAATTGTTTTTTCAATGGTTTCGATATATCAACCCATTGGTGAAAACCACGCTTTGATTTAAATAAAAGGCCAAATAAGTGGTCCGATTGTATGTTAAGTCTTTGACAAACATTGGACAGACATTCGCGCCCAACGCTCGTCGAGAAGAGTGTGCATTCAATTGTTTCATTGGTCAGAGTGTCGATGGGAATGACAAACAGGTCTTTATTGGACACATTGTATTGTTGAGACCGTTTGCCAAGTCGTAACCGAAACGGCATTTTCACCCAAACCTCACTTCATTGCAATCCCTTCTCTATATTCCAGTTGTTGTTTGCTTTCCAAACAGTCTATCATATGTTTGGATGCTATCATCGATGTTGCTCTCGATTAACACATACATTCAACTATTATATTATCAATATATATATATATATATATAATATTACTAAATATACCATTTCTATGTACTATATTATATCAAATGTATTAAATATCATAAATATTTACAATTTAACTTCAATTAAATCTATCAAAACATTGCATTTTAGTGAAACAAACATTTGAATCTACTATCAGTTCAGTAGTGATATATTAGAGTTTAAGTTCAATAAACATTTACTGTGAATGTCAAGCATAGCATAGCATAGCATAGCATTCATATGATAATAGCATTAACATTGTCTACTCTTCAAACTATTTTTGAAAAATTAATAATTGTTTTATTTTTTCTATAATTTAATTAATTATATAAATTTAATAAAAAAAATTAGTGATTTTCAATGAATATATCAAATATATTACACAATATTATAAGTATTTAATTATATAATTGAGAAGTCAATGGATTATATAATTTGAATGAATGAGAGAGTAGTAAACGATTAGTAAAGAAATGATTTTTTTTTCACTTAATTTCATTGCATTATAACAAACACCTATTGATTGCTCACTTAAATTAGATAATTGTCACCTAATTTGGTGACCAATGCATGCACTGACACATAACTATAAGACTGACCATTAAATTGATAAACAAATGTTTAAAAATAATAAATAAAATTAAACTAAACATTCAAATAGTGTTGTAATGTATTTGCAATGTATGTCAAAAATGGCCGCAAAAGCAATGTTTGTGCTCTTCTATGGCCACAAAAAGTTAATTATCTAAACAATTAACAAGTGATTACCACTGATGACTGAATATATCACAAGTTTAGACATCATTTGACATATATAACACAAACTTACCATTAAATGTCTTGAATTAGTGGACCAATTGGTCGCCAATTTGCGAATGACATGAGAAACAAGAGGTTAGGAATGAGAGGAAATGTCAAATATTTCAAGAGTACGACCACTTTGGTGACCAAACGGGGTGTCAATGTGTTGAGTGATTGTCACTGAATATGTTGGTTGCAATGGTTGACCAGATTGTGTCCACCGATGGTCTTAATATATGAGATAATTGTTTGACGAAAACACAAATCCGAGACAAGTGTTGAACAAATCGAGAGTTTAGAGAGATTTTGGTGATTGAGTTCTCGTAGAGTTCGTTAACATTGTATATATAGTTTGGTTGACAGCAATGCACACAACACTCAGTCTCTGACAGTCTAACAAACAGTACTAACAGTTATCATCACTTCTACCACTTATACCATAACCAGTATATTAATACTACCACTACTTGACATCACTTGATCCCAATAATCGACATAATGAGCGAAACACAGTCATCCGCGGCTCCGGCCACTGCCGCTAAACCGGCAGCTAAGAAGAGGGCTACTAAAGCTGCCTCGACTACCAAAAAGGCAAAGACACCATCAAATCATCCCAAGTATGTCGATATGGCTATCAGTGCCATCAAATCACTCAAAGAACGCAATGGATCTTCACGTCAAGCGGTCCACAAGTATGTCTACTCTTGAGTTTATAATCAATTCATTTTTTAAAAATTTATTGATTAATTTATTTCAATAAACTCTATAATAAATTACTTATTATAAAGTTTTCAAACTTTTTATTGTGTGTTTATAATGACTGCAATATTTATTATAATATATTAATCAATAAATTCTATATTTAAACTTTAGATATATTTTGAGTCATTTCAATGTGGGAACTGATGTCAAAGCAGTCAACGGTCATCTGAAGCAAGCTTTGAAAAGAGGTGTAGCCGGTGGTCAGCTTAGACATGTCAAAGGTCAGGGAGCTTCGGGTTCATTCAAAATAGCAGAGGGAGGCGCTAAAGCAAAGGCAGAAAAGAAAGCTAAGAAACCGAAAGCAGCGGCCAAACCAAAAGTGGACAAAAAGAAGAAGGCATCGACACCGAAACCCAAGAAGGCATCACCCGCTAAAAAAGCAGTGGCCAAACCCAAGAAGGCTTCACCTAAGAAGGCAGCGGCTGCTCCAGTAAGTGCTCCAACCGCTCCAAAGGCTGCGGCTCCTAAAAAGGAAAAGAAAGCTAAGAAACAAAAGACTCCATCAAAGCCCAAACCAAAGGCCGCCAAGAAGTCACCGGCAAAGAAGACGACAAAGTCAGCGACACCTAAGAAGAAGGCGGCGCCAAAAAAGGCAACGGCAAAGAAGTAAATGGCAAACAATGGTTTGACATCTTTGTTATCGTTTAATATCATCTTTCATGACATAATCATCATATCATCCATTCATCAAATCCATCAATTCATTCATCAATCCATTGGTCTCTCATAATGTCATCCATGTGTTCGACCGGTTGTCACAAAACATATATATTAACTATTATATAGACATCTCTAACGTTTAATTGGATTCTCATTAATATATTATATCCTTTATAATAATTATCACAAATCTTTCTATTCATTATTTAATTTAATTGTAAACTTAAATATGTTTTAATAATTTAATACATTATTTAATAATATAATTAAATATATTTGAATTTAAAAATGGGTTAAATGAGTATATATCAGATGTATTATATTTAAGAATAACTTTATTGTATTTTCTAGAAATATATAACAAAATTATCATTAATTAAAAACATATATTTAAGTTATAATTCTTTCCATTTTTTTTGTTCAATTCAAATAAAATACATTATTATTATTATTAAATTAATTGATTTCATCTTAACTTTCAATAATTCTTGATTCATAAGCAATTATTTTATTATTATTATTAATACAATAGATTAAAATCAATTTATTATTAAATTGATATACGAAAGTAAATAACCAAATAAAACAAAGTTATTATTATTTAAAATGTCTTACTTGTCTTAAATGTTTACATACTATAGAGTAATACAGTATATGAATATTTTTTTTTATTAATGAATAGATTGTTGTTAAAATCTAATGATGAAAATTATTTAAAATACATCTAACTTTTAATTATCTCATTTAAAATAATTATCGATAAAATCATTTCGCAAATAAATTGAAAACAAATATTGTTTTCCTTGTATTTAATTATTTTTATTATAATCTTATCCTAAATTTGATTCATGTATTTACAAATTATAATAAAATCAATTAATAAATTAGTTATCAATGTTTTACAACATAATTGTAGTTAATCTCCACTTGAAAACTATCGGAGATTTATGTCCGGATCAATGCTTAGCCGGTAAGCAGTGATTGCCGTCAGCTTTCTTTACCTGTCTTTCCGTTTTCATTGTTTATCATTTGTTGATTATTATAATTATAGTTATTAATTGATCCATTTTTATGATTATTATCGCTGCTATCAATATATGGGACATTCAGATCATCAATATTGGTATTATCTTTAGATTTCAAGTGTTTTTCATTGAAAGGGGGAATATGAGTGATTCCCTCCTCTTTCAGTACATTCATGTAGTGCTCTATTATTTCTTTGCCTTTTTTAATATTTTGTGAATAGTGTTTAACCGCCAACTTTTCAACCACTCCTTCAAATCCCCAGAAGTGATTCACTTCCAAACTGGCCGACTGTTCAAAACATGTCCACTCGGGGTTCTCGGGATATACCTATCAAATAATATTATTAAAAAAGTGGTCACTTATTAATAGTCATTAATAACCATTAATAGTCACATACCCTATAAGTACATAATTCATGAATAGTGATCCTATTGGCGAAACTCTCATTCCAGGCCTCAATACTCAATATTCGGTTTCTTCGATCTAATGTATTCTTCTGTATAAAGTATACAATGTCTACACCAGTGATCTGTCAAATAATAATCATATTATACCAAACATTCAAATTTAAAACAACAATAATCTATATAATCCTAAACAACTAATCAATTATAAATATGTGGGTATTATTTAAATTTTATAATTATTTTTATTCAATAAATAAACTCATTTAATATTAAAAACACATTTAAATATTTGTTAAAATCAACAAATTTTGTAATAATTACTGTTCTTCTGGTTAATTGTAAAAATATATATAACATAATTATAAAAATCAATATAACCTTATAATATATAAAGACCCTTATATTTAATAAAATCGATTTATTCTTAATATAAAATATTCCCCATTTGTAGTAATAATAATATTATAATAATAAATATGACATTTAACTCATTTTATATAATGACATTCAAATGACACAACTATTATACAATATTATTATTACATTAAGATAGACATACAGATCTGTGTTAGCTTATACTAACGTAAAACAATTACATGTAATAGAGTATAATGGTTTAAACACAACTTCAAATTTAAATTTTAGTGGAAATATATTTTATACATTATTATCTGTTAAAATAAATACAATTATTATTATTAAATAACTAAATTTACAATACTTTAATGAAATTTTATTTTTAAAATTTCAATTTATTTATTTATTTTAATAATATCATATTAGATTTTTAGTTATTTTTAATATTTTATCGTATTTAGCATTAAAAATTAAAATCAAATTAAAAACACAATTACATATTCAAAATGCCCTGTATTTATAAATCATATTATGTTAATCTTCATATTTTTAATCATGTGATAAACATATATAACATACCGTCTGTTATTAAACATTATATTTTTGAAAACTAAATGTTGTTTACTGTATATAATTTATATACGTTTTTATATCTAAAATATTTTTGTATATTTCATTATTCTATGCTACATATGTACTGTACATATGTTTCAAAAACAAGTAACTTAAATATAAGTATATATACCGTATATACTGTACATTATATTCAATGTATATAATTTATATAATATAAAAAATGTTTTTATAATAATTAGAATTTCTATTTAGAAATTAAATATCAATATATCGATATATATTTCTATAAATATAAATAATCAATATTTAAAAATATTTTTATTGTTCATAAATAAATTAATTATACACTCATTGGTAATAAATTCTATTTTTATTACTTCTATTCTATAAATAGTTTTTTCAATTATAATAATTTTTTTTATTATTTATAATAAAAATTTGTTTTATAATAAAATCAAAATATTAACAATAAAATAAAGTTATTTTCTTATAAATAAATTCTTAAACAATAATTTTAATTGGATACTACATATATTAAATGAAATATATAAATTATATACTGTATTATAATAATCTATAACATACTAAAATGCGATTGCTATAAATAAAATCAAGACAAAATAGGTGGAAATAGTTTTTTGTAATATTACTTGACTCTGGAATGAAAATCAATAAATAATTAATATTTATTTACGTTTCTAAAAAAAGTGGACTAACCACTTTGAATGTATTATATAAAGGCACAGGTATTCTACTACAGGATTGTGTGATATTTATAAATATATTTAAGTTTTTTCAATTGTATCATCAAATTTATAGTTCGGTAATTTAAAAATATACTGAGACAAGTATTTTAGGATTTTTTATGCCATACAATTTAGTAAAATATGATCTTAATCATTGAAAAATCAACATTTTTATATTTTATATAATTTTTATGATATCATATTACTAATAATATACAGGTGCAAAATAAATTAAAAATCATTTAACAATGTATTCATCCCGAAAAACAATAGCAAATTAATTTTTTATCTAGTTCAATTACAGTAAAATATTTTACAAAAATCATCTAAGCTTATTTTGCCATTTTTGCTATATTTTGTTAATAATTTTATATATTAATATAAAATTAGATATTTTTGATAAATTTCTAAAATTATTTCAAAATTAATTAAAAATCTGATAACAATAAATTAATCAAATATCTATATAGGAAATACTATAAATATATTCAATAATAATTGTAGTGATGTTAGAAATGGCATATTATCTTAAAAATTCTTGAATTAATCAAAACATGAGATAAAGGTTTTTAAGATATAAAATCAATGAACTTTTCACTTTTAATTTATAATAACAAATAATGAAATCAATAAACTATTAATTGATAATAAATTAATATTATTGTTAAAGTTTGTGATTTAATAGATTATAATTTTTATAGATATGTCACAAAATTAGTTGGCATTAATAATATCATAGTTTCAATAGGAGATACCTTTTTCAATAGATAGGGCGCCTCAACATTGATACGACACTTGCGCTCAATTACGTGAACCACTCCGTCATCAGTCTCTGAGATGGTATCGGAGCCGACAAACACCGGAATCATTTCACACGTCGGAAACCGTCTCTCGTAGGCCTTTAAAGTCACAAATTAATTAAATATATTTACATAAATACATAATTTATAGTAAACTAAATTAAATGCTAATAAATAATCAGATAAAGTAAAATACTTTGTAAACCATATGTTATGATATTATAATGGATTAGATTTGATTTTTTATAAATAAAATGTATGCAAACTTACGGCCATAACTAATTCAAACGGATATTTATAGATCCGTAGCGGTGACTGATATTTTTGAACCATATTTTTTATATATAAATATATACTGATTATGTAATTAAATATTTATATTATTATATATATATATATATATATAATACTAATAGTTTTGTATTGATTTTTTCAACTCTTGTTTCACTGACAATCTTTTAATGATTTTTATTTGACAATTAATATAAAACAACTGAAAATTTATTGACTATTATTATTGTAGCACAAATTAGACTAAAATTAAACATAAAACAATATTAAAACAATATTAAAACAATATTAAAAGGCAATCTCTTTGAGGCAAATATAACTAAATAATCAAATAATTATTAATATTAATAATTATTAGTTATTATTTAAGTAAATGACTTTCGTTGAAATTTTATTTTAAATAATAAAAATATAAATCTATATATAATTATAACAGTTTTGAGAACACAATCAAATAAATAAAATATGTTTTATATATATTATACAGTAATATATACACTAAAAATATAAATTAAAAATTTAGTTAAAATGGCACACAATTAGAGTATAGTAATGTTGAATGTAATGAACAGCCAATAGTAAAACATTGCAAAAAATATAATTAATATGTTTTTTATTGAATTAATAGTTTATTTCAAAATAATCAAACATTAATACAGATCTGAAAACAAATGTGCGTTAAATTAATGAGATTCACAATCATATGGCAGACAATCACTATTTAATTGATTTATCAGTTTTTAGTCATATATTTTGAGTGAAAAAATGACACAAAATGTTAAAAGTGTTGTCCATTACTAGTGTTATGCAAGACATCCATCAGTTATCACATATTAAACACTTTATCACATCATTATTACATTTATTAACAATATTTTATTAATTAATTGACATCAATTTGATCATAGATTTACTATTAAATTATCAATTAATTAAACAAATGATTTTAAAGTTAGGATTTAAAACATATAATAATATATAAGTGAATGAAAGCAATTTGAAAACGCTTTTAATGGGAACTCAAACTATAGTCTCAAATACACAACACTTGTGTCACATATATTGCAAACATTTAATACATTACTTGACAAACACTATGTAATCGGCATTTAATACAATACACTACAGTATAATGCAATGTAAATATAGTACACTATAGTCGACACATAATTACGTCGCTATATATTTCAAATTCAGTTATATTTTTATTAATTGAATAACAATTTACAAACAATTTAATCAAATTAAAACATTTCCTATATTTGCAATACAATAGACTATCAATTAATATTTTTATTAAACATTTCATAAGCAAAACAACTGATAACATATGATAACAAATGTTATTAAACAAAAAATATACACAAAGTCATACAATGACCTTCAATAATAATATTACTGTATCATGGTAGTTTAATGTATCATACTGTATGTGTCCTAGTTCAATTGTGTCTATCATTTATTACAACTAAATATTTTATAATTTTAGACTAAAAAATAAACATAATTTTAAATTGAAGTACATTTTGATATTGCATTTTAAAAATTTCTAGAATAGTAGTCAAGAATATAATGAACAATAATGTACTACTTGTTAATGATATCAAAATTGTCACAAATTTTTATCAATAATAAATTAATGTATAATTTATGAGGTAATAAAATTATCATAATTTATTATTATACTGTACTTATATGATTTAATTTTCTGTGAATTGTATATAAAATGATATAATCAATATTATAGTTTATTGACAATTTTCAGTTATTAAATTCAACATAATATTACAATAAATTTATTATAGATTTTAATATTAAGTATTAGTACTACTAACAAGTAAGTATAAATTTATGCTAAATATTATAACTATCAACTAAGTATAACAGTGTACAGTAATATAGTTAAAATAATTATTAAGTGATGATATTTTTATAATATTTATAATTTATAAATAATTGATTGAAAAAATATTTATTGAAAGTTAGGATCAGTCATATATGGTGACAATGAATTAAATGTTAGACACATGATTTTAATAAATTTATATAAATAGGTATCTGTAATACACTATAATATACAGTATTAATATATTTTATTCAATATACAATACTGATATAAAATTCAATTAATTATTTACTATTAAAGTAATTGATTAGAATATAAAAATATAAAACCAGAGGTAATATAAGTGAAACTCTTATGACTTATCTTTAGATTGAATTTGAATATAAATATTTTATTTTTAAAAACAATGATTTTGACACAAATACATTGATTTCACTGCACTTAATACTTAATGATCACAATTAATATATTGTATTAGCTCAGGTATGATATCTCAGAAACTATAAAAGATATTGAAATTATCTAAAATTTAATTTCTAAGTTTTAACTGTTTGATCTAAAGGAAAAAGATCAAAAATTATCTAAAAATTCCCTAAAATTCTAATGTAAATTCCCAGGAAATAGGAATATATAATAGATGAAATAAATTTTAATAATTTTAACCAAGCAAAATCTTATATTTTATTGTTTTGTTTAATGATTTATAAAATATTAAATTATTGCTAAAGATGTTAGATTGAAATACAGTATAATTATTATTTATTTTATGTTAATCACTATAAATTGTATTTACTTTAACATAAAAATATTTTTTAACACTTATTTGTGAATAGCGTCACAATTCAAATTAATTGAGAATTATTTTACATACTATTGTGTTAAACTGTATTAAATTAAAAGTTTATGTAATAATTATTGTAATTTACATTCAGTACATAAAATTTTTATAATTATCATCAGTACTAAATTTATATAATAAATTATATTATAATCGAATTAAATGGTTTAGTCTTTTTTAGCTAAATTTAACTCTTGTATCAAAATTTAAATTAAATAATTAAAATTTATATATCATAACTATAGATAAGATTAATAGTTTTAATAAAATACAGTATTTTATTAATATTATTAATTTAGTTTTTAAAATGATATTTAGTGACAGTATTTATGCAAAATATATTAATCTTATATTAAATTAAATTTAATTTTGTCTATAGTTATATAAATTTTAATTATTTAATTTAAATTTTGTACAACATTTTAAAAACTGTTAGTTATATTATAGTCACTCTATTTTTGATTTTATTTGACATCATTTGTTTGTTTGCTTATAATTTAAACTTTTAAACCAAAAAATATTTATTTGTTTATCAGTTATTGTGTTATTATTGATTGTTTTGGTTGTTATTATTAATACAATTATTGTATAAATTTAGTGATAATTATTTGATTAGAAATGTTTTACTTAAGACAAACATTTAATCGACATTTATGTAGACATTTGTCGATACGATTCAAATCAATTAAAGACACAAATGTTTGGACACAAAGTGCAAAATGTTTTCATTTGACTGAATGCATGAATAAAACAACTCTGAAGAACACGAGTGGTAAGAGTCAGTCATCACAGGATTGGTTGCGACGACAGATGAATGATCCGTACGTAAAGAAAGCCCGTTATAACAACTATAGAGCCAGAAGTGTGTTTAAATTGATGGAAATGGACAACAAGTATCAGATATTACATCCATCGATGATTGTGGTCGAGTGTGGAGCCGCACCCGGTTCGTGGACACAATATATTGTTAAACAACTCAAACTGGATGCTGAAAATACATATCCGACGGGTGCTGTCATTGCAATTGATATGCGTGCCATTAACCCGATTGCCGGTGCCATCATTATGGACAATATGGACTTCACTAAACCCCTGAATCAATCAAAGATATTGCACGCATTAAATGGTAAGTTAGTTGATGTAGTGGTCAGTGATATGGCTCCCAATGCCAGTGGTAATCGTGATTATGACTCGACGGCAATCCATAATCTATGCTATAGTGTCCTTCAATTTTCATTAACTGTTTTAAAGCCAATTTCGGGTACATTTCTGACAAAAATATGGGCCGGAAATGACACCGAAAAGTTTATCCATCATTTGAATCAATTTTTCAATGAAGTCACTCATCTAAGACCCGACGCCTGTAGGGCTGACTCAACAGAATCCTATATAATGGGCCGATATTTCAAAGGAATTCAAACATAATATACTAATGAATTGCAATTAAATTTATATAAATTTTATTGAAAATTATCATTTCATTTAAATTAATATCTATTATATTTACAATATTTTAATAGTATAATTGGCACAAAATTGAGAATTCATTACAATATATAGAAATATTCTTATATATAAATAAACATTATTTGTCATATAAACATTAATTACAATTAATATCAATTGTTTGTCCATAAATCTATTGATGAGATTGATATTAAAATATGAATTTAGTAGCAATTGATGTAGTTTTTTAAAACATAAAATTAATTAAAAGCGATTTGAACTCAAAAACGTTTGGAAGGCCTATAGATTGATATTAAATTATCTGTCGTCCCGACGGCCAGTCGTGCCTTTAATTTAAAAAAACAATAGTTTATCAAAATTGGATATAATATATTTGAGACATACTTTAAGCGGATGAAAAGCCAGACTACAAATTGGTGACAATCTATTAGATATAAATCTATCATAATATCTAATTGTGTTTCCCTGCAATCCATCAAATGTATATAAATTGATGGAAGGGTATGAATTGGGCACTGGTTGGTTTCCTAATCCACTGTTATAAAATGGATAAATTAAAATATTGAAATTATTAATAATAATAATGATTATGGCAATTACCAAGCAAACACATTGGCTTCTAAATGAAAAGTCATGGCTGTCATCCCTAATCCAGTGTTAATTGATTTGATAGGATGAGTAGCGTTTCTCTTATCAAACCATTTGATATCTCCCGTAGAACTTCCACTAATTATAAGGAATCCGTCTTCATATGGATATATATGAGCGTTGACTATATATCCCTTATTATCATAAAATGTATGGACCCGACTATCGTGTGGCATAAGCCTATCATCAAAGACACGAACACTGCCGTCATTATATCCGACACATATGTAATGCGAATTATCAGTTGATAATGAAGTGACATCTTTGTCGGCTCCAGTATTCATATCACGAATTTTCATTTCTTTGTCTGCATCCCAAAGCCGTATGACTCGTGGCTCTCCCGATGCAATCAGTTTGTGTTGCCATTGATTCCACTCAAAAATGACACCATTTTTATTGTTTGGTTGCATATCATTGAATATATAGAAAGCAGTGACTAATTTGATTTTCTCTGATTTATCATTTAATGTAAAGTCTTTCCAAACCCGAATCGATCCGTCATCACAACTAGTCATGAGTTGTGTTAAGTCATGAGTATTGATTAACTTAAGGCCTGTTATTCTGGATGGCAATGGGTTGATGTTAGAGTGAGTGCCCAACAAAACTGGATTAAAATTATTATAACTATAATAAGATTGTTGAGGTTGTGAATCATAACTCCAGACACTGAATGAATCTCTTTCACCGATAATAAGTCTGTTATCGTAGGGATGAAAAGCTAAATGTTGAGCACTGTTGACATTTCGCTGATGGAATATCTGTTCGTCAATATGTGAAGAATCAACTAAAAGCAGTTCCCGTTTTGATTTTTCTTCTATATTCTTGTTTCGCGAACACTTCCATACCTTTTCATAGTGTGAGTTACTTTCAGTGTCTAAATCTTGAGAGTAATTCAAATTTGACGGCTGACTAAAGTGTTTGATACACCAATCGACAAATGGTGTACTAATAAGAGGTTCGCGTTGATAGTTAGCCATATCTTCAGTGTTTCCGTCCTGACTCTTATCTGAAACACTGGGTTCACGACCAAAAATATGACGTTTAGCTGAAAATATGTTTTTATAGTTAAGAGATGGCATAAATCGATTAGATGCCAGACTTTCACGCACTGGAGTTGTATTTCTAGATGAATGTCCCGTATTAGATGTCGGAGATTCACTCATATATTGCTGTGTATTGTTTGGTGAATTAGGTTCCGATAAAGAGTGCATAGAATTAGACTCTTTTAATGAATCATAAACCGTGTTTTGGGCAAAAATACGTGATTTCATTTCATCGATTATTATAGTAGCCATCGCTGCCACTTCAGGATAAGGATCATTTGCATAGAAGGTTATGGCCTTCCAGATAACCACAAAAACATTAGGTATGGCTGGGTTTTGACAGATAACACTAGAATTTGTTTGGTAACTGTGCAATGAATTGGATGAATTGACTCTTTTCATGGGAATGGTAGATGTATTGGAAGTAGTCGGAGGTGTTAATGCAGTTTCTCCCGGAATGTAACCTACCGGTAATATTTTAAATAGTTTAATTATTATTATTAATATTTAAATTAATATATATATAATTAATTATTATTCTAATATTTCAAAGTGAGTATGTATTTGATTATTATATTTTTAATAATTATATGTTAAAAAATATTAGTATTTTAAACCATGACAATTGCTCACCAAATTGGTGGGAATTAGGTGTTATAGTAATCGGTACGCTTAAGAACTTAGTAAAGGTCGACAAGCGGTCACGCGATGGCACTTTACGTAGTCCTTGTGGTGGCGTTCCCACAGTAAGTGAGTTTTCTGATTGTCATTTTCAGGTTAATAAATTAGCAGTCAATCAATTGTTAATTCAAAACCATTAGTGCAATTAATTATATTATATTGTATATTACAATAAAACAATTTTTAAAAAAACTAACAAAACATACCTATAGCTGATGCTGACATTTGTGTGTTATGAGCTAATCTTTCCTCATCTATCTTTTGATACATAATTGCGAGAAAACAGTTTTCAAAGATTAAGACTAACCAATGAAGTGCTACTAAAAGTTCTTTGCGAACGAGTGGTGAGCTATCATTTAAGCACTTATTTATTAAAGTAATGGCTATATTGTGGTCCAATGCGTTCGCGTGGTCTGTCCTTTCAGTGGCGCTATTAATGAATGTTCCCAAAGCATAGACAGCTGCAGCTCTAACTTGAGGTACGGGATCTTCCAAAAGCATAAATAATTTATCGTGAGCTGTATTACGAGTGGCACTCCAACGGGCTTTTTCAAAATTTTCCCAAATAAAGCCCAAACACAGAGCTAACCACTGACGTAACAATGGCGATGAACTATTTGAGGAAGGATCTCCACAAGGCATCTGTAACTGTTCCAAACAGTGATCAATTAAATTACCATTAGGTGTATTTCCCTGTAATGCCGCCTCCTATGAATATAATAAATTTACAAATAACACAAATCCTTAAAAAATAAATAAATTGCAAACTACCTGTCCTGCTGGATGGTTCTTTACAATACATGCCATTACAAATGCAGCCATAGTTCGATACTCTTCAGGCATGTGCTGATCTGAGAGTACACTTAGAAAATATCGATGACCATTGTCTCGGACTAGATCGGCCTGACATGACTTAATTAATAGATAATAATTAATTTCAAACAATCCAATCAATGGTAGTCATCAAACCTGATCTACAGCTAAAACTTTAGCCCAAATGAACACTAATAGAGGTCTTAATTCTCGAGCAGAACTTTGTAATAATTTGAGTACATATGGAAAGATTCCGACAGATAGAGCCTTAAATAAATAGATTATAATTAATGTAATATTAGAACATTAATTAATCCTATAATAAAATATAATACCAGATGAACAGCCCAGGGTCCCAGGTCTAGAAACCGACCCAATAGGTCTAAAGCTCGGGATCTGTGTACTTGGCTTAATAGGACTTGAAGTACAATTGGTAACTGTTCGGGATGTCTGTCTGGACGGGCACCTAATTTAAGCCAAACTTCAAAAGCCGTTAATTGTTCTGAAAAGAATTGGCTGTGTCTATATTGAGCTTCTTCATTGACAATAGGAATCAATTGTGATAGACATAAGTCAACTGCCAGATCCCATGCATTCCACATTGAATGATGATATGCAGGTGGAAGTGCTGGGAATGAGATGGGAGTGCAATCATAGGTACGCATTATTCTTTCAGCTAATAAAAAGTTTCTGAAAAGACTGGCAACCAATAGGTCTTGTCTGAAGAGACGTTGAAACAAATCGCGAGGCAAAGTATTCCACGCAATAGTATCTGTTATAGCAGTGAAAATCCAATTGAGTTCCCCTAACATTGTTCGTCTATCAGTTAAAAGACCGGGAATTTTGTCTAACAATTCATAATTAACGGCCGGAACAAGTTTGCCGGCCCTCTGTTTAACAAACCAACGAAGCGCTATCTTTATTGGTGTAGTTAAACATGAAGTGAACAGATCGGCCGGTAAGTCGGGATGCATTGGCAACAACTCATTCTTAGCACAGGCGGCCAACAAAATACAGTTCTTATAGTTTGGTGCCATTTGATGATGAAATGGCGATCCATTTGTTGATGTATTGGTATTTAAATTTAATTCATATTCTTTTTCGTGTTGTATTGCAAATTGACTAAACGAGTCGACTATAATTCCGGCATTGGAACACTCAAAGACATAGATGGACGGCGAACCCATCCATTGTTGAAGATCATAGACTGATAGAGGTATGTACTGAGTATAAGAGCGATTGAATACCCAAATCTCTCCATTGACTGTAGGTTTGGGTACTCCGTGTCCGTTGTAATGAAACAAAACCCTCTCGTCTTTAGCATTACGTCTCAAAGAAGTACATAACTTCTTTACGTCATCAACAGTGGGATCTAAACTTTGTTTATATCTGGCCCTCGGTTGCCATCTCTCATATTGCTTCATAAGATTGTTTCCAATGGCTTCTAATGCTTTTTGTGGTGCCAATGAAAACGGGTCGATCCAACTCTGCAATACTGAACATGGATTTGGCTTTATTATGTCCGGCGGATCCACTCCAACGTTAAGACATAACACAAGAGCAACGCTTACAGTTTTCATCTGTTATTACAAAAATATTGATACCTTTGTGGCATTAAATCAATTAAAGTGACAAAAATAAAATCATACCCTGTCTTTCATACGCCATGATTGTGGACATTGAGAGTCGGTATCTTCTTTACCTTCGATGGCCTCGAAATGACTCATTTGGTCGAAAGCATTGGTCAAAACAAGTGGTTTCTTGTCATTGTTTGCATCACTTTCATCAGAATCTCTGTTAATTTCCTTTTCGAGGTCCATATCGGCCAACATTGTCATCAATTGGTGCCAAAGTGATGATCAAGTGATGGTCGCAGTTATGTTTGTGTCCAATGTTTACAATACGAGCAAAGCGTGCGATTGTTTGCAAACTAATGGCATACACATTGGGGACCGTATTGTCATTAACAACATTGACAACACATTGAGTGAATGACTAACAATCTATAGTATAGTCTATAGAGTTGTTAATTACTAAACAATGCAATCAATGTATTGCTTCTCATTTTGGTTTAGTTATGGTTTAATAGATAATGCATTGAAATTACATTTATATCATATAATAGCCAAATATATCATCATTTCATATATATTATTGTATTAGTGTTGTTGTTATGTCATGTGATAGTAGTGTCCACTTATAAGTCAATACAGTAGTCAATAGTGTTTCAATACTAACACTTAATTAAATAATATTATTCATCATTTAGTAATAGATTTATCATTAATTCATTTGATTAATGTATTCAAAGCCCAATCGAGTCAATTGAATGCCATATAAGTTAATATAATTAAGTTATGTTTGCAATGGGATGGGAGGTAACGGTGCGCTCTTCACACAAGTAGTTGTCGTGTTCTCTCTCTCTCTCTCTTTCCATAAACTCCATGATATTATGAAGCACTGGTATATACAGTACAGTATTGAAAGCCAGTGATGAGTTAGTCATACAGTGCTCAACACATACGGCAAAATGATTTGTTTTTCAGTGCATTTGAATCGGCAGTTATGAGTGGGAAGTGGTGTCTGGCTTAGGGCTATCACAAAGTGTTATGTGTTTTGAAGTTTGAATGCAAAACAAGCGATTCATTGCTCACAACTTGAATACACTTTTTGATGCAAACTCTGCACAAACAATGTGTTTATATAATCTTAAAATACATTCACTTTAGTGTTCAATAACTTTATTATTATAAATGTGTTTCAAATTTCATTATTTATCAATTTTTTTAATCTTATAAATAAAGTTTTTATTTATTTATTATATATCGAAAAGTTTTAAAATTCTTATACATTTCATACAAAATGTTTAATTCCAGTATTAATAATATTAATAAAACTTTGTTAAGATATTGTTTACACAAAGTTTTTATAAACTTTAATTCAATTTTAACAAGAATTAGTGTTCAATCTTTATATTCATTAATATTAGTGACTTTAGTATTGAATATACAATTAATTGAAGTAACAAATGCTTTCAATTTGGAGACCAGACTTCCAGTCATCAAATTTGGACCAAAGAATTCATACTTCGGGTATTCAGTGGCCGAACATCTCATTCTCGATGAAAATACCCGACATTTGACCGAAGCTGTGTAAGTCTCAAACAAGTGTGTGTATGTATGTATGTATGTATGTATATATATATATAAATCATGTGTGTGTGTGTGTATGTGTGTGTATGTGTATGTGTATGTGTGTGTGTGTGTGTGTGTATGTGTGTGTGTATGTGTGTGTGTGTGTGACTGTGCTTACATTAGAAATATTATGCTTATAATCGCCTAAATCTCTAAACACATAGCAATATAATCGCCTCTTTAGGAGAGTTTGTAAAAAATCTGTTAGCAAAATGTCGAAAAATATATTAAAATATTTATCAAATATCAATAAAAAAATATTTATCATAATCTTTATACTATAAATGATTGTTTGGTATATTTTTCGACACAAAACAATTGATTTTTGTCAATAATTAGTGACAAATAAAGTTCAGCTGATATTTTAGGTGATGCCTTATCGCTCACTCAATTTGACTCCCCGTCCTCTCTTATAGTCTAACTTATGACTTACCTGTACATTGACTTTATGTGCTTTAAAAATATGGTTAGCAAACAAATAAGGATATTTGACATAATAATTTGCTTATATTGCTATCATAAATAACCAAACATCTTAAAAAAAAACTAATAACCAGTATTAATAAATTATTTTAGCACTTATTATATATGTATAGCAATCATCAAGCAATAATAATCAACAATTTATTATATATATTATAGTATTAGAGTTTATAAAATATGATTTATATTATATTTGTTATTTATTTCTTTATAATTAAAATTGTTTTTATCAAACGTCATATTAATAATTTTCCATGTTAAAAAATACAATTTTCAATTTTAAAAGTAAATTTATTAAATATTAATATAACTGTTTAATTATTGTATGTTTTATTGTACTACCAATTTTAAAATTAATGTTATAATCTATTACAGTGATTAAAAACTAGTGCTATCATGATTACTTTATGATGCATATATAACGTAACAAATTTAACAAATATTTTATATAACTTAAAAATTTATATAAAACAATGAGTAAATTAAACTCCTCATTTAATTTGTACAGTTTATAAATGATCTGTAATTGAATTTTATAAAGTTAGTTTTCAATGACTGATCTAGTTGTAAAATGTAAATTAATTAAGTAGATATACAATCACTTTACTTTTTATATTTTTATCAATTGTACAAATATAAATAGTAAATATTTTATATTTGTTTATAGATTTATTGTTAAATTTTGTTGACTGAAAACCTACGCTATCATTATAATACTACAATTTCAATAACTAAGATTATCACATAATATCAGCTTATTTTTAAATAGCACTTTAGAATATATCAATACAATATATTATAGTTAGACTAAATAATAATATAATATATTTGTTTAAATATTTATTGATTTATCCAATTTATGTATTATCTAATTATTTTTATTGAAATATACTTATTATATTGTAATAAATAATGTGTAAATTATTATTATTATATTTTTGTTTGTTTATACATTTAAATTAGTTGTATTAAATATTTCAATTTCAATAATTATTTGAATTTATTTAACGGATTAATTATAATCTGAATTAGCATTAGAATTGATATGTTTATTATTTTTTAACCAATTTTTATCAGAAATGTTAAGAAATTTTGGATAAATTAAAATGTCATAAAATTATTTGTCTAAAAAAATGAAGACTTTTTAAATATTTTAACAACTTTGACAATATGTTGTTGTATAGTGTAATAAATTTGTTATTATTTACTATTACTTATTACTGTATAGTACTGTGTGTGCATATTATATAAATCAAAGTTTTGTATAAAACAATTTTTGTGACAAACAATAAACAAATAAATTTATGTGTATTTTATTTTGATTTATTTTTTGAGTAAATTATTATTATTACCGGTATATGTAATACAAACCATACAATTACTAATCACTATTATTTACTCACAATTCCGTGATTCCTGTTTTACTCACAGAAAACATTTGATAATAGATTTCTTTTCGTGATTTCTAAGAAAATTAAACCAATCATTGAATTTTTATAATTATCGTTACAATAATTAAACCCACAATTTCTCACTAATCATATGATATATTTAAAATGATTTTTTATTGTTTCTATACTTATCAGTCAAAGTGGTTTCACAACTTTTACTATATATGTATTTTTAATACCTATTTTTTATTGACTGACCCACACTTTTGAAATGTTGTTGTGATGGTCACGATATTCAATTAGATCTCTTAACTGGAATTTTTGTCAAATTTTATAAATAATAAGTTTATATTTTTGTATAATATAGCATCAAATTATAATTGCTTAGAATTATAAGTTACTAAAAAATTATTTTCACAATAATGCAATATAATGTATTTAAATAATATAATATTTATAATTCAAATTACTATACAAAATATCTTCAAATTTCAATAGTTTGTAAAATTAAAATTCAATAAATTAGTCAATTTTTGTATCTTTTAAACATTTTTTGAATATAATGCAAAAATATTAATTTTGATGTAATTTGTACACATATTTTATAAGAAAGTATTCTTCAATATCGGATATATACAGTATAAGTAATAACTTAATATCAAATAACTTTGATTTGATGTTATAGTAATTAATATTAACAACAATCATTATACTTACTCAATACCATAATATAATTAATGTAATTATAGTAAAACTATAGTACATTATTTTAGATGACATGTTAATAATTATCAAGATTAATGAAATATTAATTATAAATATAAAATTTTGGTAGAAATAAAAACTTATGAACCATTATAACCATTATATATTTGAATAGTATGCTTGTGGGCGCCCCCATAGCCCAAAGTGGTCAGCCACAGACAAACCATTCAGGAGTTGTATTTAAGTGTCCATTGAATACATTTCGTAGAGATTGTTCACAAATAAAGATAGAAGAAGAAAATAAACGTAAATTAAATTTACATAATTTATATTCACAATTATTAACACTTTCATTGTCTATTAGCTCCCGAGGAGGGTATCAGTAAAGATAACCAATGGTTGGGTGTAACTGTAAAAAGTCAAGGACCAGGAGGTAATAATATATCTAATATCAGTCATTGCTTATTAGGAAATTAGTAAAATTTAATATAAATATTTCGTTCAACTTTTTTAGGTTATGTTATGGTTTGTATTTATTTATTTAAGGCTATCAATTGCATTAATGTTACAATAGTATAGTAATGTTTGATCCATTTGATGATAAGGCGTGCGCACACCGGTATATATTAAAAGGACCAGATTTTCAATGGGGACAGGGCATATGCTACTCATTATCACAATATTTAGACTTCCGACGGGCCTGGGAGCCATGTTATAATCGTCCAGTCAATAAAGCACATGAACAATTTGGTATATTATCAAAACTAATTATTCAATTATTCAACCATTTGTCTGTCATTGCATAACCATATATAACATATCAAATGACATGTTTAGGCTATTGTCAGGCGGGAACTAGCGGTGAGATTACTGATGACTATGATATTGTTATTGGATCTCCCGGTCCATACACTTGGCGCGGAACTATCTTTTCAAACTCCGTCAGGTATTTATTTGTATAACTCAAACACATTTTACACTAATTTGAATTTGAATTACTCCTATCTTCTAATAAATCCATTGACTCCAATAAACCCCATATTATATGAATAATCTAATTGAATGATGTATTTAAAGAATAACTACATTAATGAATATATTTTCTATATTTTCAGGGAAGGGTAACTCAGATTCACTTACTTTTTAATTTCACTTACCTTTGGTTCGGTTACTTGTAATCTATTACTCAATTTCTCACACATTTTACTTAATGACTTATTAATTATTAATCAAATGGTTATATATTTTACTAACTTTTGGTGAAATTGTGGTTTATTTGCAGATATCGTATTCGTGATGATAAAACTTGGTATGTCTTAAAAGTCTTAAAATTGAATTAAAAGTATTTTTTTATAGTATTATTATATAATATTTAAAATATAACATAAAAAACATTAACACAGGTATTTGGGACCAGTACTGGAAAATGAATCTCCAGTTGATAAATATAGTTATTTAGGTACTTATTATTTTTGTCATAATTAACTAATTATACCTTTAGATCTATTACATGAAAATTATTATTAAACATTTTAAAGGGATGAGTGTAGCATCTGGTAAATTTTTTGACAATCATACCAGTTATGCAGGCGGTGCTCCCAGAGCTAATGGCACCGGTATGTCATTAATTGAATTTCTAAAATATATAATAAAATAATGTATTTATTGACATATTAGGGCAGGTTGTCTTCTTTTCTAAACATAAGGGAGAGTCTACTTTTGACGTCAACTTTATGTTAAGTGGAGAACAGTTTGCTTCCTCTTATGGCTATTCAATGACTTCTCTTGATTGTAACGGAGACGGGTATGTATTGAAACAAATGTATATAAAATGTTATTTTTTTAAATATTTTAATTATTTTAGGCGTATTGATCTAGTAGTGGGCGCACCCTTTTATTATAGTCGAAGTGAAGGCGGAGCCGTTTATGTATACGTTAATAGTGAGGATAAAAAACTAACGAAAGCCACTCGACTTACCGGTAAACCCGAGTCCAGGTTTGGGTTTGCTCTCGCAAATGCCGGTGACATCAATAAGGTTTATATAATATATAATTAGTATTATTATTTAGTTTATTATTAGAAAAAATTTAACTTTAAATAATTTTAAAAAATAGTTATTAATGCAATGCATGAAGAATATTCTTATTTATCGATGAATTTTGTGTTGTTTTTACACACATTTAAACAATTTATCTACATTTTAATTTTTTTAAATTGATTTACGTATATATATAGTTATATTATTTCATAACTAACATCTTTTGCTATTACGATAATTATTATTATTATATATATATTACATATACTGAATATATGTATAGTATAATATTTACTATAAACATAATTAAGTATTTGTTTATTTTTTCTTATTTTTACAATTTTTGAATAATAATAATAATAGTTAAAAAAATATATGGTATAAAAATAGTAAAGAAATTAGACTAAAATAATAAGATTTTCTGCACAAATGAACATAATTTATAAATAAAACTAATTTAAAAATAGGACGGAAACCACGATTTAGCAATAGGAGCGCCGTATGAGGATAATGGTGTTGTGTATATCCATTTGGGCACTTCTACCGGTGTTAAGGAAACGCCTTCTCAGGTTATCAGAGCTTCTGAATTACCGACAGATATGCAAAATATTAAGACATTTGGATATTCATTATCGGGTTTGTAGTTAAAAACATTTGCCAATTTTTGAAGTTTTGATTAATGTGTTATTTCAGTTATTTTTATTGAAATCTATTATGTAAGCAAAATGAAAGAAATTATTTGCTTATTTTACAAATTTAATTAGTATTATTACAAATAAACAATTCTCACATAAATTAAATTAAATGGTGTGTTTGTCATTGAATAGTAGGTCAATATATAAAAATTAATTAATTATAACTATTAAATCAATTTTAGTTTGTGAAATTTTGCGAGTTTATCTAAATACTTGAAATAATTGTAAATTATTAAAATGAAATATTAAGTAATATTTAAATTTAATTTATAATTAATATAATTATTAGTGCAATTGATTAGTTTTTATAATTTGTAACATTTTATAAATTTTTATATAATATTTGTAGTTTTTAAAAAGTTTTTTTTTATAAATTAATGTTTTATAATTATTTTATTCTATAATAAAAAGTATTTACCGGTAAACATTATTAATAAAATTTATTACAAATTTTTAGTTTACAGTATATTAATTAAACATTTTCAACTTTGACACTAGTTTTGTATAATTGTCATACAAATAGTTGTATGTTAACCCAGTTGTCTCATACCTTACCCACGACTTTAGATTTATAAAGTCAATAAAACGTGACTTTAATTGTTATGATTTTTATAGAAATCAAAGTCCAATAAAATTATTTATGTGAATAAATTTGTTGTTTTTGAAATGTATGTATAAAATGTTTTTTACAGAATTATTCACTGACAATCATTTGAGAGATATTTTAATATTTACCATTTGCTGCTTTTTTTATAAACTTATATATAACTTATAATGATAAATTATATATTATAAGATTACTAATTATAATAAACCATTTTATAGGAGCTCAAGATTTAGATCAAAACGGTTATCCCGATTTACTGGTCGGTGCCTACGAAAGTGATGCCGTAAGTTAAACTTTTTGAAACTTAATAAACGTTTTTAATTTGTTTATTAACTATTAATTGTTGTTATATTGGTATTGCAAAGGTTTTGTTGTTTAGGGCGAGACCTATAATAAATATTCAAACGTCAGTGACGGGTGAATTGAGTCAAATAGATCCAAACAAAGAGGGATGTAGGGATGATCTCTATTCAAAATTAGTTTGCTTTTCATTCAATGCCTGTTTTAAGTTTAACACAACTTTAAGATCTGCTGCCACTGGCGTCTTAAGGTTGCACTATAAGATTGAAGCGGAAACTTATACAGGTTTTCATATATTTTATTTATAATTATTAATTTAATCCTTTTAGAGATTAATTTTAATGTATAATAAAAATAGGAAAAAAGTATTACAGAGTTAAATTTGGATCCACTGCCGATTCAGACACACCTAATATAGTTGAACGCGATATAACCATACGCGGTATATGTCCTATAAATTAGTTTTTATTACATTACCGTAATATTAATCAATTTTGTGATTAACATTAGGTGTGAGTGACTTACAGTCAGAGCACTGTTCAAAGGAAATTGTTTATCTCAAAGACAAATCCGATATTCAAAACCCTGTGATGTTTGAGTTGACGTATTCGTTGATTCAAAAAGAGCCCCGAATGCCAACCGATGGCGAAACACTTCCAGACATTAATAAACTGCCGATTCTTAACCGTGAAGAAGCGCACCGTGTTTTTGAGGCCCGATTTCTCAAAGAATGCGGTAAATTATATTTATCTGAAATTTAATTTTTATAGTTAACTAATTTAATTTTTTATAATTATTTTTGTGATTTTAGGATCCGACGAAATATGTGAAAGTGATTTAAGACTTGAAGCAGATCTAAGTGCCCGTAAAAAGGATACAAATACCTATATGTTATATTTAGGTATAAAGTTAGCATTTTTTTGTTATTTAAAATAATTTTGTTTTGTTTTATTTTAATTGATAATAACTATAGGTGAAGAACATTTGACATTAAACGTTCGTGTCTTAAACAAAGGTGAACCAGCCTATGATGCCGGTGTGTTTGTCACACATCCTTCAAGTTTAAGTTATGTCGGCCGAAAAATTATTGTAAATATATTGATTGTATATTACATTAAGTAAAAAAATATTAATCAAATAAATTTTAATTGAGTAGAAAGGAGATCAACTGGACTGTAGTCCAGTCAATAAAACAACACTAAAATGTGATTTAGGAAATCCATTTAATCCGTCAAAAGTAGAATTTCAACTCAGATTTAATCCAATGGGTCTTTCAGATGCAGAAACTAGTCTTCAAATGCAAATACTTACGACAACGTAATTACAAAATTAATAAAATTACTTCAATTTAATGATATAATTTAAAAAAATAACATAATTTTATAAATACAGAACTAGTTCTGATAAATCAATCACTGACGATGTCGTGACATTAGTTGCAGAAGTTATTCGTAATGCAGAACTTGAATTAAGCGGTAACTCTGAAGAACAGGCTGTCAGATATGGCGGTGAAATTAAAGGAGAAGCAGCTATTGTATGACAATATTTAATAAAATTATTAAAAATATTTTACAAATAATGAATGTAATGATAGAAATATGAGGATGAAATTGGAAGTCGAGTTTTCCATAAATATATTGTCCGAAATGCCGGTCCCTGGAAGGCATCCCGTATTGATGTCAACATTTCATGGCCTTATCAGGTCGAGAATGGCAGAGAACATGGAAAATGGTTATTATATTTAACAGGAGTTCCTCAAGTTACCGGTCAGGGAGGTAAAGGTTATTGTTTAATGGGTGCCGATCAGGTCAATCCACTTGACTTTGCTGTAAGTCTTACTTGTTTTGCAATTTATTGATGTTATTTACAAATAACCCATTAATTAATTAATTAATGATTGATCGTTATTTTTATTTACACTACTGTAATGTTATTAGATTAACCAAGAATTTAATTCATTGGCCGATAATAATAACAATAACAATATGCCTGTAAGTTATTGTGTGATTTAACCACAGTTTAAATTTAAATTTTATTTGTAGTATCATTTTATCATAGTTTGAACAAATATTATTATTGTTGTTACAAACTAACTATAAATATGTCAATTTGTAAAAATATACTATATATAGACAAATTGTTAAATATTTATTATTAACATTTCATTATATTATAATATGATAGCATATTATAGTATAATGAGAAACGCATTTAATAGCGCACTTGTATTGTAAGTTCATAATCATAAACATTGAGATTGTTTTTTATTAATTGATTTTGTTATTACTTAATTTTATTAGTCGTATAATTGAATGAATAATACTTTGATACATGTAGTAATACATATGGCTTGTTGTTGTAAGCGTGGGAGTACTGTATTAAAGCATAACTGTATAAATTTTTATTTATGCATATTTATACAGAAATATTTTTCAATTTATTTTAATATGAAAGAACTAGCATGATAAAAATTATTTCATAATTTAACTTGTTAATGAACATCACAGTATAATAAATAATAAAATTTATATTAAATAACTTTTTAAGTTAATAGAGTATTTATTAACTGTAAATATTTATGAAATATTATATAAATTAATAAATGTATACTGTATTTCAAGATTTTTAAACTAAATTTATAGAACCAAATTGTCTAAAACTTGACTAGGTTATATAATTAATATGCTGGATTTAATATCTTTTTATTTAATTTTGTATAATTTCATAACAGTATTTAATTTTTTAAAAATTTATAGAATTTTATGTGAATTAGTTTGACATCAAATTATCAAATCTAATTTGATGGCCAAAAATTGATAATATATTTTGATTTAAGCAAATAGTGTTGATTTGAATTAAATTTTTATTTTAAGACATTAAAGTCTATACTAATAATAATTTTTATATGACATCAATTTACATATAATTTCCTAATATATAAAATTTTGATTTAAATCTACTGACAGGTATTTTCATTTAATGTTAAATATTATAATTAAATGTCAATTGTATTGTCAGTAGACGTAAAATAATGAAAAAATAGATTTAATAGATTGTAAATAAATAAAAAACAATTTAATTTTTTAAAGAAAATGCCTGAAACTAAAGGATCAAAGAGTCGACGTAAGCGTGAAATGGTTGTCCTTCCGCGTGAAGTGCGGGCATCGGATGGAAGCGTACAGAATGTGGTGACAATGAGCTGTAGTTCCGGCGCCCGTTGTTTTAACTTCACGTGTGTTATACTAGATTTAGCCGCCAATCAAACAGCTGTAAGTTTTTTTTTAATTTATTTAATTACATATTTATATTTGAAATTATTTTACATTATAATAATAAGTAGGTGTATGTGTGGGTGTATTCATTACAAAATATAATACTAATATCAATATTTATGAATGCATTTCATAAGTTTAGATTAATAAATAAATGGCGAAGAAAAAGGTTATTATTATTAAGATATAATTTTCTAATATTTAAAAGTACCAAAAATAGGACTATAAATGAGTGTTTTTGTATTTTCTAGGGTTTAAACTAATAAGCAAATAATATTAATATAAATTTATAATAATTTTAATGATACGAAAAATAAAAAATAATAGAGATTATGGTCTGAGACTTAATTAAAAAAAATTTGACATTTCACTACTAAAGTTTAAATTTTTAAAAATATAATTATACATGTGTTCATATATTATGTTCATATACTGTAGTATTATAAATCAATTAATTATTAATATTATTAAAATTGTTTGTATATTTTATTTCTTTTATATGAATTTTGAAGATAAATTAATATACAATATATTAAAAATGAATTTTATATATAGTTTAAATTTATTAGTAAACTGTAAACTTATTTTGAAATTATTGTTTTAAAACTTTTACTAACAATTTTAGATACTTTTGAGACCAAATAAAAAACATCTTTTCTGGTCTTTATTAATGTATTAATATTAATTTCATTTAAAATGTTTCATATAATTGCAATAATTAATTTATATTTAGTTTAATAACTGTATAATACAGTATAACATAAGTAGTAATGATATAAAATAATATTTTTTAGACTGTTATTTATGTCCTATAAATTATTTTATAGACTTATATGTCAGTAAATCTCATTAAATGAAATTATTATACATTATTGACATTTAAATCGTTGATTATTTGTAACGTTTTATTTAATTTTTAGTAATAATCTTTAGTTATAATATATTTAATTTACTAATTATTGTCACTTTTAGGTCATAAGAATCGCTTCTCGTTTATGGAACGCCACTCTTGTCGAAGACTATGCTTATGGAGTCAATTATGTAGTCATCAAATCCAATGCAGAGATCCGATTGGATCCGACACTTAATATTCAACAGAAACGACACAACGATTTCTTTTCAGTTAATAATAGTTTTCATATTATTATTATTATTATTATTAGAGTTAAACATTTTAACGCATTGTTTGTTTTTGAAGGTCGAGACCAAAGCTATACCTGACGTGACCTTACTTTTGCCCCGAGAGGTGAGCTGGTGGTGGCTTATCATAGCTGTACTCCTGGGCCTCATTTTATTAGCATTACTCATATTCATCCTATGGAAGGTATGACCTCTTTATTGTTATTTTCTGAATATTTGCAAAACAATTATAATATAAATTACTTTTTGCCTTTAGGTTGGATTTTTCAGGAGACAAAAACACGAATATATGGCCACAGCTACAGATGATAAAGATTTAGTGACTTAACCTCTTAAATGTATTCATCCAATCATTAATATATTATATATATTTAAAATATAAACAAATAGACAGCTAATAAACATTTCATTTGTTAAACATTTTCTGCGAAACTTAAATAATTATTAATTGTTTATTTCGGAGAATCAAAATATTATATTTAATGCAAATATTTGTTTTAATATATTAATTATTATATTATTTAAAAATAATTTTAACATAAAATTTAATTATTTTTTGAATAAAAACAATTTAATCACTATATATATTGTTTTTACATAAACTGCGATCAATCATATTATTAATATATGACTTAAAAAGTTATATAATCATAAGATTTGTTTTTAATATAAATATAATAAATAGCAAAATTAAAGCTATAGTACAGTAAGTTTATTAAATAAAGTTTACTCAAATTTGATGCCAATTACGGTAATATTTGTAATAAATTAAATTTATTAAGATATCCCATTATTTACAGTTTAATTGTATATTTTTATAGTTGTTAACTAATATTACTTTTCATTATAATGGAAAATATAGAGAATTTTTTGTTGGTATAACTTCTCTTTATAAAAGAATTAAACAATTTTTTTTAACAACAACTATGGTTTTCTGTGACTAATACAGTAATTTTATTACTTTGAATTTATAGAAGCACAGGTATGCTAGCTTAGGGATGTATGATATCTCTAAGTGATATTAAAATTCGGTTAATTCTAAATTCTACTAGGCAAAAAATAATTAGACACGTATTTTACCATTTTTTTGTTATACTAAATAGTTATCGAGAAAATGGATTTGATAAAAAAATGAAATTTTAACTTTAAATACAACAAAAATGACAATGAATATGACCATGGAAATTTGTTCTATAAATTTTATATTTCAAATATAACATTTTAACTATTAATTTTGATTTGTTAGCTCATGTAGTTTTTGAGATACTAAATAAACTTTTCAATTATAATAATTTATTAAATAATATTAAATGTATAATAATACTAATATTAATACTGATAAAAATTATAATGAAAAATTATTTTGTTAGTATCTTAAAAACTACATAAACTAGCAAATTAAATTAAATGTTCTATTTTTAATATAGAATTTATAGAATCCATAGTCATATACAATTCAATAGATGGCATATTTTTTGGGGGGGGGGGTTAATTAATGACATTCAACTAAACTTCAATAGTGGGACTAATTTGACAATTCATTAATCAATCATTTAATATGAGGATAGAAATTCACATTTTAGCCCATAGTTATACATTAGATCCCTGGGACTATTTGCGCTTACGTACGGTAATTGAAAATAAATAAAATTTAAAAATTCCTATAATTTAATAAATTTTATTTTTATGTGCAAATAAATAAAATATTAATACAAAACTTATAAAATTGTTAAAATACAAAATCTCTTATAAGAGAAATGACTAAATACATGATCACAACAATTAAGTTATAATAAATATATAAAATATGAGATTCTTTGTTATTATAAGTTAATATCAGTTGACAAGAGATTCTTAAATATCAAATATAAGTCTAAATATATTTTATAAAATAATTTTAACTTTGATTCAAAAGTTGCTACAAAAAAAACTAAAAGAAATGTCACTATTAAAAAAATTATGAAATAATCAAATTAAAAAAATGTACAAAATATCGTATAAGATCTGTAATTTAGATAATTAATAAAAGATTAAATAAATTACTAAAAAGTAAGTGCAATAATAAATTAAATGTACAGTTTTTTATGTAAAATAATTTTAAAAATTGTTGTAAAGGAGAATCAATTATTGAGATTCATATAGACTTTTGAATGAATCAAATGGTATTAAATATAATTATTATAAAAGTTAATATAAATTATAAACCTTTAGTTCAAAACATTGTAAATAATAGCAAAGAGAACACATGCGGTATAAACTCCCAGTGCTATCCACCAAATGAGCTGTTCGTGAAGTTTCTGTTCAAAATTTTTCAATACTAATAAACCAATTGTAAGGCCCGCGAGTGCACCCGTCAGATGTGCCACATATGAAACGGGACCGTCATTTGGATGCGCGTATCGATCATATATGGCTATACCGACATCAGTTGATGCTATCATCACATCGTTTATATATATATTAAAACAAATTTGCAATTGTTATCAATCAAAACATACCGACAACCAAAACGGCAACAAGTCTTAAAAGAGCTGATTCCATGTGATTATAGTTTATTAGAACATTAGCCAAATGTGCGGCCAATAGAGCGTAGACACCACCCGACGCTCCCACTAAATACACATCCGAGTCAAACACTGATGTCCCCAATGAACCTATTTGTTTAATAAAACTATTTTATTAAATCATATTATATAAACTCATTCAAATCACTATACCGGCCAACACTCCGGCCATATAAACGGTTCCAATTCTGGCCGACCCGTGAACCATCTCAAGAGGAATTCCCACCAATAATTGAACCAATAAATTAAATAATAAATGAACCCATCTTTTCATAAGAAAAAACAAATTAATTAAATTATAAAATAATTTCATATGGTTTCGGGTCGTGACATATCGTGACATATCGTGTCATATCGTTTCATACCCGACGTGAAGAACCATATAAAAGAAAAATCTCCAGATTTCCAATCGTTTATCCGGTCTATAGATAAACATACTATCGATAGGAACGGGACCTGAAGTAGTGATACCACCGAACACTGTCGAGTAGTATATAAAAAATAAAAGCTATAATTAAAGAAACAATATATTAGAAAATATGATAACAAGTGTTAAATAATTGGTCGCAGAAGACCTCAATCAAAGTAATGGTAATAATGAAGAGCGTCGGCGGTCGACATGAATAGCTGTCGGCAAAGTATTTACGATCTCTTTCATCGTGAAGAAAGTGCCGACCGATCACTTTAACCATTTTATTCAAACAAATGGTATCTTTTATTGGAGTCGACGGCCGATCAAACTCTTGAGTGATGTTTTTGTCTTCAAATGAAAGCTTTGTCTCAAATGTTTGTCTCATAAATGCAAACAATGTTTGCTTCACAACAATACACAACACATAAGCAATACTTTGAATATCGAGTCAATTGTTTGCAAATACAATCAATTAGTGCTTAACTGCTCTAATATCAGACATTATTTACATTACATTTACACTATTAATGTCAATAGTTTTCAAACTTTTATATAACTCATAGTTATTGTCATTAATTAGAAAACATTACAATAATTATTGTCAGACATTGAGTGCTATAACAGTAATAGAGTTAACATATTATATGACAGGTGTGTCCATTGGTAACGCCTTAATGGGTCTGAAAACTAGTGTTTGATTGTGTGGTCTGAGAGCCGAACCAATAGACCAATCAATAGTTAAAATATTCATATGAATGCCAATTGGGGTCATATGTTGTTATGATTACCTGTCAATTACATTGCAATTATTATAATCACAATTAATACACAGTTTGTTCACTAATAAGTAATTACTTGTATATTAAATATAAATTATGTATTGATTACAAAATAAAGAGATAAACTTTATTATTTTATTTAAGTTTGTATTTCTATATCAAACAAACAATATAAACAAATATTAAAGTTATTTTTAAACAAAAATTGATTGAAAAAATTGTTTTAAATATAAAAAGGGATTAAAAACTAGGAATAAGAGAAAGAGACGAACAAAACCATAAGTAAAGATTCGGACAAAGAGTTGGCATATTTTACACAAACGTAATGATGTTTTGTATAAAAAAGTAGATTTCATACAATTTTAATAGATATATGTATTTAACTATATTTAGGCGCAAATTGCCATTCGTTTGTTGTTTATAACTAAATAGTTAACATTTGCTATTATTAATCAATTTATGATTATTACTTTAATTAAAGTTTCGGTATTATTATTGTTTCATAATTTGTTAACTTAAATCTTTGTTTATTATTATTTTTATCATTATTATTATTATTAATAAAATTGACTGCAAATAATTTATTATTTGAAAGAAATAGATGAAACAATATGTGTATAGTTTGTGTCAAACTCAGACTCTATCAACTTTGACGGTATATTCCCACCACTCCTTATCATAGCCTTCCTGGACGTGTTGTAAAAGCACTTTACGTCTACTCTCGCAATATCTAAAAGCAAACAAACAATAGTTATAAACTTGTTATTTGTATCAAAGCAAGTGATGTCACCTGTATTTGTCCTGAACTTTCTGTTTAATTCCGGACAGATTTTCATGAGTTATATCTCTTTCTAAATATTCTGAAAGTTTTTCTGTGGCGCTCTCGAGATCTCTTTGATTGTCTTCAAAAATAATCGATTGGTTTGTTTTCAAGAGATAATAAGCAAATACATAGGTATACATAAGGGTTTGTCGGCACTGACACAATACATCAACTGCTTTCTTGAGGAACTGGACCTCAATCCAGGACATGTTGTGCTGTTGCATTTCCTCCATCTTCTCCTTTATGGACGCGTATAACTTGTTCTCAAATTTAAGACTTTGCATGTGATTCATGTAACGATTACAATAGAAAAGGTAGCGCTGGAGTGCAGCTCTGGACCTCTCCTGTGCATCTCTGGCTGCTTTAGCCTCGTCTTCATCATATCGATTACAACTATACCTATATATAACAAACAATATCAAAGCATTCACTGATAAGATTGTTATTAAAAAAGACATTAAATGAATACAAACCACGACGAGCCGTGTGGTTCCCACGGACCCAAACAAACCCAACAGAAGTCGGCTTTACACGTCTGGTTCTTACATACCTTTAATAACACATATTTTATTTTCATTTAAACGAAAATCAATAATTTTGAATAATAATAATAATAACAATAATAATACCATATGATTACATCCGCCATCCTTTTCAATTGTCACCTGACATTTGGGACACTCTTTAGTGTTGGCGGCGATCCAATTGGATGTTTCGCTATCGTCGTCGCACTTTTTCTTCCATTTCTTAAGGAGATCACACTTAACCGGTTGGTGCCAATTCTCACTACAAACAAAACTATCCACAAAAATATATATATAATTTCGTTAACATTATATTGAAATTAAATACAACAAAACATACCAGAAAACAGTAGCGCAAACACACTTAACAGGTTGAAAGTCCACATAAGAAACTCGTATCACATGAGAGCACTCGGGTTTCGGACACCACCGCAGAAGTCGATTACACTTTAGTTAAATACAACGATTAGTTTATTTGTTAGTAAAATCAAAATCTTCATCAAATACCTCAACAAAACTATTGGTGATGAGGTGCTGATAACGAAGTTTTACTTTAGGTTCTGTAATCAGAGTGATTACAGTTTGGTCGTCAACTAAAATATCGCATGCATGAGCAGCACATGATATTTTCTGACCCTGTCCTTCCTCTATGATCTTTGTGGTCAAATAGTTTACCCAACATTCTGTTGTATTTATTTCACAATAAAATATTAGTACTATTACTTTAATTAAATAAATTTTAAAATATTGATACCTTTACAAAAACGATGACCACATGCCAGACCAGTCATCAACTAAAACACAATTTACAATATTTATTGAAAAATTGTAACAATTTGTAAATGTTTTGTTTAACTTACAGAAGAAGGCAGATCTCGACAACAGATAATACAAGTTTCCATACCGTTGTGACTATTTTTCTGTACATATTTAATGACAATTAATATAAAATTAAAATAAAACCATTTGAGTCAAACAAACCTTAATTTGTTTGCTGACGTTTAGCTCAGAGTTGGGGTTCACGATATGTGCGGCAGAAAACAACTCGTTTTGGTCGCCGTCGTAATACCTGAAGACATATCATATCATTATCTTAATCAACACATTCACCAATTAATTACAAACCTTTCGTAGAGTTTTTCTTTATCCCATTTAAAGTGATTCAACAAAATACGGGTTATTGTCGGCGGAAGCTATTAATCAAAGAGATTAAGACATTTGATCTGATGATAAAAAATGATAATACAATACAATATTATACCTGAACTACTGTATTGACATCTCTGATGGATTCAATCATATGCTCGACAATCGAGTCAGTGGTGAGTACTTCAAAAGGAAAATCTTCATCGATGTCCATCCTTTCTTTATGATGACCACCGATGGGTTCGACATCTAAAGCAACAGACAGTCCGTCGTCTTCTTCATCTGTCGACTCATTTCCTGAATCCGATATATTATTATAAATGATATCTTCATCTTCTTCATCGTACTCCATGTCCACCAACGGGTCAAATGGTTTTCAACGCAGTGTTTGCACAAAATTATTAATAAATACTGTAATCAACAGTGAGTTCATTAAATCAATTATATTATTGCTATTAAAATAGTCATTAATAGATCAATCAATTAATTAAAATAAAATTTAATGAATAGTTAAACATTTGATAAATTAGTAAACAATCAGTGATTACGACATTCACTTTGTTTGCAGTTTTCCATCAAATGTTACACACATTAGGCTATCACTGACTGACACTCACTGCCACTCAATGGCAGTCAACACAACAATCCATGCAATCACTAAACACTACAGTATTGCCAATCACTGTATAACTTACACATTGAGCGGCATTTTTAACCACTAAAACGCTATATTAATTAATTGGATAATATTTTATTGAATTAGTTTTTATTTAATATATTCATTTGTTTTTAAAACTATAACCTTACCATTATAAAAATTGTGTTTATCATAAAGTGATTACTAAATTTACATAATAATATATAAATGTATTAACCATTTTGTTGGTTAACATTTACAGTACTGTACAGTAATTTCAATTTTATTATACTGTATATTAAAAGTTTAAATCAACAAATTAAGTATTTTATCGATTGATTAAACCGTTATAATTACGGCATATCAATACACAATAATATTCAAGGATAACATCATTAAGTGATTTATTTAATAGTGAGTTAACATAGATATTTAAAAATGCAATATTTAAACAAAAACTAAGTTACAGTTAATTCTATACAAAGAGTATTTTTTACAATAAAAATAAAATGTTATATTACAATGAAATATCGGTAAAATGGATTTAATGAATTTTATAATAATTGAATCAATAGATGAATTGATCACAAATTTCAAAATAATTAAAATAATAAGAATATATATATAAAAAATAACAAATATAAAACAAGCAAATGTTAAAACATTATAATGGATGACAATAGCTTAAACTTATATTTACGTAACTTTAATCTCAAAAAAATGAATGTTAAAGTCATAAATTGTTTTTATAAGTATATGAAAATAGAGGACTGGCATCATATGATAACTTTCGGCCATTGATTAGACATTGAACTATATATTCACTGGAAACCACTGGAATCTTCACTTGCTTTGCTTTCTTTACCAAATCTACTGAACACGTCGTGTCACCGATTATTATGTCAACAGATTTACCTAAAATGGTCATCAAAACAGTATTATTAATATATAATAATAATAATAACTACTAAATAAAATTAAAATAATACAGTTTATATAATTTAGATATAAATATGTAAAAATGGTCTCACGTGACAATTCATCCAAATTAATAGAGTTATTGTTAACAATGACCGCCTGAGCGGCCGATAAAACTGGTGCCCAAAGACTATGAAGTTTTTCGGGTGTTTTCGATCCGAAATAGAATTTCGTTCCTTTAAATAGTATCGCACTCTTCTTAAAGGTATTTCTATAAAAATCATACAATAATTACCATTAATTTTATTATCGGTAATACAATATTTTCATCAATTGTTAATTTATGTCATTATTATTACTATTAGTGTATATAATATACATACTTATCTGATGGCAACGCATTAGTAATAATACTAAATCCGGCGGGAAGTGAATAATTGTCTCGTTTAAGATATTTATTTTGTCGACAACAGTCGATTACCCAAAGATGACTGGCTATTGATATACCCGCAGCTAAGCATTGGATATATTTGATAGACCGATGGTATGTGTCTGCTATAAGAAGCATATCATTGTTTTGACTGAAATTCTGTATTAAAATAAATTTGATTAATAAACTAACATAAGATGATTGTTATTAACTTACTTTCATTTCTTCAAATGACTCGAATACCTTTCCGCCTCCCGTTTCGATTTGTTTTGTCAGATATGACTTATCAAAAGGTGTTGACCGCTCGGGGTTTGACTGTTCACTACAAATATCACCGCTGTTTCTGTCACCACACGTGAGTAAAAAAGATAACGATTCAAATATTTGTGATCCCGGTTCAGGTAAGGGTCCCAATAATTTGATCAGTTCTTGTGCAGGCATTGATGAGTGAACCTTCGATGTTCGGGGAGATATAGACAACGAGTGTTCGCTATTAATCATAATATTATGAGATTCGGCTTTCTTTTTAATGTTTCGACCAATATTTGACTTCTTTTTAGTTTTATATCCGTAATCTTTGTCTTCGTCCAACTCTTCTTCATCATTGACATAATCTGCATCTCCTGAGGCATTATCAGTAGCTCTTCTTTTTCCATTTCGGAACTGTTGCGATGACTTCTCAATTATAATCTCAGATTTAACTGTTTGTCTGACTCTCTTTCCACACACAATATTGTCTAAATCTACGTCAGCAAAGACGGCGCCGTTTATTAAAGGTTTGGATGATTTACTGCAAATGTTTGCACTTTGCTCTACATTTAAGAAGACATCTTTCAATTGGTAACGTTTAACAATCATTTTATTGTCTTTGAGATGTTGTAAATCAAATTGAATATCTTTTGATTCATAAATAGCATCAGTTATGATAGCTTTTGCACAAAATCCATCTGAAATGGTAACCATAACATCTTGTCCTTTAACTAAGTATGACAATTGAATCAGTTCTGTTTCAAACAAACTTCTTGTAGCCCTGTCCTCAAAAATCACAGACCATTTGTTGTTTTGAGGTAAGTGTTTGGAAATAATTGCCGGATAATAATTTTTATCTCTCCATTTAGCCATCACTTTGTTTCCCGATTTAATAGAAAAATCATTGAATAAATTTATATCATTTTGATTACAATCAATATTAATACTCCGTTGAGTTAATGACAGCAAAGCAGTAGCCGTTTCTCTTCTCTCTTCTTCATCTTTTTCGCTGATCTTTGGCTCAACATTTTGCTGATCATTTGATTTTACAGTTTCACTCTTAATCTCTTTATTATAATTTGTATTTATGTGAACCAAAGTATTTGGAGGTATTGTTGAATTTGGAGTTTTGTTAACAAAGTCATCGTTTTTGTTAACAGAATTAGTTTTAGTTAAGCTGTTATTGTTTTCATTGTTAGTTTGTAACTCAATTGAAGAAGAATTGGTAGTACCGGTACTTCTCACTGAAGAACTTACATCAGCCAATACGCCAGTAGAGCTCGGATTGGATGCAATTCGGGAAACATTACTTATTGATGATAATGGAGTGATCACATCATTCCACTCACCTTTTCCTAAATTCTTAATAATTTCTTCATTTTTGATTACAGTTTCTTTAATTACTTTACCAGAACTGTCAACAATTTGATCGATCACTTTAAATATAATAACAGTCCGTTTCTGAACAATTGGTGATTCAACTCTATGTGTTTGCACTAACCCTTCAGTAATTAGTTGTGAATGGTTTTTATTGATATTACGATTATCAATATTATTGTGATTATTGTTGAGAACAACCATATTATTATGTGTTTGATTTACAGGAGTTGAAGTGGTCGATGGATTCATTGTAGCCATAGTTGGGACAAAGTTTGAAATACGCTGTCGAGGAATATAAGCTGAATGTGGGGTCACTTTATGCTGATTATGATTGCCATGAATTGACTGTACACTACTCATCACTATATCTTTAGGGCCATGACTTTGCTGTTGTTGAGGTTGAGGTGAATGCTGTTGTTGTTGTTGATGATGACTAATTAAATTGTTGTGATTTTGATTTTGTGACCAATTATTTAATGAAGACATTCTAAAGAATAAACATAATTAAATAAAAGTCAACATTTGATGGCAAACTCACTGATAGCTTTGTTGGACATTAATGTTTCCCACATTTCCATAATTTTGTCCTAATAGCGAACTATCGGTTTCCGAGACATGGGTTACAGTTTCCGAGACAGACGACAAACCACTACTTCGATACTTATATCGATGGGAATCATTGGATGAATGATATTGATTATCGTATTGATTGGTCACATAATTGCATGACTCGACGGCATTCTGTCCGCTGTTTACAGAATGACTTTCCATTGGATTCACAGAGCGTTGGTTTTGTACCAAATGACTGTTATCTGGCATCTGATGACAACAAATAAATTGATCTCAATATAAGCTATTAGTTAACAATATATATCAAATAAGACCATATAATTTGGATTATCCATCACTAATTGCATCAACTGGTCATCCACTGACATATTGGGCAATAGTTCCATATTTGACATCAAAACAGACTGTCCATTCATGTCATTGATGGCAAGTCTAACAAACAAATCATTAATTAATTGATTCACTTAAATAAAATAACAAACCTTTGATCCGTATTGTCCATCATTATTAACCAGCGGATCAATCAATGATATTACAATCAAATTAAAAAAGTGTATAAATGTCTTAACCAATGGTTTCAATCAGTCATTTAATAAAATGTGTAAAACAAATGGTTTGTTAAGAAAAGTGGAAAACAATGTTTTTTTAAGTATTAATAACTATATTGAGTGACCAAACATGAGATCAACTCATGAGGTGTTTGTGTGATATTTGTTTGTAAATAGCAATACAATTGATGTCAATATGAGATACAATGCATTCATATTGCAGTCCAACAGTCACTCACAGTCTTTCAATGTATTTCAATGTATTTCTATGTGAACATCGAGTTATCACTCAATCCAATGCTATATTCTATATAATGTTAATCCATTGCTATATGTATTGCTATATTCATTGCTATATTCATTGATTGAATAGACAAATGAGAGACCAGTGCGTCGGTCTCAGTCTCTATCATATGAATAGACTGTTTAGTGACTTATAATCAAAAAGTCTATAAATGTTATATTTAATATCAAATTTAATTATAACTAAAATCATTTAATTATTTACAAATATATTCAAACAACAATTCAATGTCTATTGTATTATAAAATGTTTGTTAATACTTAACTCTTATTATTTGATAATAATTACTACTTATATAATAATAAATATATTCTAAATAATTTTACTTTATATTTAGCCGTATGTAAATGCTATCGAAAATATTGATTTATTTATTCAATAATTTATTAAATTTTTAAAAATTCAATAGTTTCAAAGTTGCGCAACTTTATTATATCCCTTTATGATCCACGCTTTAATTCATTTATTTATTAATATTTAAATTTTTTATATCATTTATTATAAAATATTAATAAAAATGATTAAATCACATTAAATTAAATAATAAGAAATTGAAAAATAATTTGATTTTATTGTTATTATTTATATATGTTTATTATATTCAATTATAAGTTTTAATTTATAAGTCTAAATAGTTTTATAATTATTTTGTATATATTGTATTCATAATAGAATATTTGTTTTATATTATATTTTATTTGAAAGTGCAAACATATATTTTTTAATTTATTAATATCTTAATATATATATATATATATATATAAATTATAATCATTATTATAGATCAAAACTATTATATTTATTATTTGATATTTTAATCACATAAATATAATCACAATATAATTTTTCTTATATACTTATTTTTATACACCTTAGACTTATATATTAATATGAAATAAAAAATAACCACAAATTTAAACTAAGAAAAATAAGTGAAACAAAAATATGTTTAAATAAATATATTTTGAATAAAAGGCACTAACATTGATAATAAATTAGTAAAAATTGAGTGAAAATAATGGGCAGTTTTTAAATTGTCTCAATTGTATCTTTGGAAATTATTTATTATCATTATTGTTTTATTTTTTTACCAATTGGATTTTTTAAATCATCAAAATTGTTATCATTTATAATAAAACAAAATATTTTGTAATATAAACACTACCGGTATTTATTGACCACAATTATAATAATATGTATTCACACCGTTAAACATAACAAATCTTTGGATTCATTGCTAATATAATGTAATTAAATATTATTATTAAAAAATTGAGTTTACAATTATAAATATATCTTAAAATTGATTTCTCTCTAAAAATATTTTGTTTTATGCAAATTATATGAATTAATATAAGATGTACTATTATTGTTAATGTAGTTAATATAACAAATAAATAATTTAAATATATTTGAATAATCAAAATTTGTCTATTGCTTCATCAAATATATCAACTATCTAAATAAAATATTATATGTTTTTAAATTGGCAATTGTATTGTAATTTAATTAGTAATTTTTACACTTTATATATCATATTATACTTATGTTATAGTTATTTAGTAATAGCTTTATACATGACTTACATTTGTATATATTAACAATAACTTTTAAATGCACGTTTTAATCTTAATTATAAAAATATGCCGGTACAATGTAATTTATAAGCACAATATCTATTCAATTGACCAATAATATAATATAATATAATATAATATACTATACGACAATTGTAAAATTAATTTAGATATTTAACAAATTCATTCTATACACAAATATGAAATATATATTAAAATTTCATTGAATTTTGCTAAAAAATGCTAAAATACCGTACATATAATTAAAATATATTTCTATAGAAAATAGATAATGTTAAGTGAGATATAGGAATGAAAAGGAATGAGTATTTACATAAAAATTGTCCAAATAATGTTAAAATCTATGATTAATAAAATATGAATTAAATGATAATTAGATATTTGTTGGGACATAAAAGTGAGAGTTTGCACAACAGATATCCAGTTCCTCGTCAACTAATTTACTTTTTTCACAATTTAAGGACACTTTCAAGTCTTGCGAAACAGAGTGAGAATCTGACTGAAAATCTAACACTTTATTGATATTATCACTTTTGTTGCCATTTGTTTTGATGTCAAGATTACTAGTGATATAATTAGTTTGAGACTCTTTTAAATGTTGCTTCTGTTGCTCAAAACATGCGGAACATAAATAATTGTTAGCAGAAGTACCAAACATTTTACACCCAGTATTGACACACATCGACACACAATTTTGGTCTGTAATGGCACTGGTTTTGGTGACAGTTGTAACACTACTACTACTACTACTACTTGAACAATGTTGTCTCTTGTCTCGCAAGAACCGGGCTCTGGCTGTACTCAAATAGTTTCTAATCATTTCATCATAATATATATGACGTCTATTTGTATGAAGAAGCGCTACAATAATCATATCTTTATCTATAAGATAATCATCATTTGATTCACTATTAGAAAGAGTATCTATTTGTTGAACACAAGAGTTGATTTTTATTGCATTTGAATCACTAGTTTTGGTTATCTTTTCTAAATCGTTAGAATTTTTGTGTTTGTGTCTAAAAGAAGTACTTCTTTTTGCAAAAGTTCCCAAATTTTTTTTAATTCGTTTACTCATTCTTCCAAGTGATCCAAAATGTTTAGTAATAGTCAATAACTGTTTGGCTGCTTTACTACTCAATGCTTTTGCTTTGCTGCTAACACTTCCACCAACACTTGATGCTGAAGGAGCGTCTGAAGAGCTGTCATCTGATTCAAAACTACTCGGAAGTGTTCGAGACTTTTCCATTGCACTTAACTTAGCATTTCTTTTGGTTAATTTCTTTTCAGTTGTTAGTTCAGTTGTTTGATGTTTTGGTAACTTTATATAATCGACATCAAAGTATAGTTTCAATAATTTCAATTTTTCATTTTCACTCAGAGTTAGCTTTTTGACCAATTCATTAGAAAAGTGTTGACAATCATTTTTAAACATCTCTTCTCCGGGATCTATAACAAACTGAAGTGGAAGTATATTATGCTCGTAATCCACAAGAGGAATGGCAGCGGGCGGTGGTGAAGGCGGATGGTTGTCAACATATTGAATATCTTTATTCATTGATACTAATGCTGAAAAATGTGCTGAATCTATGAAAAAAACATTTAAATTAATTAGTAAAACTTGTAAAATCTAAATTAATGTTTAAAACAAACCATAAGTGAGACAAAGTGGAGATTTCATAAGATTATCGTCGGGACATTCCAACGGAAGATATATTCCTCCAAAAGGAATAGGAAAAAATGCTTCACCTAATTGTTAAATCATTCAATTAGTAATTGTAATTTAATTTTTAAGAAATTAATTACATTACCTGTTAAATCTTTAAGCATAGTATCTGCAATAACAATAATAGGCCTCCGGAGTACGTGAGCCAATGCAAAAATATGAATCTCCTCTAAACTCTCGTAAACATGTGATTGAATCTCATCTATTGATTCGGTTTTCTTTCCGCCATTTAATTCATTTTTGTTATCAGTTTGAGCTCTAACTCTTGGTTCAGTCGATGACATCTTTAGTAGACAATCCCATTCTTGACGCCATTCACTCTCTGAAAAAGTGAGTCCAACTTTAAAATTTTGGAAATATGTTTGCCATTTCCATCGTCTATAAAAAGCTGCAGTATATGAGCTGTTGGACATCAAGGCGTGCAATGCCTTTCTTAAGATAAGTAATCTATCGTGAAAACCCCACATTCCTATCAATAATTAATAGTTAATTAATTATATAATAATTATCCCTATACTGCATATAAACATTAACTATTAACTATATAATTACCTAAAGATGCCGCGTGAAGCAGACAATTGCCGTCGCCAGTGGTGGCCAATGGCCATAATTTTTGGCAGACATCTGACCACCAATTGAGTCGTTGGGCGGATTCAAGTGAAATGAGAGTTGACTTTTCAATTAAGTCGTGCTCTAAAAATATCCTAAAGTCTTCGGGATGTATGGAAAGGTCGGGTAATGTGAATGTAAAGTCAGGTGTTTCGAGATAACTATTGGTATTTAAGAGACGACTTCCTCTACAAGATGTCTTAAAGTCTTGTGCGAATTCATTGCGCGCTTTGGACACTAAATTCACGTTATCGGTAGCCCTGGATATGCCTCGACTCAGCTTTTTGTTGGTTTCTTCCAAAACATCATCAGTAGAGTCATCACATTTCGACTGAATGGCCAATTTTGATGGCGAAGAAGTATTTGATGAATTGTCTGAACTTTGAGATGAGTGTGAAGATAATGAAGGCTCTGAACTGCACTTAATTGTCACAAATTGTGGTAAACTATCGATTCGACACTTCTTTATATTTAATTCATTATTTAATTTAACATCAATTGATGACAATGGATGCGATTCATACAAATCATTGACATCGTTATCACATCTGTTACTATCTTCGCTGTCATTTGATTGTACCAAACCTTTCATTACATAGTATGCATTGATAGCAGTCTTCAGATCCCAGTTATGACCTAAAAAACAAAGTAATTTCATTATAATGTTATCACTGTATGGATCAGTTAAGTGATGCTTACTTGCGAGCAAATCGCGGGCAAATCCAGCCTCAGCTGAGGTCCGAGTGATAAATTCAGATAAGATTCGGTCCATCGATCACTTGTCCATCAGGTCTTCAAATAAGACAATCAATCAATTGGTCACAAATCATATGCAATATGTTTTCAATCAATTGATTGATTACTTCAATGTATACAACAATAATCATCTCATGTTTACTATTGAAGACACAAACAGTTGAACGCAATTATACAGTCATTACAATACAGTATTATATTATAGTAATAGTAATAGTCATTCAAATTATTTATATTAATAATCATTAGTAGTATTGTATTAATATTCATATGATTATCACTTCAATGCTATTCAATATCATATAAACGTGTTATTCATTCAAATACAGTGTAAAACATTATATTCGATATTCAACTCAATTGACAAATATATTAATCATTACTCGCTCTACACTGCAGTCCATATAACATATATTATACAAACATTACGTTACTATATATATATAGGGTTTGTAATTGTATTTAATTAACATTATATACATTATAAGTATATTACTGCACATCAATGCAATTTAATTGACAAAATTATCTCAAAACTATTGTTTATATAAGTTATGATTACATATAAACTCAATAGATTTATCAATTATTTATTGCATTATTATTACTAAAAGTTTTGTTACGATTACAATAAGTATAAAATGTTTGTTTTATAGTTAATTATAAGAGAATAACGATATCAATGAATGCTTTACTGCAGGTGTGATTCATAAGCGTATATACTTTGAATGTAATCATATATTAATCAAGTATTTTAATTAATTAAACTAAAGGTAAGTCCAAATATTAACACAAATTTAATCAAATTAATTATAGGTAATACCAAATAATTTAATTATAATTAATATATTGTAAAAATTATTATTTTATCTAAAATTATCATAATTATAGTAGGAATATACTGTATATTAAAATTAATTTGTATTATACAGTAGTACTGGAACTTTATGTTGATTTTTATATCAGTTATAAATTATAATATTCTGTTAATTCACTAAAAATTACAAACAAAGAATATATGAAATATTTAAAATATTATTGTAATACATATTAGATATTATTTATTTATTTTATTAAAATTAATATATACTGTAATTATATTAAAAATAATTGTAATATTAATATCAATACTTTAAAATATTTTGTATTAAAATTAAATTGTTATAATTTATCAAACATAATGATAACATAGAGATATAGCCTATTCAATTAATTGTAAATAAATACATTAATTATACAACTAACAATAACAATACTATTAATATGAATAGTCAGTATATTGAATATTAATTACCGATAATACCTATATTTACTATTTATTAAATATTAACAATTATTGCATTTTTGTTTAAATTTGATGAAATAAAATCGGTGAGTACATTCAAAGTATGTACAGTTATTTATGCAGTCATATTAATATTAAAGTATAAAAAATATCTAAAAATAATATCAAAAAGTTAATACACTATATATAACACTGAATACAGCGTTAAGACTATTAGTAATGCATCAAAAACTCACAATTTTATTCATTTAATTTTTATCCCAAAATTAGTATTAAATAAACAAAACAAAAAATATGAAAACAAAACAAAACTTTCCGTTTGTCTACAAAATTGAAAACAAAATTTAAATTACTATACAAAATGAATTATAATATTTCTTTGTTAGTTTTAAATTAATTTTCGATATTTTTAACATAAATATAAAGTTTTATAAATTATAACATTTTTATAGAAATTATTTTATAAAGCAATTTCTTATACACTATACTTTTACAAAATAGTTATAATACATTAAATATAATACAAAATTAGCATATTTTATGTGATTTCATTAATGTTTTGTTTAAATTGTTGGCAAAATATTTTAAAAAGACGTTTAGTTGTTTTTACATCATTGTTCATCAATGTCTGAATCAATTCACAACAATTGCTATAATTTGGAAAGTGTTGCGGAAAGAATTGCGACGAGAGATAAGTGGATAACTCTTGTGTACCACGAGTTGTCTGAATTGCTTTAAGACATGTAATGCACTCATTGACTAATTGCGAGTCTTCATTGTGACGAATAGGTGCCACAAAACAGGCGGGTATTATAGACTTATAGATGAACTCTGCGAACTCATTGCTGCCTATATTCTTCACTAATTTAGTGTCCACTGCCTTACCATTGCTATCAAAAGATACTTCATTTGATTCAGCTATCATTAATACAGATAATCAATCATTAAATAATACTAAATACTAATATTAAATAATTATCTTAAATTAAGACTTACCAAAAAATTCAATAAATTTTCGTAATATTTGGAAACATATCTTTTGGGTGACAACATCTGGGAAATCAATGGCTCCTTGAAAAACAGTTATCATTATCTGTTCCAAAAGTGGTACTTCTGCACATAAATAATAAACATATATTAATTACAAGTTCACTATAAGTTAACTACAAGTATTTATATACCGATTGAAACCAATGGTTCCATAATATTATTAGTGACAAGAAGTGATAATAAAGTATAATATGACTTTTGAATTGAAAGTTTTTCTTCATTATTAACTGTTTGCGAAATAACTGTAAAGAATGAATGAATTAATGGCTTAAATATTTGTTTGAAAAACGGAGTTAAATCTCTTTGGAAAAGCCATGAATGCTTAAATTTAGTGACCACTTGATTCAGAAGTGGAATTAACTCTTGTAGTGTCTTATAGTTGAGCTGTTGGTTCAGTAAAAACAAGCTTTGTATGGCTGAAGGAAGAAGTGGCACAATATCACTCTCATCGAGACATACAATACACCGGTGAAGGAACTGTCGAGTAGTAGATTGAATTATAAACAAAAAATCTTCATTTAATCCTAAACTTAACGGTTTAATAAATATATTAAAAGATTGTAAATAAATGTCATGAAGTCCAACGGATTTTATGGTTATTATATTAGAAAACGCTTTTGAAGTACGAGAGGTAAGAGATATTATGTGTGAGATTTGAGTGCAATATTGTTTAACAACAAATTCATTTGAATCCGTCATTATTTTCCCATTTTGAGCATTAATTTCATTTGAAAGTTTTGAATAGATTTCTTCAAATTTATCCCAAATTGTGTTAATCAACAAAGTCTTCATTAAAAATTGTTTACGATTTGTATCAAAATTCTGATTCGTAATAATCAGTATCGCAACAGTTTCATAGACATTAAGTTGATCTTCAGTTGTAATTGAATATCGAATTTCATCAAAAATATTTGGTGTCTTGTTTTTGTTGCTAATTAGTCCATTAGTTTCATTTAAATCGGAATCACTGGGAATAACATCTAATTTAAGAAAGTCTTGCAAACGTTTGAGAATGTCTTCAGTAAAGTTCTGCTGTTTATCACTGCCTTTAGATTTGATCTGAGATTTGACAAACTTATTGAACATTAGGGCCACTTTGCTTCTCATCTTTAAACTCCTATTTTTGAAACCTCTTTCATCAAGAAATGAGATAAGAATCTGTGGAACCAAATAATTTAAATTATTGGCGAAATATTTTTCGTATCGTAATATTAGATCAAAATAAATGGATTGAGTGCAGGTGTGGGGAAAAGTAGAGATCGATGATGTTATCAACAATTGTAACAATAATTCAATGCGTTTCGTGTCGTTTAAGAAGTTGAGGTTTTCGCCCATCAGATAAAAATAGTAGAGACATATCTCAATGTCAGCAAATGTATAATTATTTCCAGATATTCGCCAATTCATAAGCAAAGGTTCAATAAGTTGACTACAAATGGATTGAATCACAACTGAAGAGTTTAAAAGCATTAAATTATCAAACAATACTTTACACGATTTGCGGAACTCATCAAATGTTGTCTCTTCTTCGAGACTAAAGTCGTGATCCATTGGATATTTACATTTCTCTATAATTATTCTTAAAAATATTAATAGTTTCTCTTCTAAAGCCTTGTCCACAACCGTTACGTTATTCTCTTTTTTTGTTAACGTGTTTTTCGCCCATTGGATGTACTCTCTGGTAAACGGATGTATTTGTAAAGACACTAAATTGTTCTTATGGGACAAAAATTGGCACAAAATGTTAAACTTTGACTCAATAGCGGTAGATATGTATGTAAGCGCCTGTAGGTCTTCCAGATTACCATTAGCTATACAATTGTTACTTAAACTGCTCTTTGACTTGAATTTCTTGAGCGCTTCAATCAATTCAATACCAATGGTATTCATAAGTTTAGAGAACTTTATCACAAAAAGGTTATTATTCTCATCGGTGTCACAAACAATAGATGTATTGAATATTTGCGTCAATTTCTGTTTAATCGACTCAACACTCATAAACTGTTGGATGAGTTGTGTTTTGGCCAAAGAATCCATTCCCTTATGAAGAATACCGTTAAAACAGTCGGTAACAGAGCACCGGAATGTGTCGAATGGAAATAAATTAAATAGATTTGTCATAATTGAGTCGTTAGTTATAAGACTAATGTCAATCCATGAGACATAACTGCCGATCACTTCTAGACATAAGCAGACAGTGTTGGGACTCGAGTCTCGATATGTATTCTGTATATCATAAGTCAACAAACATTATATTAATAATAATTAATAACTTTTAATATATCTTACAATAACATTGAACCAGAACTGAGCCAATTCTAGAAGACATGTTTCTCGCATCAGGTCTTTAATTAAAGTATTTCTTTCCAATTCCTTATAATTTTAATTATCATAAATTAGTCAAATAGTGTGATATATATACAGTATATATATATATATATATATATATATATATATCTATTTCAATACAAACCTTTTGACTTCTGGGAATCTCTCGGTCAGCGACATCGGCATTGATTTGTAGCAAAATTCGTAGAAAAAGATCACAATTTTCTTGGTTTTGACAAAGACTTAAAATATCAGTGAAGAATGTGTTCCACTTCTGGAGCGGAAAGTCGACTAAAAAGACTGAATTAACAATATATGCGAATTTGTTTTCAATGTAATTCAATGTCAGGTGTTTTGTGTTAAACCAATGAAATATAAATTGACGGATTAGTGTCCGATTGTCTTCACTATCACTTGAATACCTGTTGACAACAAACAAACAAACATTCATTAATTATTTATTCTTAAATCACTTATTTTAAAAAATTAAAGTAAACCTCGTTTTGATGTAATGTTCAATAACTTGAAGACAGAAAAAAATGGCCGAATCGTCGACCACTTGGGACTTAACCAAACACTCGACGCATAATTTCCATCCGTTTTGGTCACTCTTGAGGCGCTCAAAGTATTCAATGGCCTATTAATAGTTACATTATTTTATCAATTTTTCATCAATTAATTAACTCAAAGACCTCTTTCTGAAGTAAGGCATCACTTCTGAGATAATTAGATATGAGAGTCAAATCCATGTTTAAGTCATTGGTAGGCAAATAGTGGTCATAATATCAATTGATTGCAATTACAACAAGTGATGAATGCCATCAACAGTCATATCTTTCATGTCATACCATAGTTTGTATGACTTTTGGTCAAAACATGTGGCGTCTAAACAGTTATAACTTATAATATAATACATGTATTAATATAATACTCAAACATTTCAATTGACTACACGTTTATTATCGATACGATTGCATCAAATACACTACTAATGCATTACTACTGTAATCGATGCCAATAGTAGTGAAGCCAACTATCGATTGCTATTTAATGTAATGTTATTGACATTTGATTGCATTACATAACAAACAAACAAAAGTTATATTATTGATCACAATTCAAACAATTAGTTCAAACAATTTAATGTTATTGTTTTAGTTTGTATTTTTTGGTCACTTAACTTTTAACTAATTTAAACTTTAAAGACATTAATTTATACAAACTATAGTCAAACAAATTTGATTTTTTAATTATTTTATTTACAAATTTTCATAACAATAATTGTTATAAATTATAACTTATAATAATATATAATAAAATATTAAATCAACCAAATATTAAGTATATATTTTTATTGATATAATATACCGTACAATACAATACAGATCGACGACATATGTTTTGCACTACTATTTATTACATAACTTTTAATACAGTAAATTGTATTATACAGTAGCTTACGATACAAACGTTTATAATTTATAATAAATAATAGTTTATTGCATTAAATTGTTTCACATTTCATACACAACTTTGAGCCCATATTTCATCACATTATTTAAGTCAAGGATTAATATACAATACAATAAGTCAAATGACTTAATAGAGATATTAATAAATATAAGGCAATAAAGTAATTAATTATAACTATATATAATTAAGTTTTTTAATAAAAAATATGGTTTTAATGAAAAAATACATATAAAAAAATATGTTATGCTATAAATAAAGCCAAGGATAATATAATTTATTAAATTAATTAATCAATTTATTCACTATCTGTATCAACATTTGCTACTTCTTTATAATTATAATCATATTCTTCCTGTTCTTCATTATCTGTTAAATGTCTTTCATTGTCGTCATCGATAATATTCTTTTGAGATGGTTTGTGATGTGCGGCCAAAACATGTATTAATTTCATCAAATATTTATTATGTTCACAAACTTTAGATAAATTATCGAAATGTCTGTTTAGGTTATATTGAAGGAGTCTTAACGTAGGATCAAATGTCTCGAGATTAGTACTTGTTTTAAGAACAGTTCCATTATTGTAAAGAAGATTTAAAGACCACTTGAGGTAAAACTCAATGTGTTTTGTCGACTCTACGGCTATGGCTATATAATGAAGACATTTGATTACATAATTAATGGGAAGTGAGACACAAATGAATGAAATGTCATCAATGGGTACACTTTCAATCACTTCTTCGACCAACTTTTGTTCATTGAGTTTGAGTGATTGCATTAGTGACTCACAGTATTTGTTTTGTTGAAGTAATTGTCGACAAGAAGAAGGAGTAATGTCTGTCTCGAGTTGGAAGGGATCGAAAGTGTTTTCATTGTCTAATGAGTACATCATTATGCCTTCAGATGAGGCAAATGCAAAGGTTCTCATCGTTGGAGAAAATTTTATATCAAAGACAGATATTATGGGATTAACACTACGATCGCTAAAATCGCTTTTAGAAACTCCGGGCAAACAAATGGGTGCAAAACTGTTCTCTTGATTTCTGTTCTTAATAAGAGCTAAATTAAAACCAAATTCAGATATTTTTCTCGAACTAATGTAATCAAAGAGTCCATCCATTGATAAATTCCAAGTAATAGACAATTTCTTAACTAATAACTTCTCCATCACATGATATATGCAAATGTGTTTAGATTTTCCGGCGGCCATAACATATGTTCCATCGGCTGAATAATGAAGAGCAGAAAAATATTTATTCTTATCTTTAATGAGTTCCCGTTCGTAATGAGAAACTCCTAAATCACGCTTTCCTTCAATTCCGACTCCCATTTGATCTCCACTTTGTGGATCAAAGAAATTGATATCACCATTGAGTGTAGAAACAGCAAACTGGTGTCCATCTCCTCTAAAGGCAAGTGCCAGAGCATCGCTTCCTAACCGAATCACTTCTCGGGTGCACTTCGACCCTTCAAAGAGATCCCATATTCGGACGGTTCGATCCCATGAACACGAGACTAATGTATTAGAAGTGGGAGAAAATTTTACTCCGGAAACAGGAGCCTCATGTCCTAAGAATTAGTAATAATAATAATTATTATTATATACTGTATGTATATTACGGTAATTATTAAATGAAAAAACAAACCTGAAAGACATTCAAGCATTCTTCCAGTTTGAAGTGACCACAAAAATATTTCAAACAAGTTGTGAGAACCGCAAGCAATAAAATCTGCGCCCAATTGATCAACAGTTAAACACATGAATTGAGCCGCTTTTGCATCGGAAGGTGTGGTAAGAGTCCGAAAATTGCGGTATCGATTCAAATCAAATGCTTTGACAGTTCCGTCCAAAGAAGCAGATATAAGCACTTTGCCATTCTTTCCGGGCATAAACTCAAGTGCACTAATGGGTCCTTTATGTTCATTGAAAGTACAAATACAAAAACCACTGAATGTATTCCATATCTTAACCTTTCCATCTGTTCCACCGCTGGCTATAAGTGTTGCATCGGGAGAATAGGCAATAGATTGGCACAAATTGGTGACACCGGTTGAATATCCGCTTTGTTTCAATATAAATGACTCGCTCTGCCACTCCCAGACAATTAACTGAGACTCGGATGTCAACTCATTTTCAATGTCATACTTGTTTCCTTCACCAATGGCCGAACCTATTGCTATCCAATCACCCGATGAATTAATAGCAATACTACTTATTGAACCACTGTTTGATAATTCAAGTGAATGAATTAAAGTGATGTCTTGCATATCATATAATAGAAACGATCCATTGCTATAACCAACGACAAGTAATTTCATTTTCTTATTATATTCACATGCAGTCAGTCTTAGATTTGAATAAGTCTTTTGTAAATCATTGTTAATATAATAATTCTTTTGTTTGGTATATCTTAAGACTCCTTTATCTTCATTTGATTTCGATAGCTCTTCAAGTGATTCATAGTTTGATTGCCAAACAAAGAGTTGACCATTTTTACTGATACTGTAAATATTCAGTTCAGTTGATTGACAATTAGCAAAAAATGTGGACACAATTTGATCGTTATGTCCCGAAAGTGTTATGCATTGACCAATATTCTTGAGTTGTCTATCAATCGGATATATCTTAATAACAAAGTCTTTGCTTCCAATCAACAATAGCTTTGAGTCCAAAGACCAGGAAAGACACGAAGATTCAGTAAAAGAAGATTTTATGATTTTGTGTATCTTAAAGGCCGACAGCTGTCGTCCGCGTCCTTTGAGTACAAATCCGGGAGTTAAATATACCATCACTTGATGTGCGCCACAAACAGTATAATACTTTCCGTCGGGACTAAACTTAAGGTCATTGATTGTGTCACCAATTCGTTTGTAGTCTTTTCGCTGAACAACCGTTGAACTGATCAATGATATCATATAAAGCTGTGTCCGATCAGTTGACGCCAACAATAGTGATCCGTTTGGACTTAAGCATACATTCTTCACGTTATACTCCAGTTGTATATCCAATGCGTTACTCTTACCACTCTTGAGGTCGTAGATAATGAACTTATTGCCAACAGGACTGACTAATCGGTTGCCATCGGGAAAGAACTCGAGATTACCCGAACTGTACACCGATCCCAAAACATTACCCAATTTATAAGATAATCTCATTGTCTTAAGTTGTTTTCAATCAATCAATTGGTTATTCAGTGATTAAACAGTCATTTAATTGTCCACATGTTGTTCACACATGTGTTGTGTCTATGAATATCATATTGAAATTGTATGGCATTTATAGTAATGTTATTATTGTATGTTTTGTTGCATTCATTCAATGCATACAACTATTGCACTCTCTATTGACTTAAATATAATTTAATGATATTTTCATTTATTTATTAATAATTTATATATAATTCTTACTTTTTCTAAATTTATATTAATTTTTTGTCAAATTATTTTCAATACAGTATTTCAATATATATATCAATTCAATACTTAGTCTATTATTATAATAATTCATTCAATATATCGCATATATAATGACAAAATGCAAGTATTAATGAGCTATTGTTTTGTATTAATTAATATCATATATTAATATTATTTTGATTTTTTGATTGAAACTTAATTTGAAAATTATTAATAAATTGGTTATAAATTTATTGATTTATTGATATCAAACAAATTAATGACAGTCTATGACAAGTGATAAACAATTAGTTTTTTTTTAATGTGTTTATCAATTACATTGAAAATACTGTAAATGTTTTGACGTTTTGACTAATTAGTGGTAAAACCCAATACAAGTTATATATGATATGATTGAGTGATTGTAATGTCTTGTAGTAATGGATTCATTGATCAGATTCAATGCTCAGACCACTGGTCGGGAAAAACTCTTGAGGTATACCATTAAGATATTAATGATAATTGATTTAAATTATTATTGACTGATAATTGATTGATAGGTTATGTCAATTCACTTCACGTATGGTTTGGTCACTACTTATGAAATACAAACCAAATGATGAATCCATCGATAAGTTTCAAGACTTGGAAAGTAAATTGAGTTCATCGCGAAAATGTTAGACTTGTTTTGTTTAACTAATATTAACTAATATTACTATTAATTATTTGATACAATCATTAATTAATCAGTTAACCTATTAGCTTAAGTTAGTGGCAATTACCGATATATAAATTGGGTTTATTATTAATAATAATAATTATTATATTTATTGATATACTTGTATTTATATATTAATTTATTATTATCTATATTAAATTTAAATCTTAGCAGTGATTTTGACCACAATTAGATATTACTGATAATCAATAACATGATTTTAAAAAGTATTATTGAAAATCATATAAAATATTAATATAAATTTATGATTAATATTAATACAGTATTAATACTTTATTATTTGTCAAAATGAAAAATACAGTATTTTTTAGTTGATTTAGTGTTAGACATACTGTAGTACACTATATATAGAATATGATAAAGAACTGACATTTTACGGTAGTTTAGATATAATTCAGATTTGATTGAAAGTCAAATCGTTTATACAAAATGTTTGTATAAGCGTTCAAATATTGATTGTTTATTGTATCAAAAATATAGCAATACTTGCAATACATTATTTACTTAGTCCTCACTTTTGCACTTTTCACAAAATTTTCATTTATTTAATATCCGACACATTTTATCCGAAAAAAAATTATTTTAAAAATTTATATTTTTTTTATCAATTATCGACTAAACATTTGATTTATTTATTATCAAATGTTTGGTTAAAATATATATAATAGTATTAACAATATATGCTTTGTCATTTTTAATTATACATTTAAGTAGGGTAGTTTTATAATTGTTAATACCTGTATCTGCTCAATTTTTACAATATTGTCTTTAAATTATATTTGAAATTATGTGATTTACAATAATTATATATATTTTTTCATGTAATATAAGTGTTAAGACTTGGACGTTGTATCGATGCATTGTATTCATCATTACAAACAATGCATTTACCGGATCCGACACTTCGGGTAACTTTGACGGTCTCGAGAATTGCAAATTCTTTATATTTATTATGCGATCATATGGTATGGTTGGCTTCAACCGGTCTTATTAGTGTTAATGGCAAACAATGGTCCGAATGGAGTAATAAGTTCTGGTTATATTCAATAGCAATGAATCTTACCCGAGATATCTATGAAATTAGTAATATATTGAAATTTAGTTTGACTTTTAATAAAAATAATATCAATCAAAACTACTATTATGAACACTCGTCTCGATTTGATGGCAATCAAACAAATCTTATAAATTCATCAAAAGCTCAATATCTTAAAATAATTGAATGGATTATTAAACATAAGATTATATGCATTGACACATTTAAAAACTTTTGTGATTTATGGATACCGTTGACATCATTAGGTCACACAAAGTTATCTCCGCAAACCATTGGTTTTTTGGGATTGTTTTCATCATTAATTGCTATTTTGCAAATCTATAATTACTCTTATCGATTATCTCCCTCTTAATTAATAGAATTTTATTATTTAAATCTATTAATATAATCATTATAATTTACAATTAGTTTTTGAATTGGTTTAACTTTTAATGGATTCATTATATAGTATATATTATTTATACATTCAGAACAGCGGTTCATTAAAGTTAAATTAAAATTTTTTACTGTTTTTATTTCTATTTTACACAACATTAAATTAAAACGATTGTATTTATAATATATTTTGTGTTTGGATGGTTTAACTGTAATTACACCCTATGAGACAAATTAGAAGTTTTATTTTTTATTATTAAATAAAAACAACTTTACATTTTGTTATATGATTTATATATAAAACTACAAAATTAACTGTATATCTATATAGTGTATATACAATATATACGTTATATATATATATATATATAAATTATATATAACTATATCACTGATGGATTCATTAGCGACAGATTATATGGAATTGCTTAGCAATTGGGAAAAGATATACAAAGTATAGTGTTTTGATTGAAAAGAAGAGTAATTAGATTTCTTGAATCTTATTTGGGTTATGATTTATAAAGGTTTGTAAAGACATATATAATTGGTTTTTGAGGCAATGATTGTCAATGTATGAGATCGTCAATGAAACAAACAGAACAAAAGATAATACAAACAATTTATCTCATTATTAGACAACTTTTATACGATATATACACATATATAGAGTATATGTTATGTTATAATGATAGCAATGATTGTGTAACGCATCACACAATACATTTCAACCAAACATTTATCTGTATTTGTCACATGTCATGAACGGTAGTATAAAAGCTAAAATTATTTTTAACTTAAAGCATCAGAATTTGCTGAAAAATTACATTTTCAATAACATAATCGACAAAAAATTTATTCAATAATACCAGTATTTATAAGCAGTTTACCAGTTTATACATCATTATTACATATAATATAGTATATGCAATAAGTTTATATAATAAACATTTGAAATCACATATAAAGCTTTAATCTCTTTATATACTCGAATAACTTGAAGTAATGAAAAGTAATAAATAAATCAATAAATGATATGAAAAAGCAATAAAAGGCAAGAAGTGTTAAGTAAATGCCTTATATAGTGAATGATTGTAGTGATTGTTGGGCTGCACTCTCATCCCAGTCCTGCCTTTATTCTAAGTGCAGCACTTGTATTAGTATTAGTTTATAAAGCTTTAAGCGATGTTAGATAAGCAAAAATTGGACTTTAATACAGCTTTTTATGAGAGGATCGGTAAATATAATTTTAGTGGTTTTCACATATTATAGGAAACGCTAATATGAATCAAAAGCTACGATTGCCTTAAGGCCATCACTGACTGTTACAGTGCCAATACATCTACAACGACAATACTGATCAGCCTCTTGTGGTGAGGCATCGGCTCAATGCGATGATCATCTCATTGATCAAAATATTATATCTGTAATGCATATACTATACAATATCATATATTGTATATAAGTTTATTGAATTAACACATAGTCGAGCACAAGTGCTTCAATTCTCTTAATATAAGCTCAACTAAATTAAACTTTTGCCGCAATTTAATACTTAACTTTGTTTAATTTTGACATCAAATTTAATTATTTCAACTTTTATTCACTTTTATTAAGTTTATTTGACAAAACTGTTTAGATTAAAATTTTAGAGTAAATAATTAAATGATTTTTAAAAAATGTTTTCATAGAATTTTAATGTTTTGAAAAAATAATATAACAATTATGAGAAATATATAACAATAAAGTATTTATATTCTGTTTATTTTCTATATTTTAGTTAAATCTGTATAATTAATTACTTTAATTAGTTTAGTCATAGTTAAAAAAAGATATATTAGTAATATTTATATAAATTGATACATATATATATATCTTTATGGGATATCAATAGTTGATTTATTCACTATTTGATATATAATTGAATGTATCACAAGTATTAATAGTTGGTATTTATTCAGAAATAAATAAAATAAATATGGTGTATATGTAATATAACAATATAAAGATACAATATACAGTATAAGGATTAAGTATAATATAATAAGGATAAGGATATATAAGGGTAAAGTAAGGGGTGTAGGGGTAAAGACAAAATACCCCTCTATGATCAAGATTTTGGGATTTTACCCCCCCAGACTTTTAGACCAAATGGGAAAAATTGTCGCTTAAAAACGAGGAGAAATGACCCCCCCCCCCCCTAAAATGATGGCGCCGACATTTTTTTTGGATTTTTGAAAAAATTGCCGTTTATAAATGCAATAAAAGTCTACACCCACCCTAGAGCCCCCAAGATTTTTTGAGAATTTTGTAAATTGACCCCCCTACCCCCCCTAAAATCCAAAACCTTGCTTAACCCTGATATATATAGTATAGTATATTTAAATATATAATTTTTTAATTAAGTAATATAAATATAATCAATTAAAATATTTTTAAATAAATAATGACATTAAATTTTTTAAATTTGATTATTAAGATATTTAAAACATTGACTAAAATTAGAAATATCGTTAGTAATTAATTATACAGTATATAAAGTGTAGGAATTATAACAATAAATTTAGCGTAAATGTGATTTTTACTACTTTTAACTATTATTATTATTCAATAATAGACTACAATTAAATATAACTATATAACAAAAATATATCAATAAAATTAGTATAGATATTAAAATACTAAATAAATTCAATTTAAGATTAAATGGCTAAATGAATTAAAAATATATAATAACAGAAATGCATTGAATTTATGTGTTTATAGTTTATTTGAAATGATTTGTTTTATTCTTTAGTAATGTATTGAATGGTATGAGTCGAGTGGTGACCATTGATGATGAAGTGGTTGACAGTACTACTTGAGCTTATTTAAAAGGCACGGCTTGTATATATAGATGCAAACCGGGAGCAAAATAACTTCATTTTTAAGACCACAAAACATTGTAATATTATGCTATATTATATAGTGACCCAAAATCTTTTAATTTTGTTCATTCAATATAAAACTGTTTCATTCATTTCGGTGATAATCCGTAAACCAAATAATCCCCACTTTTTGCATATTATTCAAAACGTAACCAATTTTGTGATAAAGAACTCTCAATAATATCAGTATATTATTATTGAAAGAGAAAAACTAAGTTACTTTTATTGGAGAACTGTTGGATACTTAATGTGACAATTTTGTGTCCCATTGCTGACAGCACCTGCCTCTCTATCTCCCTGTTCAAAGACATCATATTATACTTTATAGTATTGAACAGTGATATAAATGTTTAGCTAGTATTTCATGTAAAGTATTGTATACATTATAAATTGGTTGTATTGAATGTATAGGATATATAAATTCAATAATTTGTGATTGTTGTGAAACTTTTTTAGTTAAACACACGGGACATCTGCCCCACAATTGGTAACTCTATTTTATTTGGAGACTATTTATTTGCTAATCATTTTATACATCAAATGCAAATTGTGTTTAGTATTATATGCAAAGATAAACAGTGATAGCAATAGTGTTCCCCTTAATAATGAAATCCCTTAACGCACAACAAATCTCTTTTGAAAGAAAAACCATTCAATAATATACTGTATATACTATTGTATTGACTCCTATGAGGACTCAATATAGCGGATAATTAGTACTTTTAAGGGCTAATAGACTATTGACTGTTTAAAAGGAACCGAAAAGTTCTTAAAATTCAACGATAAACCATTTGCACTGATATATACCTGTGCTAAGTGTGGGAAAACAGGACATAATCACTAATTGCTTTACTTACTATTTTTCTATATATACAATATATAAATATACTGTATATTTACCAGTATTTAGTATCAAATCTTACAAATTATCTTTTAATTGGTTTTAAAATTATTATTTGTCAACATACAAAATATGTTATTGTTAATTATAATTTTAGCTATTTACTAATTATTGTCATTTATTGATTTTTCATTTATGTTATATATATTTTTATAAATTTTTAATGTTATTATATCGCAACAGATTAAAAGATACAATACAGTAACCATTTTTTTGTATTGATTAATAATGTCTTATTTTACTATTTTAAATTATAATTAATTAATATTTATTTATAGAATTACGAATTTACTTATTATAAAATACAAGTTAATAATTATATAAAAATTTTATTTATTAATAAATTATAAGTAAATAATTTATATAATTATATTTATAATTTATTCCTGAACTATATAATTATAAAATATTTTATTTTTAAAAAACAATATATTTTTTGAAATAAACTTTTATAAACTTGTATTTACATCTTATATAACAATTATATTTTATTACAAATATAAAGTTATATAAAGTAAATAACTTATTATTAAGTAAAAATTTTAGAAGCTTTTATAAAAATAGTATGAATAAACTATTTACGTATTTTAACATATAATATTTATACAAAAAATACTATATGTTAAATAGTTGTTAGTATTTATATTATATATAATGTAAGTATTTACAAAATAAACATAAATGAGTATTAATTTTCATTTTCAAAAACTTGTTAGTAATTTGTTTGTTTTAAAGATTGTTTATTGAAAGGGAAAGTGTGGCCAATGTTTAGCTAAATATAGCGCCGATTAAATAATAATAAATATTGTGACCAAAAACTAATAATATAAGCTCAAGGATTGAGTGAAACGTTAGACATTAGACTTAAGTGAATATTATGGTTGAATGAAAGCTCAGTGAGTTTGAGGAGATGGGAGTCTGAGCCTCACTATAGCATCATTGTATCGATTGTCTCACTCTTGAGATCTTTTGTTGAACTGTAGGCGTAATGATTGAACCAATCATTGGTAAGGATTGTGAAGTTGAGCCACATTTCATTAACTGAATATTTCTCAGTTTGCTGTTTGCACTCATATTATAAGCTAATTGTGTTAACGGGATATATAGTCCATTGTGTAACCCGTGTTATATGAATACATACAAACAGTGATTGTCGAGTCATAGGAGTGACGGTACCATTGGTTCATACCATACATACAAATGCTGTCACTCTCTGTTATGTTCTTAGTTTATCATACTTTCAACAATATTTTTAAATCTATTTTCACTAAAAACTTATTGAAAACGCATACCAATTGCTAAGTGAAATGTGATTTATATATAATTTTTGCCAAACAAATTGAAATGTTTTTGTGGTCCTTATATATCTCAATGGTTTTAATACAACTCGCAATAGAAAAGACATTTTCGACAAATCAATACCTGAGCTGAAAAGCAGCACATATTTTGTTACAATAAAGCAAATAATATGAACTTTTGATTTACAAATCACTTGCAATGACAACCAATTTTTGACTCATATGTTTGTGCCTTTATATTCAATTTTATGTCAAACATATTGCCATCACTGCAGCAAAACTTATTTTAAATCAACAAATATTATATAAAAGCAAATGCTTTTAAACTAAAATCAGTGATTTTATCAACAAAAAAATTATTCAATTGATTCTTAATATAATATAGTGAATAACAATTTTTATTTGTTTGCATTAAAAATTGAAAAAATAATGTCACTTAGTGTTGAATCTAATGACTTAACAAACATTAATGAAATTAATTCAAATAACTTATTAAAGAAATCAATGTTTAAATCAAACGAAAGTCTTTCCATAAAGAGTTCACATTCAATAACATCCCGGTCTTCAGTCTTCTGTATCGAAAATTTATTGAATAAACGAATAAAAACTAATAATAATAATAATAATAATATTCATAGTTTTACTAAACAAATTCAAAATAATGATCAACAAGAGTCAAGTATGTCTTATTTATTTTATAAGTAATTTTAGTTTATAGTTATTTTTAATAGTAATCAAATAATTATTTTTATTACTTGAAATCCAATATTTATAAAATATTGCATTAAAAATTAATTTTTTAAATATATATAATTAGTATTTGCAAATTATATGTATATAATTTCAATAGTTAATAAATTTAATATTAAAATTAATTTATTCAAATCTTAAATGTAAAAATACTATAGTATATACTGTATATTCCTAAAAATAAATCATACTATTTATTATAATAATTAGATAATGAATTAAATATAAAAGAGAGGGAATTAAGTGCCAAAATCAATGACTCGAGTTCTGATGCAAATGACGACGAAAATGAAGATTTGGACAAATGTTGTGAAATGGAAAGACCCAGAAAAATACGGAGAAGCAGAACAACATTTACTACCTTTCAATTGCATCAATTAGAAAGAGCTTTCGAAAAGGTTGGATTAATTTTTTAAAAACTTTAATTACTTTATTATCATTAATTATATTAATATAATTTTATTTAAGACACAATATCCAGATGTCTTTACACGAGAAGAATTGGCTTTAAGACTTGATTTGAGTGAAGCTCGAGTTCAGGTATTTTTTTATTAATATATTATTTTTATTCAATATTACTTTTATTCAATGACTAATTCTACAATTTTTTTTATTAAGTAATTTTTACATATATAAATAAAAATTAAATTTCAATTATATATATATATAGTCCTTTATACTATATAGTATACCTCTGCTGTAAATAATATTATTTGTTATTTATATAAAACAATTTTTTAATATATTAAATGATTATATTAAGCACAAGTATTTGATTTGTGACAATAAATTTTAAGGACAGACAACAAGTTGAGCGCTAATGAAGTAGTCATTAGAATACTATACGGAATCACATAAAAGCTTCCTTTCAAATGAAATCTCAGGAAATTCTATTGAAATACTATTTTATAGTATTTTCTACTATTCTCTACTATTCTCTACTATTCTCTACTATTCTCTACTATTCTCTACTATTCTCTACTATATTACTATATTATCGGCACTTTTTGACAATTACTTTATAAATTGATTATTTTATTCTATACAAAGACATATTACTAAAGTTTATATAAAATAAATGATTATTTATTAATTTAAAAATTAATATTATTAAAGTAATTTTATTTATTTATTATTTTACTAAAGAAACATTATAAATTAATTAAAGTAATAATTATATAATGACAATGACATACAATGACTTTACAACAAAATTATTAAATAAATATTCTTAAGATTAACTTTAAATTTAATATTATTTTTATTATTATTATTAGGTTTGGTTTCAAAACAGACGGCAAGTAAAGTTTTATTAATTTTTTATATATATTAAACATTATATAAAAATAATATAATTTGAATCGATTGTAGGGCTAAGTGGAGAAAACAAGAAAAATTTGAGGGACAACAAGCACTCAGAAGTTTGAATGATTATCTCTCACCAAATATTGGTGACAATAGTACTATCAGTGCATCAGTTTTGTCTCATTCTTCACACTCTCCGATCAGTTCGCCAAACAATTTGCCAAAAAAGTCAATCATTTCATCGGACAGTAGTATATCTCACAACCCATTGCTGCCAAATATGCATTTTAAAGCTTTTTCATCACTACCTCTGGATTCATGGTTAGCAGCGGCCGCATCCCGGTCTCCATCAGCATTGCTCAGTACAGCCACACTCTCCAGCTTTTTAAGTCATCCATCAAACCTTTATCCCAATTATTTAATTCAATCGACACAAACCCCTTCCGATTCACAATTGATATCTCAATCGATGTGCAATCCATCCATAGCTCCCATTTCAATGGTTTCAAACCCATTGATGAGACCCAATACAAACCTCAATTCAACTTCTTTAAGTCCATCGGCCAGTCCTCTCAATCTATCATCAAATGATTCCAAAGGAACCCAAAGTAGAAGTTCGCTCAATACTAATAATATAAGAAATTGGATCAACTGGTGGCCAATATAATCTGTTTGAACACTTGATGAGATGAAGAGCACGTGGACCTAATCATTAAAAACTTAACTTATATAATTAATTTGTAGTAATTGTCAATCAATTTATTTAATTGTCCAAATTGTATATTTTTAGTGATACAACTATAAAATAATGCAAACAATGCAATCAATTTGTATATTAATTTAACAAAACTTTCATTATAATTGTAATTATAATTGTATTATCGATCGTATAATTAAAAATAAAATTTAAATTATAGTACAATTCATGACAACCTAATGTTGCTTTCCTTCAGGAAATGAAATTCACAAAATTACGACAAATTATACAGATTTGTCTCAATAAACATTAAACTACTGTACAATAATTTATATAAATTTATTGTCTATATTTCGCTCATTTCTAGCTTTTACATCAACTTATTTGTTATGCAAATAATTGTTGCCTTTTATCATATATTTAATACTATTATATAGTATACTAAATGTTTATACTTTAGAATGTATTATATATAATGTATTAATATTTGTGTGTAAATGAACTAAACATAAATTTACAATTAACGTATTATATTTGTATATTATAGTCTATAATATAGACTATATTTTAGAGCAACACATATAATATAAAATATTAAAAGTAATTTTTAGTTTTTTGTAGTAAAACAAATCCTTATTTTTAATACTAAAAAAGTAAACTGAACTAAATACTCGTTTTATAAAGTATTGTGATTTTACTTTATGACTGTGTATTTTAATTAATATACAATATTTAGATTTATAATTGTGTTATAAAAGTAGATATTTAGTATGCGTTATATAAAATAAAATAAATATACCTTATCTGTGATATAACTAGTATATAAAAAATCAAAATATACATAAAAATTTAATTATTTTTTATCTTTCTTAAAAAAACTTTTAATAACTTTGGTTTTATTAAATATATTGTTATATCAATTGAATTAAATTCCATATTCTATTTCATATAATTTATGCAATTATTTCTAAATTTATTTAATTATTTGTTTTATATCAATATATAAAATTATATTATATACAGTACAATATAAATTATATTAATACTGTATTAATATTTATCTTTCTTTCAACTTATCAGTATATATATAACAAGTAGTTTTAGTAAATAAGAAGCTATTAATTATTATTGTGTATAAGTGTATGAAATTAAATTGTTTGATTCAATTAATGATTAATAATAGACTTACGATAGCATACTTTGAGTGTAAGTAAAGATAAATAAATTATATCTAATTTTAATCAAGCTAAAAGAGTAAAAATGAACATTTTAACTAAATTTATCTTTATTTTACATTTACTTATATAATTAAAAAATGTATTTTAAATTAATATTTATTAATTGAAAAAATTATATTAAAAGTAAGTTAAAACATATAAAACATTTGTTTTTAAATCAATAGTTTATACGCAATGAATGTTTAATTGAATTGTTGAAAACAATATGAAACGGTTGTATGAAATGGTTGTATGCGTTTCATTAGGTACTCAGTTGTGCAAAACACCCCATTCCCCGCTCAAACGGATCGTATTATTGATGGCTAATAGTACTGTATATATAATGATAATATCAATACAAGTATTCAGTGCTCTTTTGAATGGATCATCAAAACCTTAAACATAGTATTGGATGGACTTCCGGCTTAAGATCAATATTGAAGCAAATTGTGTTCAATTTATATAAATGCTTTGCACTTAATATTGTAAGTCTCATACATTGATTAAGTCTGGTATTAATCGATATTACAAACGATATTATTATTTATATAATTAATTCACTATAATATGATGATATAAGTAGTGAACAATAGTGAGTTAATACAAAATTGATTAAAGCAATACAGTTTATGCAAATATTGACTTAAATTATACTTTTTATATAAATTTGTTTTAATTGTTTATTAGAATATTATGATTGTATTAAAGACTATTTTATTTTGTAATATATTATTTAATATATACAGTACAGTATATCAGTTGCCAATATATGATATATTATATATCATTTTTGTTAAGTACACAAAGTTTAGCCTAAAAAAGGAAAATCATTAAATTTGGGAAAAAGTAGAAAATAGTGTTAATTATAATTATAACAAAAGTATTTCAATGAAGTAGAAGTGACGACAAACTAGTGAACAATGTATTGATTATCACAGCATTGAGTGCTGTGTAACCGTTTGTGCGGCAAAATAGGTATTTGTCATATAGTCTACAATACAATATTGTCTATTATTGCCATATAAAAGGTGTAAACAGTATTGACAACATTCACTATATTTACAACATATAGACAGTGCTCTCAAACGAGAATAGATTAAGTGATGGTTCAATGGTTTCAATGGATGTGTTGGTGCGGCGCCAATACATCAATACCATACCATACCATACCATACCATATAAGACACGTAAATGGCCCTCAATTTGTTGGTCTTACACTCTCGCCTTCTATTACTATATAGTATATACAATACTTATAAGGCCTAACATAAAGCACTGGTACTTCTCTGACATCATTCAAGTGGATAAAGCATCTAATAGTGCCTACAGTTGATCACAACATTTAAGGTCAGGACTCTGATGGAAGCGACAGAAGGTCTTTGAGACAATCTTCCCATATTTAGTCACAAAAGCATATATACTATAGAATAAGGCATCTATATATGTATGTATATATAGTATATATATATATATATAATCCGCTTTTTACAGACCGTTGATTCCAGCAAAGAGTACCACCAATTGATGACTTGTTTTTCGTCTCCAATTTTACTGACATTTGAGACCTTAAATTATAGACAGACTTTAATCAATTGTAATGCACTCACACTTAAAGATTTACTTTATATTTACATTCATCCCTAATTTTTTTTTTACTAATATAAGTGACTATTTTATTGGTATTCATGAGATAAAAGCTCATAAAATAGCGAATTTGAAGCCCATTAAAGTTAAGCACTACTTATTAATAGATTATATTATTGATAAACACTAAACACAACGCCTATCAACTCATTTGAATTGATTAGACAAGTGATGCTCACAATTGTCAGATGTTTACTATATTTGCTTACATTAAATGGTAAGATTGTATCAAACATTTCTTACATAACATTAATGACATCAAATATGTGTGTATATTATATATATATATAGTATATAACAGACATATGTCATTAAAATTGAGACAAATCCTGTTCTGTAAAGCGATTTATGGGTCAAACTCGTGCTAAATATGATGTCAAACCTAAGATTACAATCATCTCAATAGTTGTTTTGTATATATATATATATACCTGAGCTCAACAAACATTATATGAAAGTTTGCACTCATATGCCTCACGCCGTGTATTAGAAATACATAGTCTATGTTAAAGTTTTATATGACATAGACATCGATGAAAATGTGCATAAAATCAATATTGTTATAAATGATTCATGAGATCGCAGATGAAAATATTTGAAAAACATTTTTTCCGTTCAAACCAAATGCATAAACAATCAAATATAATATTTATTATATTTTAAAAGCAAAACCTTCTCAACAAAAATTGCTTCAAACTATTGCTTAGACAATGGTTTTTATAAATTTAAATGCTTTATATGTTAAAATTTAGAAATAATATATTTAGATATTTCAAACAATAAACTTATAAAAATAAAATTTAGTCAGTTATGCTGTTGACATTAATGTAAGCTAAATATAAAATCAGTCTAAATGTGAATCTTTTAGCACTCTTTGTGTTTTCAATAAATTAAATTTTTATCAAATAAAATCAAATTGAATAATATAATAATGTTGTATAAATAGTACATTCAGAGGGTATATGAAATAATCATACGATTATATGAATTGCTTGGAGATTTGATTTGAACAACAGGTACACCAGTATTAATAATAATTGAATTTATCGCTCAATTTTATTAACTAGAGTTGACTCAAACAAAATAACTAAAACACATATAAAAGCCATTATCTATAAATTGAACGTTTAAAAAGTCTTAGTGTTTATATTTATTATATTATATGATAGGCCTATACATTAATATAACTAAAATCCCTGTATTTTTGTTGGCCTAAAGGTTTTTATTTTTCAATAACAGTTATAAGTGTTTTCACTCCACTTTTACGGTATATAAGCTATGGTTGAGCGCTACGGAAATGAAAATTTTAGTCAAAGATATATTGCCTTCCAGTGCCTTACAGTGCACTCAATAGATTAAAACTTATATATATGTTATATGTGTCTGTATTAGCTTTTACTGTAAGCCAAACATTACTAACTGTATTAAATGTCCCACTCTATAGTGTATAATAAGTTAATTGTGTGTTTGATATACCAATTGTCAACATATATACTGTATATACACAATATATTAGAATATTGTAATATATGGTACAGTAGTATGAAATGTGCTAAAAATATTATATTTGCATAAAAGATACAAATGAGTGGAAAATGATTGAAAATATAGTAAAACCAAATGTTTATTGAGACAAATCTGCATAATTTGTCGTAATTTTGTGAATTTCATTTCCTGAAGGAAAGCAACATTAGATTGTCATGAATTGCACTATAATTTGAATTTTATTTTTTAATCAAACGATCGATAATACAATTATAATAACTGTATTTGAAAAATACTGTCAAATTAAATAAACAAATTCATTGCATTGTTTGCATTTATATGTAGTTTTTTATCATTAAAAATGTACAATTAGTACAAATAAATAAATTGATTGACAATTACTACAAATTAATTATATAATAGTTAAGCTTTGATTGATTAGCTCCACGTGCTCTTTAGCTCGAAGACGTAATGATGCTATACTTGAGTTTCTCTGATCAAAGTGTCCTCCAATAGATAAATTGTCTTCAATTCCTCTTATATTTATATTATTAGTATTGAGCGAACTTCTACTTTGGATCTCTTTTGAGTCATTAACTGACAGATTGAGAGGACTGGCCGATGGACTTAAAGAAGTTGAATTGGGGTTTGTATTGGTTCTCATCAATGGGTTTGAAACCATTGAAATGGGAGCTATGGATGAGTTGCACATCGATTGAGTTACCAATTGTGAATCGGAAGGGGTTTGTGTCGATTGAATTAAATAATTGGGATAAAGGTTTGATGGATGACTTAAAAAGCTGGAGAGTGAGGCTGTACTGAGCAATGCTGATGGAGACCGGGATGCGGCCGCTGCTAACCATGAATCCAGAGGTAGTGATGAAGTATTGAAATGCATATTTGGTATAAATGTGTTGTGCGATAGATTGCTGTCCGATGAAATGGTTGGCCTTTTTGTTAAACTGTTTGGCGAACTGATCGGAGAGTGTGAAGAACGAGACAAAACCGATGCATTTGCAGTGCTATTATCCGCCGTATTTGGCGAGTGATAGTCAGCGGCACTCAGACTTCTGAGCGCGTGTTGACTCTCCAGCTTCTCCTGTCGTCTCCATTTAGCTCTAAAATATATTGCAAATTAATGTCATTTTTGTTTTGCTTTCAATTAGTTATTAATTATAAAAAATTATATTAAATTATTACAAATGTATGTTAATTATATCAAAAGTTATACTTGCCTTCTGTTCTGAAACCAAACCTAACAATAAAAACATAAAAGCATTTAATAATATTTAATTTAATTAATATTAACTAAATTTATAAAATTGTATAAAATGTCTTTTTTATTTAATATTAGTCTAACATAATTGGAGTCTAACAAAATGATTAATGAAATGTTGAGTACAGGGGCTCATCAAAACACAGTTTTGTAAGCATAGAGAGCACAGTAAGTATAGACAACTCAATTGAGGCATTTGTATAGCACCGGCACAACGGCACTAATATTTAATACAGTATATTATGTTATACATGTATTTAAGCGCCGGTAGCGTATCCTTCATATCCAACAAATGTTTTTCAGTTTTTAGTAAAGCATTGAAGTTGTTATATAATATTACTATTATTTTATAATTTGTGTTATAATAATTTTAACTTATGATATAATATATGCAAATTTATAGTTGTTTAACACAAATACAAACAATTTATTAATAACTATTAAAATTAATTGTTAAATAAATATACAAATATCATATTTAAAATAATATAAGTTATAAAAAAATTAAAGAAAAGATACGTCACTGTATTGGATGAAGTAATCAATGTATAAATTGCTAAAAAGTGCCGATAATATAGTAGAGAATAGTAGATAATAGTAGAGAATAGTAGAGAATAGTAGAAAATACTATAAAATAGTATTTCAATAGAATTTCCTGAGATTTCATTTGAAAGGAAGCTTTTATGTGATTCCGTATAGTATTCTAATGACTACTTCATTAGCGCTCAACTTGTTGTCTGTCCTTAAAATTTATTGTCACAAATCAAATACTTGTGCTTAATATAATCATTTACTAAATTAATCTAAAATACCATCAATTTTATTAAAAGACATTTATTTTGTTGCAAAATAATATAATAATATTATTATTTGATTTTCTCATTTTATCTCAAAATTTATTTATAGTTTAAATATAAATTAGAGATAAGCTAATTTTCTATATAATAATAATACTGTATTTTGAGTAATAAACTTTTAGTTTTAGAAATTTAAGCTTTTTATGATTAAAAAACAAAAGCTATTTAATTTTATTATTTCATACAAATGAATAATATAAATATTTAAATTATTAACAATATATATTCATCTAAAATTAAAAATTATTATTAGTATAGAGAAAATATTAATTTAAAAAAATATAATATTTATAAGTTTCGTTTTTATTATTTATTAAATATTATTACTAAATTACTTGACATGCAATATTTATACAATACTTTATGATAGTCAATCAATTTAAAAATTTATTATTGCTAATTATTAAGTAATATTACTAATATCTAGTTGTCAATATCTAAAAGTGATATTTTTACAAATTCAAATAAAATTCAAATGTCTTAAATAATTACCTGAACTCTAACTTCCGGTAGATTTACTTTAATAGCCAATTCTTCACGACTAATAATCGTTATAATAAAATAATTAAAAGTATTATTAGGTGTTAAAATGTAATAATTCATTTAACGTAATATATATATATATGTACTGTATTTTTATAATTTTATTATATATAATAGTAAAATAAATATAAAGTGAAACCTATAGACGTCCGGATAGTGAGACTTTTCAAAAGCCCTCTCGAGTTCGTGCAACTGATAGGTTGTAAAAGTGGTGCGATTTCTGCGATGTTTTTTCTTGGGTCCGTCATCTGCGGCGCCTATGCTTCCACTGTTGTCCTCATCTATTGATAGCGGCGATGACGATATGTTATGAATTGATACAGTATTGCAATCTCTGGTATCGTCATCGTTGTCGTCAATTGCTTGTTCATCACCTAAAAAGATGTATTATAAGTAATATTTGACAAAAGCATTGTATGGTTTGTGTGAATAGTGTGAATGCGATCTAATCGGCAATTTGTGTGCTTTGAGTCCTATGGCCCGCAGTATCTAATAGTTGCTAATAGTGTCTAATTAGGCGGTTTTGGGTCTATTATGCGGTATTGATGTGAAAAGTTGGGTTCACCTAAAAAGTGATTACAAGGCGTAACCCAACATATTGTGAAAAGAGAAACACAGGGAGTCTTTTGATAACTAAATAAGCGTTTGCTTTATTTATAAGGCTTTGGGATAACCTGTCCGTCCATACATACAATAGTACGACACAACGGCACTCTCTTAACATAAGTTAAGTTACTTTTATAAACTTCTTTATAATAATAGACTTTTTTATACAACAGATCATTGAATAGAAAACTTATTTGTGAAACAAGCAATATATGGCATATTGTGGACAATTGTGACAATTTTATTACAACTACTATACCATTACAATAAACATACAGTTCCAGCGATACTACTGTTACAGTGACAGTACTGTATGTTTGTCATTGCTTATAATAAAAAAAAATTGCAGAATAAACATTACAAGTTTCTAGTCTATAGAGTAAAGCAGTGGTAGGGACTAATAGGCATTGCTAACTGAGCTTATTTACAGATTAGCTCCTATTCACTACTAAACGCTTATCTGCATCTCAATAGATATGTCGCTATAGATGAGCATCATATGAGACCAATAGTGGTCATACAATACACATCCCTATATTGTAAGCTATAGTTAGTTAGTTAGGCATACAATAACAACACAAACGCCTTTCAATTAAGTCCTAAATTTACAAAAACTTATTCATTTTTAAGCCAATCATCAATAGATTTACAAAAATAAACTTAACTTACTCTGCAATTCAGTTAATTCAAAGATATAAAAAAAGTTTTTTAAAAAGAGAAAAATAGAGAGAAAGAAAGAAAGAAAGAAAGAAAGAAAGAGAGAGAGAGAGAGAGAGAGAGAGAGAGAGAGAGAGAGAGAGAGAGTAGCAAATCATTTATAAATAATTAATAATCAATTTAATAATTTATATCACAATAACAATTTAACATTTAATATAAATCATTGTTATATTTTGTTACATTAATAGATTTTTATTATTGAAATAAGATCATATTACTGCAATAAATAAAAATAATTGTTATTTTATTATATATGTGTTTATGATAGCATACATAAAACAATTTAAATAAAATTATCATTAGAAAAACCATACTAATAATGAAATAATTGATTTTAGTTAATAAGTAAAAAACAAATTATTAGATAATATTTAAATTCGCCATATATGTATATAAAAATATATTTTACACACACACATATATATATATATATAACTAATATATAAATTATATATACTTATAATATTACTATAATAAAGTCTAAAATAATAGCAATTAAATAATTATCTAAGTCTATTAGCTTTTTGAAGCAAATATGAGATGCAATCAAAACGGATTGAAATTGTCATTTAAATAATGAACTAAAATATCAATTCATTATAATATCTCATAATTTAATAGTTTATATATTAATACTTGTTTTGGTCAGTGAGTCGGAAATTAAGGTTTTTTGATGTTTTGCACAAATCATTTGTCACATTATTTGACGTTAAACTAGTTTTTATGTTAATTATATATTTATTTTTATTTGCTGAGTTTGATAAAAGATGAATTGATTGTTACACAGATAAATGAATACAATTATATTCTCTTATAAATATTCGACATTCATGATAGTCATGATAGTCATGATAGTCATAACATATTGTGGAAATATATACATTATATAAATACTCATTATATACATAAATACTGCCTGTTATATAAATTATATTATATATACAGTGCTGTAGAATACAGTGTAGATCATAGAATATAAATTTAATACAGTAGTTGTATACAATACAATGTGTGTGTGTTTCAGTACACAGTTGCATACATATTAGTAAATATTTCTATGGTATATAATTTATAATAAATGTATATCATATACAGTATAATTTATGAGTTTATGAATAGCAATAGTAAAATCATGTATTGTTAGGCAAAGCAAACTGTAAGCGCAATATTTATTTAAGCGGTTCACATGATATGTCAGACCTGATAAAATTGGTGCGCATTGGGTGACCATTGGGTAACCATTTGGTAACCATTTAGACAATCATTTATTCAGTAATTAATTGATGTTCAAATACAAGAGCGTGATTTGATTAAATGATTTACTTGCCATTAGCCTAATTGTGTTGTGCTCTAGTAGTGGTACCGGTGCTGCTTTAATAACGATACCACTATTTTTATGATTAAATATCTAATTATAAGTGAATTGATTGCAGATTTTGTTTAATATTCATAACAAATATTCATTTTAGTTATTTTGATGATAAACCATAAAAACAAAAGTGGAAACAGTGTTTGAAATTTTGATTTTGTTTTCAACAATTGCTTTAATAGCCAATTGAGTGCTGAAGCGCACAGGGATTTGCAATCAAAGGCTTATTTAATACACTATTTCTGTATATTATATAAGTTTGTAGACAATAAATAATTACTAAATTATACATTTTTAATAATAACTACAATAAATGCTTATTTCAACAAATAAATTATTCATATATTTAATTTATTTTTGTTTGCTTAGCATTTATATAACCATTTATTTAATGTTAAGAAAAGCTTATAAAAACAATTACCTGATTTACTGTTAGATCCAATTGATTCACACGAGAGCTCACTTGTATTAACATCTGTATGGTTGTTGTCAACGGAAAAATGTTTATTTCTAAGAGAATGAGATCCTCTGAGACCAAGAATTGCATCGATGGTGTGTTTTGTCCCAAGAAGTGGTTTTACAGATAGCGAAGAATATGATGGCGACGGGTAAGGCATATATGATAGATGTGATGCCATACTATGCAGTCTCTCTCTACACATATTATCTAAATTTACTGCACTTTGTTTTACAATACTTTTGCTATCATTTAAAGAGTATTGAGAAGATGTCGAGACATTGACTTCAACTGCATTTAAGACATCATTGTTTGTATCCATACCTCCGGATCTTCCATCAGTTTCCATAATTATGTTTATTTACATCTGTTTTAATCAATTTGCTTTAAACAGCATTAAAAAGAGTTTGTCATTTAATAAAATATAAATTTAATAAAATAATAATATCTTACATATTATAATTGAAGCAATTATTTACATTAAACAAATAACTGTTAAATTTAAAAACTGAATATTATATTTATATAAATGATATTTAATATACTGTATATTATGAAATAATGATATAATGTTTATGCAATGCACCGATAGGATGATGCGGTCATTGAAAATATGGATGGTTTGTAGTGTTTAATGATTTAGTGATGATTAGTGTGAATGAGAGTGACTGTAGTGTTGTTTAGGATTATTGAAAGCCCAAAGCGTTTTAGTTAACAATAGACAAGCATTTGGTGGCATTACTTGAGCTTTTGGAGCAAAATTATCATAAGAGGACTCTATTGGTTATAAGAGACTTAACTGCACTGACAGTCGCAATAAAATTTTGCTTTTATTCACTCAAATATCCAAAACACCCAATCCTGAGATGGAGTGTTCACTACAAACACATATAACACATATAACACAACATAACAGAGAGTCAACTAAATTGTTAGATAACAACATATAAATCGATTAAAGCAAACACTAACTCAACTCCAATACTAATTCATTATTTATTCTATTTTTAAGTAACAAAATCAACATTTAATTAAATTCAATGCTTTTCCAACCTATTAATTGCTTTATTGTTGAAGTGCAGGCATTCAACTAAATGTTATTAAAGTTTTATCAAACATTTTAACCATTCAATTATAATTGATTTTTCTCTTTCCTATACATTTAAATTATATTTATAATAATAATAATCGTTTTTATTTATATTCAATTTTCAAATATAAAATTATACAAATATGATGAGTCAGATCACAGATGAATCCAAATTAAATCATAAAATACAAAATGAAAAAAAACTTTATTTAAATACATCTGCAATTATTTGCTTTTTAATATATAAAGTCACTACAAATATTGATTCAAATTTCAAAAATTATAATTAATTCTCTTTAATATTTATTTTTAATACTGTATATTGTAATAGTATATTATATTGTATTAATTTTATAATAATTAATTTTTCTTAACATATGTATTTGAATTTCATTTTAATTAAATTAAATTGATAGTAGTTTGTCAAATAATTATTGTGTAACATTTATGATAAATTATTTTATAAAAATAACTTCAAAATATTGCATATTTATATAATCTACGAAACATATGACATTTGAAATAAGATATATTAGTTTTTATAATTATATAACTAATGTAAAGTACGGTATCGCTATTATTATATATATTTTTAAATTTTATTTATATCAGGGTTGAGATTTGGGGGAATGTAAATGTGGGCTTACCCACTGAGATTAAGATTTTGGAAATTTTACCCCAGATTTTCGGAAATTTGATAAATTGTCGCTTAAAAACAATGTGAAACTGAACACTACTAAAATTTATTTTTATAAATTAATTATACAGGTTATAATTTTAATTAACTATTTTTGTTTTTCTAACTTATTTACATCAAATTATTAAGTAAAATAAGTTAAAATATATCTAAATATAACATTATTTTAATAAAAATATGTGACTAAAATATTAAAAATAACTATATATTTAAAAAAAGAATTATGTTATTGGTATAATATTATTTTGAAATAATTAATATAATTATAATAAATTATACAGTGAATATTAATGTTTTTGATAAAAAAATAATTTTATAAATTTTTATCTTAATCAAGTCAAATTAAATAAAAAGTGGTTTAAATATTTAAATTTCGTTAATTTAAATATTTATTATTTAAATCTTATTAAAAATATTACCATGTTAACTTAAAAGTTAAAAATGAATATTTGTTTAGAATGAGAAATTTTATTTCAAGTCGAGTATGATTTTAAAGTTATAATAATGATTAAAATACTGAATGTAATCATTAATTATTTCTAAATCTGTTATTATTATACAATTGTATTACTGCAAAACTATTTATTATCATTAAAATTTAAGTTATATTTAAATAAATTTATAAATTTAAGAAAATTTGCTGTAAATATATCTATTTTCCTGGGAATTTTCTCCCATTTACATTAGGAATTTCTTATGACCCCTTGATTTTCAAATTAAAAAAATAGCTATTTAAAAATACAAAAAAGTCGACACCCCACACAGTACCCCAAAGTTTTTTAAAATTTTTGTCAATTGATTTATATAATTTTATTTAATATTAAGCAAAAAAGCATTAATTGAATTAATAATTTTTTCATTTTTAGTTGCAATTTCTGTGAAGAGTAACAAAAGAGAGAAATTTCTAAAATAATTGAGAAATAATATCCATGGTTAATTTTGTTTTCTAAATATATGTTATTTTCTAACAATACATTATAATTATTAATAATAACTAAATATTATTACATTAAACTAAAAATATGATAAAATTAAAAGTAAAATTTTACAAATCTACAATTATATTAATTTTATATAGTAGCTTATTGAATATTGTGTATCATTAATATAGTATTTCAATAACCATAGTCTATAGATATAAATATCTATAGTCCCGTAGTATAATAATATAGTAAAATTTTTAATGAAATTTATTTTTGAGAATTTTTTTAGGGAAATTTATTAGAAATTTCTATTAGCCCATCACTAGTTAAGATTGTCTTCGTAAATGTGTCCCATTTATCTATTGTTATTAAATTATTGCAGTAAAATATACATTATTATTGCAAATATTATTATACATCAAAACTTTTAACTCAAAATGAGCCGCTTTTTTGTTGTCATTTAAATACTGTATTTTGTTATATTAAATTTTAAATTTTTTATACTATAATAAGTTTGAAAATGAATTGAAATAAATGTTTTGCATGCAATTTATATTTTTTGTTACTAAAATTTGATTATATAATAAATAAATAATTGTTTTATTAGATCACAAATAATAGAAAATGTATGATAAAAGCAATTTATGTGAAATAGCGTGAAATGCGTCAGAATATGGTATTATTTTAACCATTGAAACACATTAACTAAACTTAATTAAGTGAATATTTTAGATATGAAATCATAGCCACTATTATTATTGCATTGCGTGCCTCCCTATTGATTAGGGAAATAGATTAATTAGTTTGCTTTATGAATATAAATTATATAAGGTATTAAAACGATTGTGTATATAATTTAAGTTTTTCTACAGTATTACCAAAAAGCCCTCAAACATATATGTATATAAATTATATATATTATACATACAATTAACCTTTAGCAATTTTCAAATAACAATTTAATATGATATTACAAAATATGGTATTATACAGCTATTAATATGTATACTAAGTATATACTGTATATAATCAAATTCATATTAATTAACTTAAGTATACATATAATTAACTAAAATCATCAAACTTAATCGTACAATCTATTATTTTAATTATTTATTACAAATTGTAAATTATAATCCAAAAGTTGTATTATTTACTTAATAACTTAGAAAATGCAATTATTATTGGAATGTTTTTATTTCTAAAAAAATAATTTTATGAATTAATAAATTTTGTTTATTAATTTTTTTATTAAAAAATTTTATAATGTTTTATTTTCACACAACTACTCAAATTAAAGATATATTAAATTTATTTAAATTATATTTGTACATTATATCAGAATAATAATATATACAAGTTAGAATTATTTTAAATAATACTGCAATTAAATGATTATTTTTAATTTTTTTACTTATATAAAGTCCAAACTAAAAAATATTAAATAATGTATTAATTTAAATATGTTTATAAATAAACTTGTAAATTACAAGTTGTAATATGTACGGCATATAATGTACAATACATTAACTATTTTTTTATACAGTTGATAATGAACAATATATCTGTATATTGTTTTTTATAAATGGAGTGTATTTTAAAAATCTAACATTATTATATTTTCAATGTTACATATAATTTAATTTTTAATATGACAAGTTCATAATTGGTTTTATAACAAATTAATATAATTTTAAAAAGAGATTATTATCTAATTTTAGTTGCTTTATATAATTAGATTGTAAATTAATTAATTTTTTAAAATTAATATTAGTAAATTATATAATAGTTAATATTTAGTAAAAATATATTATTTAATATTCAATAAAAATTATTTAAAAATATTATTTATAACTTGATATTTATCAGAATAATAATAATAAATTAAATTAAATTAAATATATAATATAATAATAGTAAAATTAATTTATGGTAAGCATATATAATAAGGTTTATAAGAAAAAAGTATTGAAATAAGTATAGATTGTGTCAAACATAATATCATATAATACTGTAATTATATTCTGTATTTTTGTGAATCCAATGGGAATATGGATTGCATGAAATGGGAACAACTCATTAGTGAATGGCTTGTAAATGCTATATATATTAACAATAGACATAAATTTAGTTAAACTATTCCTATAGTATTTCCTACCATTCAAGTCAAGTGTTTTTAATTGACTAAATCGGATGAGAAGTAAAGCAATGCTTTTACTCTAAAGGATTAATGTTTTGATTCTCGTTTTATTAGTCTTCTCGTTAGTCATATTACATATTGATTGACATACAGTATATGTACACTATATCCTACAATACGTATATTTATATGTTATTATAGTATACAATATACCTAATAATCTATTATAATAGCGATATAGTGTACGTCAGTCTTATTGTTATTATTATTATCAAAGTATAGAACATAACATTAACTTAAGTACTATATTAAGCAATGTTTATATGAAATACAAAATAATCTGACTTTTCATATGTCATGACTATAAGTAAATTTATTACTATTAATAATATAGTATACACTCAACAAAATTATTAAGTATACACTCAATAAAATTATTAATTATACATAACAAATTATATCTTTATATTTTTCGTTAATAATATTACTAAAAATAATT